AGATTTAAGCAAATTACATATGTATCAGTTTTACTATGATGTATTGAAAAAGAAGTATAATGAAAACATCAAATTGATATATACTGATACTGACAGTTATGTAATTCAAACAATGACTGATGATGTCTATAAGGATTTCAATGATATAAAGCAACACATGGATTTTAGCGACTATCCACCTGAACATCCGTGCTTTGACAAAACTAATAAGAAGGTCTTAGGAATGTTTAAGGACGAAGTGAATGGAAAAATCATTACTAAATTCATTGGATTAAAACCTAAATCATATGCCTTCACAATTCACGGTGAGGATGATGAACATAAGAAATCAAAAGGTGTAGTGAAACACAAAGTGAAAAAAGAACTGTCGTATCAGAACTATCACGAAGCATTATTTCAAAACAAAAAGCATGAAATCACATATAATTTTATTCGTAGTCGCAACCATCAATTATTTTCAATGTCTCAAGTAAAGCAATCTCTAAGTAATTATGAAAATAAAAGGTTTTATATTGATGCTTTCACTTCATTACCATATGGGCATTATTCCATAAAATAATTATCTAAATAGTTCTAATAATATGAAATTAATAGAATTATTTAGTGGTACTTCTTCAGTTGGTAATGTAGCGAAGTCGCTCGGTTATAATGTTGTATCATTGGATTGGAAAAATGCTGATATTAATTGAGGTATACTTGAATGGGACTATACTCAGATTGATAGAAACCACTTTCAAGTCGCCCCTTGCTTTGGGGACGTTTTGTAATTTGTCCCCTGTGTTTGAGGAAATTGTCCCCTGCCTTGGGGACGTTTTGTCATTTGTCCCCTTGCCTTGGGGACGTTTTGTCATTTGTCCCCTTGCTTTGGGGACGTTTTGCCATTTGTCCCCTGTGTTTGGGGACGTTTTGCCATTTGTCCCCTGTGTTTGGGGACGTTTTGCCATTTGTCCCCTGTGTTTGGGGACGTTTTGCCATTTGTCCCCTGTGTTTGGGGAAATTGCCCCCCTGCCTTGGGGACGTTTGTCCAATAGACAGTTGGTGGGAATATAGAAATAAAGATTATCCTGTGAGAGATATACTGAGCGATTTAATTGAGATTTACAAAGACCAATTAATAAAAGGATACGAGCATTATTGTAGTGAGTAGAGTTGTTATAGTGGTTGTATCGTTGGTGAGATTGAATACGGGACACACTAACTGTTCTTTATTCATATTATTTAGATATAATATGATTAAACATTGTTTTATAATCTAACAAGAAGGTTAAGACATTTAAATTAAACCTGAAACCCAGACCAGCCGACCAGCAACCCCCTAGCCAAAACTACTTAAAGAAATATTACCTTATATATTAAAAGGAAAATGAACGGTGATGGAATCAATAATTATATCAATAAAAAATGCTATGATTGTTGCCACTTCAAAAAAAAAATATGGAATTGTATAAATTGAGTTTACCTAATGAAATAGTGAATAATATTATTAATTATTCAATGGATGGTGAAGAAGACATATGTAAAAATTGTAAAACTTGGAGAGATAATCAATTTTTAATCAAATGTCTGTTGGGAATAAAAAGAATACATAATAGAAATGTAGAAGATGATATTTTAATATTTCTAACTGTAAATAAAATACCACCTTACGATTGTGTTAAACAGTTTCTTAAAATCAGTAAGAAAAAATATGACACGATTTACGATATATTATGGATGTTGGGTTATAGTCAAGAGAAAGGAGAAGATGTTAAAGAAAATATCAAATTATTTATTGAAAGTAAAAAGTTTAATGTTCAGAATACAGTGAGAGATGTTAATATTATTTTTAAAATGATGTATGAAAGAAGTAAGACAAACCAATTAGATTATTATCCTGAACTGAAATTATAATCATAATATAATAATAACATGTAAAATCTTATATGTTATAATTATACTGAACTTTTAACCTATAACACCCCTTAAACTTATCTAAAGAAATAACCCCTTAAACATATAGAGACCAATGACAGACAAAAAGCAATGTTCCAAATGTAAAGTCTTTCAATTGTTAGAAAAGTTCAACGAGGGAAGAAAACAATGCAATGTATGCTTGGAAAATAAACTACGGTATAGAGAAGCACACAAAGAACAAATACAGCAGAAGGCAAAGGTTTATTATGAACAAAACAAAGAACACAGACAAGCATATAGGAAAGAATACATCCAAAGGAAAATTGAATGTCAATACTGTAGATGTATGGTAAGCCCTCAACACAAAGCAAAGCACGAAAGAACAAACAAGCATATCAATAATGTTAAGAATCCAAAACCACCAAAGAGAGAAGAAACACCAAAAGAAAACAAACAAACAACACAGAAACAAATTAGAGAATACATAGAAACCTCATCAGATTTTGAATATGACTTCAACAAAGAATAGGATAAAACAAAAGCACCACCAACATCCCAGAACATTATAACTACTAAAAGGGCTACCTCTTTCAAATGAAAAAAATGTTTGCCCCCAGCCCAACAATGAACAAGGCGACAATTTACCCAAATGATTACCTTAACGAAAACGATAAATAAGCTCCCCAAAAACCCTCTTTTAAAAACGGATAAGGTGGTTAATAGGTTTGAGATGAACATAAAAACCATAACAGGCAACCATCAACAGGCTTCCCCTCAGGAGCCCTACTTTCTCCATTTTTTGGGGGAGGGGGTTGAAAAAGCTCAGAGTAGGCGCTCCTAGAGGAAAAAAAGGGGAACCCTTTTTGGGGAAGACCATGTTTAGTAGGGCAGCCACAAAAAAAGGGAAAAAGAATTGGCGGCACTGAGGAACTGAGTCTGTGACCAGAATCTGGACCTTGCTACGAATTTGTACTCCAGCAGCTGGGCGCAAAGTTGCCCTTGCCTGAGTCACCCGCTGGGCGGCGACTAACCGTGAAAAGTTAAAGTCTAAAACCCAGTAGCAGTCAAGTGTTATGCGTAAAATCTGACGCTGTGGCGACGAAGCAGCTGCAAACCTGGTCCAGATTCAGAACAAGTCAGGTTAAGCCACCGGTGCCAAAATCGGAGTTCATTCCCAATGCCACTAAAACTCGACTAGGTTGAACAAATTCTATCGGATTTCAAAACCAGATCTCTTCCAGGTTGTTTTACACGCCTCTTTCAAAACCACCCTGAAAGGAATCTGATGTTCATCACATGGCCGCCATACCTCAAAGAGAACTGATTCCGGTCCCTGGGCAAACACCTCACAAAAGGGAGCCACTGTTTGTTCCGAAAACATCCAGGGTGAAGTGGTCTCTATCAAGGCTCTTTATGTCCCCGATTTGCATCACCCGGCCTCGAGGGAAACTAATTCCATTTTTCCCAACAAGCGAAGTTCAACAAAAACACTCCAAATAGGAACGTAAGGAGCCCTATAGAACCCCCCGAATAAACCTCCGAGTTTCGTTTCTGTAAGCTCCCAAATACTCGCCCTCCCAGAAACCGAGTAGAACCCGCACAGGGGATTCCGGAAGACCGTCTTCCCTTTAAGGGAGACCTGTGCAGGTTCCAGTTGTTTCTTTTTGGCGGGTAGTGCTTGTTCTTTAAGGGCTGCATTCATTCTCGTAAGGGGCTAAAATGTGTATGTTTGTCCGGCCCTTACTTACCCGCAAACTGATCCAGGGCACCACATGTTTGTGGTTTTGAAAGACCAACAAAACGGAACACCGCCATTTTGTGGGGTTCCCTAGTCTAAGACACAGCCCCATCTGCGCCATGATCAAAAACTCGAATGCTTAATAGGGGCCCTTACTCATTCGGCAGATCACCAGAGGCCATGGGAGAAAAGGGCACCCTTTCTTGTTGGGTGAGTTTAAAGGCCTGGAGAACCCTTACCCAAAAAAAGTTGAAACAAGGGCACTGGGCAACACCCGCTAAATGACCATCCCTTGTTAACCCCGGCCTCTTGGAATGAACCCTGGGGTCCCCTAGGAAACGAATGGGATGGTTGAAGGTAAGCCCCTGGAGAAAATAGAACAACTATGTCCAGTGATCGATTCCCAATAAAAAACCAAACAGGCGAAAAGAAACACAACAAAAGGACATCTTCAGCAAATGGAAGGTACCCTCCCGCCAATTGACAGGGAATTGGACCGGGGGGTCCTGTTTTTGGGACAAATCTTTTGTTTTTAAAAGGGGACCATTTCCCGAACGTCAAGCTCCATGTGTTAATTGGTGGGAATGTGCAACACAAACCCTTCAAAAAGCAAACAACCAGTAGCCTCCCACCAGCCGGAACCCGTTCGGGTATTCGTTGAGCCTGGCCCTCTTTTTCAGCACTGGTTCCATGTGTTAATTGGGTGGGATGGGTAATTCGTTCAGGCGTTCCCCTCACTCAGATGCCCAGTAGATTTCCCGTGGGGAAAAATAATCGGCATAAGGAATCGGAACCCTTCCCAAAAACAAGTTGAACAAAGGGAAGCAACCCACTGACCAACATTTGCTTCATCCACCCGGGGTTTCGGTTGCACGTGGCACTGGGCAGCTGGGAACAAAACCGCGGGACCCACTGGGCAGCTCGGTTGCTTTCTGCTCCCCTGCTAAAAGTGAATAACTTTTAGTGGGTTTGATATGGAACACCAACTAGTTGGCAAAAAGGCAAAAAGTCCTAACATCCCTTGGCAAACATTTTAACTGTTAGTGGGTTTAATACGGAAAACCCATTAGTTGGCAGAAAGTTATTAGGTCCTAACATCCCTTGGCAGAATCTCACCAAAGGCTGGGCTGCACGATCTGCGATCTCAGATCTTGGTTGCTGCAACGACCCCTCTGCAAAAAGTGGAAAACTGTTTGTAGGTTTAATACGGAAAACCCAACTTGATTTCAAACAAACAGTTAAAGTCTAAAGATCCGTTGCCCAATAGCAGTCAAGTAAAATTGGATTTCCTCTACACTCTGGGGTTCAACCAATCAAAACAAGGCGTTGCTTCTTTGTAACCACCAGTACAAATAGAAAGATCTCCGTCCTCCGCCAGGTGCTCAGCTTCCTCTCCCGCCTGTGGCTCGGGCAATCGGGGACTGCCGGTCTGACTCCCGCGTTGGCCAAACCATGGCGTCGGGAAGTTTCTATTTGGGGCTCAAGGCTCACTTGCCCCTTAGCGACCTGGGAACAAAAGCCAATCACCTTTTGGGACCTCTACTAGGTCTTCCAGATTTGAGAGCTTAGGATAGGTTGGTACCAACTTTTTTCTTTTTGTGGAACCCTCCCCCAAAAAAGAAACGGTAAAAGGGCACTACTGGGGGACCTAGTCTTCCAACCCCAAGGAAAAATGAGTTCTTGTGGACAGGATCTTCCCAAATGTTGTTTGAAGTCTAAAACTAAAGCCATAAAGGATGTTGTCATGCAAGTAAGGTCTACAACTAAAGCCATAAAGCGTTTGTTGTAAACAAAAACAGGGTTCGGCATCACATGTGAAGTGCATGTGTTCAGCCAATCTTGGCTGGGGATCTGCCCAAGCAGGGCAAGACCGCATCCAAGGCGCCAGAAAAGCATGTTTTGCCGTAGCGGGCCGACATGCTTTTGGAGGAAACCAACTTGGAACCCCCATCCCTTGGAGGGTTCCTACACTTTGAAAGACCTGGCTCCTTGATTCTGACCCAAACGTGGCATCGGTTTAAAAGTGATTGAAGCCCTGACAACCCATACTTTATCGTCTATCTTGAACTAGGAAACCGGCCTGCAACAGAACCCAGGGGTGCCACTTGGGAGACAAATTCGGCCTCCACAAACATGGCGAACCCGTGGACTGCCTAGTTACAACAGTGGATGGAATCTCAAAGGCTGCGTTCTCTCTTTCCTGTGGTACTGTGGATGGACAAAATCCACTTCGCACCACCTAAGAAACCCTAGAATCATAATTCTCCGATAAAAGCCAACAAATTATGCTTTCTCATGGTTTCCATCTGGTGCAGGATTTCGTTCATCCACAGGTGTGGTTCTTCAGGGCCTCATGAAAACTTGGAATCCACAGACCAAACCTGTGAGGCTTTAAAGGGATACTAAATGGAACGTACTGTGCGGGCCCGTTACTTAAAGGGGCAGGGTACCTAGTAAGTGGTTAGTAAGCATGGTTACAAGTCCCCTAATTGGGTTATAACCCGGCTTACTAACCACTTACTAGGTACCCTGCCCCTTCAAGTAGTTCAAGCCACACCCAAAAGAAGCCGATCCCCTCTTAACGTAAAGGCCTAAGGCTGGCACCGTCAGCGTTGCCCTGCCGAGCTTTTTCACCTCGGGGGAAAAGAAAAACGCACAAAGTGGCGAGAAGAAACACCTGCCGTTAACAGAAGGCACCTGTGGGAGGGTACCTGGAAGATAAGTGTCCTCTTCTGCCCCAAAACGTCAGGTGCCAAGGCAACGTGGCAGTGAGGCTTAAAGCAATTCTGGCCAGGACCTGGAAGTGCTGGGTTAGGTCGGTGTTGGACAAGCAAGACCCGGCTAAAAAAAGTGGGATGTTCTCCTTTCAGTGGTCTGATTCCCCACGAAACCCGGCGATGCCCCCTATTTATCAGCCAGGGGGAAGATTCATCCGGGGTTCCTCAATTTTAGCATGTTTCACAAACCCGGAACTCAAAAATCGTCAGGGACCTCCATGATGATCTCACTTTAACCGGACCCGTGGGCTCGTGGTACCTCGCCCATCACTTCGCCACATGTCCCTTTTAAAGGGAAAGCAACGGAGAAACCAACCACCCTGTTGGCTCTGAACCAGGAGAAGTTCGCACTTGCTGGGTTCCTGTATCCAGTCCAACGGAGCTCACTAAGCAGTGAAGGCCTCAATACGGTTCGATTGGAACAACCCTTTTGGATGCTCAAACTCAAACCGCTCGCGGGAGCAAACATGGTTCACGGGGTTAACTGAATCCTGAAGGAATGGCCAAGTCCAGTCCAAGGAAAATGCGGCGCTTGTTATACATCCAACTGGAAACAGCACCCTGGTTTCTTGAAACGTATGGGTGCTGCACTTTGTTGGAGTGGCAACTAGTTGGCTGAGTTGTTGAGGAGTGAAATGTCTGCCCATCTGTGGGCCTGCAGGTAAGGCAAGCTGTGGCGGCAAGTTGTTATGACCCTTGATGCGACCAATGTGATATGAATACGAGACCACCATCATGGGTGACGTTGCCAGTCCTATGTCAGCTGGTCCCCCCAATTTGTGTTTCAACACCTGCATGCAAAAGGATCCCTTCCCTTCTGTCAAACCTTGAGGATTTCTGCTGCATTGAGGACCACCGCCATAGTGCCAAATCAGGAGGCGGCTGGGCTGACCAAAAAGCAGCGGGTTCGACACAAACATCATGCAGCTAAGTCAACAGCTTCACGTGCATCTTTAGCGCGAATCGAACGCGCCCCAGCCTCATTCTCTTGCCCAGCTTGCTTGCCCAAACCCTCTTTGTGTTGACTTTACGGAGCTTCCGTGGTTTAGAGAGCAGGCATGCGCCATCTGAAATTTAGGCTGCGGAAACAAGTGGAAACCAACAAGGGCGAAACCCACTGGGCAACAAAGCTTTTCTGGCAAACTGTGCACATGCCTCTCTGTGCGGCCCCGGCTGCGCAAAACAAGCCTGTGGACGTCTGCTTCATCAGCCTGGGAAAAAAAAAGGAATTGCGCGCCCCGATGGGCTTGGTGGCTTGGTTCCTGGCCCTGCCCTGGGGTTTAGGGTTCAGGGTTCAGGGTTTAGGGTCTAGGGTTTAGGGCTTGGTGGAGGTTCCTGGCCCTGCCCTGTTCACAAACTCCTGCGACCCTTCATCTCACTTGCTCCTTGGTTACCCCATGAAAGTTCTGGTTCTAAAGGGAAGCCAAAAAAAAAACCATCAAATGGTGGGTCCCACTAAAAACTCACTTGCCCCCTAGGGACCTGGAAATAAAAGACGATCGCCTTTTGCCTCTACTAAAGAAGGGAACCCAAAAAGGGAAAACCGGACGGTCAAATCCGATCGGTTTTAAACACCTGAGTAATTGGTGTCATCTTGGTCTTGCTGGTTCTCAGCAGGGAATGAGAAATGGACTGAGCCCGAAAAAAAGACACATCCCCTAACGGTGTCCTTTCAGGGAATCCAATTCCCAACACCCTGGAGCATTCCCAACCTGAGAACTTCCAATGTTTTGAGGAACGAACGGCGAGAGGTGCGGGGTGCGGGATATACGGAAATGGGGGGATGGAATGCCATGAGTACGAAGCAAAAGGACAACGATGAACAAACTGCTAGAACGTGTTTGGCTTTCACTTGAACTAGCTGAAGAGTGACAATTGAAGGGTTTCCTTTTGGGAATCAAACTAACCTTCAAAGGACACCTATGGCAGGGTGTGTTTCTCCACACCCTTTTGGAACATATTTACAGGCACAAAGAACCGCAAAGAATGCCTTGAGAGACCAAAAGGGTGCTGTCGCTACGAGGAAACTCCTCGGAACCGCAAAGAAGCCCCGATCCTTCTCTTTTTGAGGGCTGGGCCCTTTGTTTGGTAGAAATAAAGGGAAACCAACAGAGAAATACGTGTATACATATATATATATATATTTGTGACATTTGTGTATATATGTTTTTAGTACATGCACCAAGGTGAACGTAGATGGCACAATTATTCTGATGTAGGCAAGTCAAGGGAATGCCTAAACCCAGATGGGGATAGTGTGCCATCTACTTTCACCCAAATGTATTCTTTTTTTGCTGACGTCAATACTGATCTTCACAGGCAACAAGTGGGTCATGATCAAAACCTGGTACAAAAACGGTGAACCCAGAACCATGTGAGGAATTGAAAAGGCGGCCGCACCTAATTCTGGCTGAAATTGTCCCTTACTAACCTTCATCTACCCAGGTGTTGATTGAGGCTCAAGTGAAACTGGTTCTGTGAGTCGCGGGCTCGGCACATCATCAAACTGCCGCAGCCTTCGCACCCGTCACTTCCGGGGCCGTCTCGGCCTTGCCAGGCAGCAGGGGGGCCATCTCATCGTGATTGCCCTTGCTGTTCACGAAGAAGTTGACACCATCCCCATGGGGCGGGGCGACCGGCAGAAGCCAAAGGGACACAACCGGTCCCAGAACTGCTCTGATGTTCTCGAAAGGGCCCTGGTCATAGCTCACCACTCGACTGCCATAGACAGCTGTTGCCTTCTCACAGAACTCGATCGTTGTGGAGGCATTTGACATAAGCCAACAGTGAAAGAACAGAAAACATCCCAGCAGAGTGCCCATGATCACTGCCAGAGTCATGCCGAATACCAGGGCAAACCGATACTCTGGATCCATTTCATCAATTCCAGCTCTGCACACTGTGCTTGCCATGGTGGCAACGATGAACCAGCAGTTCATTGCAGAATATAAGACGAGCAGGAAGAAGTACTTGTGATTCCTGAAGCCAACGCAATTTGCGATCCAGGGGCAGTGGTGGTCCATCCGCAGGACGCATGAATTGCAAATGCGGCAATGGTGACATCTGTCTGGCTTGTACTTTGAACATTTTGAGCAGTACCGCCGCTCGCCATTCTGCTTCGCCTCGTGGCATATGAGCCCGAATGCCTGCGAAGAGCCCGCGTTCCTGGCCGTTTTGGCCCTTCTGTTCTCCTCACGCAGCCAAACTTCCGTGTCCGGCACAGAGCCCGGGCTCGTGAAGACTGCCCTTAGGAAGCAAAGCATCATCATGACGAGTAGCATCTGCGACAGGACAGTCTGAACCATGCCACTTCGTTGCAGATCCTGGTCCACCTCGACTTCATGGAGCTGGAGCAGTCTTCGGAGATGAAAGCCCACGTACGTCGACCAGATGGTAACAATGATGCCCAGTACGAACACAACCGGCAAGATGTTTGACAGCGTCCATCTGTGGTGTTTGAACGCCATGAACTCGCAATATGTAGACAGCACCCGAGCCGTTGCTCGTGGGGCTGGTTTCACCTAAAAAGGAAAGACACCAGGAGAACGGGAAAACCATCCCCCGCTTGAGCCAATGTACATTTGGGTTTGTTGAATTGGGGGTCTGGAAGACTTAACACATTACCCTTCCCCTCATCACTTCCAAAACAAAAAGGACAAGGCCATGCCATTTAGCACCCAGAAATCCCTCCTCAACCCTGGGGGAGTCCTCTAAAATGGGTCAAATTCCCCTAACAAAAGGGAAAGCCCTCCTGATTGGTGTGGTGCCCCGGATTTATCCAAAGTTCACAATGTCAGTAACCGGTTAGCATACCCAAGCAATACGTTTGGCACACACGAGGTCTGCTTTCAAAGGAGCGCGCAACGAAAGAAGGGGGGCCATTGTGCTGTACATTGACCAGCTTCCCTCTGTTTGGCGCAAAGCCCGGTGGGGAGGTGGGTGGCTTCCTCTGCAACCGGAGCTTCGAACCCCCAACCAATCCTAACCACGGCGTGCCTGGACCAGGGCTGTGGGAAATGACCACTTCTGTGATACAACAAAAAGGGCTTCCCAAAGACTAACCCCCCATATAAAGGGGGAGATTGATTCCCTTGTAATTATTACAGAAGTGGGGATAAACCCCTTGATCCCACAACCCTGGCCTGGACTGACAAGGAAAGTTGTTCCGTGACCCAGGTAGGAAAAGGATTGGGGGCCCTTATTTTTTTGGGGGTTGAAAGCCACTTGGAACCGCTGGGAAGCCACCGGAATGGAATCCAAAATGAAACCAGCGAGAAACCCTCTATCAGATGTTGGTTTCACAAGGGTCTGGTACTCCAGCTTAACATGGCACCTGGAACGCGATGTCGGTCTCCTGTTTTCGGGACCCCGTTGCTCCGTTGTGGGCTACATGTTCATTCGCAGAAAGGCTTGCGTGATGAGCAACAGCTGTAAAAGGATGCATCTCGGCTAACATGGAACCCTTTTGAGGACTCTGGCTTATTCCTTGGCGAAGTTTCAGAGACTTTTGGGCCATGGGTGGGCCTCCCTTTTGGCCCCCCCCCCATAAAGAAAAACAGAAACCAAAAACAAAACACACACAACAAGAGGAAACAAAAAAAACGGAATACAAACATAAATAAACCATAATGATGTGGTCTTCCTTTTGGCTCCCTTGAACACCGACCCACTCCAAAAATGGCACCCCCCGCAAGGGTACACAGAAACGATTCTGAGGGGTTTGATGTCTTTGCGCTCCCAAAACGAAAGCCCGGGCAGGCAACAAGCACCTGCGCAAGTAAAAAGTGAAGGTTGGCACTGCTGCCCTTCTTGGGCTCATCCCGCCCATTGCACGCCGTCCCATGTTGACCCCATGGCATGCATTTTAATTTAGGCACCCTGTGGACATCGTGCAGGTGGGGATTTATGTCCACCAACCACTTTTCAGGGGGTTTCTCATGAAAATTCCTAGCCAATGGTCAATGTGAGGGTGTGTGCTAACTTCCGTATGAGTGGCCCGTGTTCATGAGATTTCTGCAACACAGTGAGTGCGCACCCCTTTGAGGGGATCCTGTAAACTTCGACGTGGGCCCTGGTTTCTGAAACCGACCTGCCGAATGTCCATACAAGTTGCAGCCCAAAATCATGGACAAACCTACAAACAACATGAAGGGCTGTGTCTCAAAATGGGGGACTCCCCTCCCCAAAAAAAACATATTGATAGTTTGCGTTTGGTTCCCTTTAAAACCACAATCCAACAGGCCCAGGGCAAAACCCTCGCTTCTGAAAGCCACAGGCAGGACATCCCAAAACCCGCCTTTTCAGGGGATCTGTTGAACCAGCCGGCGAAGCTTGTCTTGTTTAACTGGCCCACATGTATATTTGTGTCAAAACAAGGGATGTTCACATTTTGGTTTCTCTTTGCAACCACCCCAAACAGGCCGCGCAACTCAGTCGCCAAAGGGACCTACAAATAAAAGGTTAACCTTTTGGGGCCAAGACACAAAATAACCAAAAGGTCAGATCCGGTCTGTTTTCTTGGACAAGTGTGAAAAAAACCAACTCACACCATGGGTTCCACTGTTTGACTAATTACCTCAGGGAGGCTGAAACAAGGCTTTTTTCTAGAGGACATGAGCCAGCCTGGGTTTAAGTCAATCTTGGGGTATTCTAAAAGTGGATCCCCTGCACACGCACACACACACACGCGCACCTAGGAAGTTTCTATTTGGGGCGCTGGCGCCCCTAGCGACCTGCAACAAGGCGATGACCCTCTTTCCAACAATCATGGAAGTGGACAAAGGGGTTGCCCAAAAGGAAAATCGTCTTCCAAAACCCTGTCAGCTTCCAGGGTACCTTTTGGGAGGTTGGAGGGAGGGTACCTTTTGGGACAAAAAAAAATGGGCCGGCCCCGGGGTTCCCGACAGAACCTCGCCAAAGGCGCCGCGGCCCAGTGGACGGACTTCTTCGAAGTCCTCGGCCGCGGTGGGGGGCGGTGGGGGGGCGGTGGCGCCAGCCCACGAGTCACACACCGAAGCAGCGCGGTTTGGCCGCCGGTGCTCTGGAGGCGTGCAACCCTTCCAATTTGGTGTCCAAAGGAACTGGGGCCCGAATCCGAACCCACTTGGAACTTGATCACCTGCCCAAATGGCCTGGAAATAAAGGGTGAATCTTTTGGAAACCTTGAGAGCAATACACCAGCAAAGGGAAAAGTGAAAGATCAAAATATGGTCAAAGGGTCGGTTTGGGGCATCCAGACGCGGCATGAGGCCTTCCTTTTCTTGCTTCCAGGAACACTGACCTCAAAAAAACATGCATCTTGCCAGAGGCTTGTTTGCGCGTCCCAGGACATGCGAAGCATGCACAGGGCGCTTACTTTGAGCAGTTTCTCGAACGCCTGTCACCCCTTGACTTTGCCTCTCTTGTCCTCTCTTCTTTTCTCTTCACTACTCCTTCCGCTCTCATCTACTTTTTCACGACAGCCTTTTCTTCTCTTCTCTTCTCCATTAATACTGTAGGGGGGTGCTTTTCCAACTGGGTTTAGTAGGGCATCACTTTTGGAGGGGCCCCCACCCCCCCGAATTTAATGACCTTGTTGGTTGGATAATGTGGGGTCAACATTAGGCTTGAACACAAGTAGGCGGGGAGTGTGCAAAGGCTAAGCTCTGCGCATCCATGGGGCAGCCTCAGCGCTCACATCGGAAGCCTGCGCCAAGTGGTCTTGGGACGAGGCTTTGACTCGAAAAGGGCATCTACCCCGGGGTTCAGTCGCCACCATTAAAACAAGGGTTGGGTTTATATAACCTCGGTTGCTTTCTGCTCCCCTGCTAAAAGTGAATAACTTTTAGCGGTCTAATACGGAAAACCCATTAGTTGGCAAAAAGCGATTCAGTCCTAACATCCCTTGGCAAAATGCCCCGAAGTAACCATCATTTACCTAAGGAATTGAATCATCCCAAGGGTTGAACCTTAGGGTCTACGTGTTTTTGGGCTCGCGCCGGCAACCATTTTTTCCTTCCAACTGAAGGGTAACCTACATGTCTGGAATAAGTTTGCGAGGTTTTCAAGGGTAAATTGGGTATATATCTCAACCAGGGGAACGGAATGATTGCCCTCAAGTTCGCCATCATCGTGTGACAATTGGCGCAGCGGGCCAGAATCCAAGCTAAACTCACAAAAGCAAACACGCAAACTAGATTGACCCATCCGCACTATAACCCAAGTAAAACCAAAGCAAGCAAGCAAGCAAGCAAGCAAGCAAGCAAGCAAGCAAGCAAGCAAGCAAGCAAGCAAGCAAGCAAGCAAGCAAGCAAGCAAACGGTCAAATCCGCACAAGTGCATACATATTCCTCTTGCGCATGATGTGTTAGTCTCCTTCCCCTATTATCTTTGCCATTATTTCCCGCGCGACGCATTCAAAGGGGATCACCTCCTGCCCTGAAGGCAACATTTTACGTTTCGCACAGGCCATTGCTTGGCTGATGCGGCCAAGTGAAGATCGGCAATTATATCGAAAATTGAAAAGGGAGCACTGCACTTTGCGAGGGGGCAGGAGTACTTTATACCAAACGTAAGAATCAATGGGCTAAGCTTTTGGACTCAGGAGAAAAAGTAGACTCGTGGCTAAAGTAGAGCTAAGATCAAGCTATTGGAGCCCCCAAAGCAAGGTGACTCTCGGTCAGAGGGTTCAAAGGCTGTTTCGCTTTGAGCAAGCAAGGTGGTTCCCAACTTCCTGAGATTGGCCAACAACAATTCCCGCAAACCTTATTGTTTACCAGTTACTGGGTCCTCCAGTAGAGAGAGTGGAGTAAGGGTACCATTTTTCTATAGTCTGTTTTAGTAGGGGAACCCTCCCCAAAAAATGGTAAAAGGGCACTACTGGGGGACCTAGAAAAGGTCTAAATCCGGAAGCCCGGAAGTGCGTCGAAACCTGCTTCTTCGGTGGGGTTGCGGCCATGTGGCTGTGGGTCAAAACCCTGTACCCCTGGTGAACATCCAAATAGGAGGTACATGGGTGTTCATCCGCCCCAAAATGGAGGCATAGGTTCTGACCATGGCCATGTGGCTGCGGGAGAGGCGGAGTCCGCAGCCAACCCAAAGAACGCCCCATCCGCGCGCCCTCGCCATCTGCCCATGGCCAACGGCGCTCGCGAAGGCGGGCTCTTTCCGTTGGAGCGCTGGCTCGCTGAAGGCGAAAAGGAGCCGACACGGTGAGCCAAAGATCTTTTGGGTACCTTCCATTTCCATTCTTTCCAGGGATCCGATTCTTTTCAGGAAACCATCATAAAAAACCCAGGGGAAACCGATCCGGTTCTTGAAAAGAAGGATGGTTGACCAGAATGGACCAGGAATCAATCCCTAAGAACCAATGCTCCCGGCCAAAGGGCCGGAAGGAACCCGGCAGTTCCCCTTCTCACTTCCGAGTGGATTGGTCGGAAAACATCATGAAACTACCACTGGGGCTTCCTGAGCGCCGGCTCTTCACCACGGAAATGGTCTACCATGGTCTACCCATTGAAGTCCAGGAACTCAGGGAGTGAGACAAGCATGGTTAGGGAAGTACACATCCGGAGTGGGTTGGTCAGGCAAAAGCCCAAAGTTGTTTGTTTGCCGTAGGAAGATCCTTTCCCAAAAGCTGAACATCCACCAACTGGGGAAGCCAAGTTAGGCCCAATTAGAATCAGGAGTATAACCAACTTTCCTCAGTGTGTGGCTGAAACATCCATGTGGGTTATAACCCTCGTTGAAACTCATGCATCCCCTCTCCCACGTATGACTGGGATTATTTGGTAAGGGCACATTTCTGTGCGGCCGCCCTTTTGATTGCTTATTTCTCCCTGTCTCTCTCCCATGACTCCAAGAACATACCCATGCTCGCAATGCACATTTAAAAATGCACCCAGTACATGCCTGTGGCCTAACTTTGACGATGACTCAACTGACGTGGGTTGACCACTGAATTAGTGGGTAAGTAGACACTCATGGGTGCTGTTGCTTTTCTCACTTCCAAACTTTTTACTTTAAACTGGTCTTCCCACAAAGTCTGAAGTCTAGGAACTCGATCGGAAGTGAATCTTTGGGGCCAAACGTCTACCCTGACGATCCAACACGTCCTGTATCTCACTCAAGCCAGCCCCAATCAAACCCAGGCCACCCCCCAAAAACCCGAGCAGCGCAAGCACCAGTGTATGCTGTCTGTGCGGCAGCAAAAGGCTTACCCCTCCAACCACTTCCTGCATCAACCCCTTCCAAAGAGTGTCACGGAAGCCTTGCAACTTAGTCCCTGGCCCCACACGGACACCGTGGGACATCAACAGGTCAAAAGGCAGTCGCTTGGGGCGGTCAGGGGCGGTCAAGCCGCGAAACCCAGAAGAGCTTGCCAAGGTAAACCGGCCAAAACCCAAAACCTGTCCGCGGCATTTTGCGCGAGGGATTCTGCTTGGTCTATGGGCCGACGGCCGACGGTCGCCCTGGGGCGTCTCTGAATTCTGGGCCGGTCAGCTTGGGCTGGAGCTTGGGAAGGCGGCTGGGGAATCAGGCCAGGCTCAATAACAACTGGGTCCACTGAAGTGACATCTGCAAAACTACCCCAGAAGCAAAACTTGAGAACCCCTCAACACTCTGACACACGTAGGCAAGCGACTGCATTGCATGGTTATGATCAACTGGCAGTGGGTCACCCTGTACCCCTGGTGAACATCAAACAAAGGTGGCGAATGGCTGTGGCTGAAAAACCGGAATTCCAAAATGGGTTGCCCTGGTAAGTGGAAACATGGAGCAAAACCTGCGGTTTGCTCCTCCTGTTTAATTTTGCGCCACACCCTGGATGGTCACCCACCCCAACATGGGATCGCCATAGGTTATGCGGGCATGGCCAACTATGCCCGCAAGGACCTGGGCAAAAGGGGGGGCCAAAAGGTCCAACGGTCAAGTCGCTTTGGGCAGCTTGACCATCAAAATTAAGGGAGAAATCTTGCAAGTTCTCAGAACCTTCTTAGAGGTTCTGAGCAGGGTAGGGGCCCAACCTCCCTTCCCGAGTGAATGTGCTCAAAAAGTCCAAACTGATTGTTTTCCACGCACATGGTCTTTCCAAAAAGCTTGAAGTGCAGGAACGCAGGGAGTCAGAACCGGTTTGCTGCATCTTAACCTTCTACCCGATTCTTGCCGCCCCCCTCTCCAACTTTCACCCAGCCGCGCTATCTCGGCACGTTTTTCTTTCGGGCGGTTCCCCGTGCGCCCGAGGCGATGCCTAGCAGCTGCAAGCTGCTTGCCTGGTTCTGATCCAGGAGTCTTGAGGCACACCTGGGCGCAGAAAAAAATGGAACGGCAGCCAAGCAAAAGTGGCACGCTAAAGTAAGCAGAAGAAAAGGAAGCTGAAGCAAATCCAAGCAGAGCCAAACGAAGAAACACACAAAAACAACAAACAAACACTGACAACAAGACAGGCATCCAGCCATGCAGGCCATCCAGCCATCCGCCCAGTGACCAAGAAACACAGGGAGACACCAACAAACAAACAATCAAACAAACAAGCAAACAAACAAACAAACAACCAGACAACACTAACATACACTAACCAAAGCCAAGTCAATCCAAAGAAAACCGCACCAAGCAAGCCAGCGAGCTAGCAAGCCAGCAAGCAAGCAAGCGAGCAAGCGAGCAACCAAGCAAGCAAACAACCCGAGCAACCACACAAGCCACCAACCTACTTTAAAGGGAACAGCCAAACCCCTGCGTTGGAAGGTTGGGGCCGAATTCATCGCAAAAGGTGCATTCGCTTGCGCTTCTGGTTGCCAAGCTCCACAAAGCCAAGCAACACACTAAACTCAATCCCCGCAAGCAGTGCGCAAGTCGATGAAGCCCTAAGCCGGTGTTCTCCTAAGAAAACGCCTGTAGAGCACTTACGAATTCCAGAAGTGCGCAACAGCTCAGATGCCCAGTGGCCATGGGAAAAATGGCATCTTTTTTTGGTTGGTTCAGTTTAAAGGGGAACCCTTACCCAAAAAAAGTTGAAACAAGGGCACCACTGGGCAACAGAGACAGTGTTCTTGCAAGTTTGAGTATGGCTACCCCCAGGGTTCCGTTTTGGGACAACCCCAAAGTAGACATAAACCCAGGGGTGGTTGATATCCCCAAAGGGAAACCCCTGGGTTTAAGCCCACCTTGGGGTAGTCAAAAAACAGAACCCTGGCTACCTCGCACCCCCCCCTTCCCCGGTTGACACAACACGTGGACACTTCGCCGAAAACACCAACAGCCAGGCACGAGACGAGGCGCCGCTCGCACGTTTTACCCCACTGCTCCATGCGAGCTGACCCCACGCCACTGGTGGCAGCCTTGCCTGAAAGCATTTCAGTATCATGTTGCTTCTTTTACTGGAACCACACCTGAATAAGCCTCAGGTGACATTGATAGTAATACTAATAACAATAGTATAACGAGTCGTGTTTACTTTTTTGCTAGTCGTGGGTACGAAGACTTAGTCGGTGGCACACCCCCTTCTCGCCTCAGGTGCATTTCATTGCATTTCCGCATCGCAAAAGTTTCTTTGCCATGGGCAAAAACACGATTTAGACTTTCATTAGTAAATACATAGGTAGCCCCTCCCATCAATTCTCAGATAACCAAGAACCCACACTCAATAGAGGGATCAAGCCTAATCACAACAGCAATAAAAACTCAACAGTCAAACTTACCGTGTCAAACTACTTGTTGAAGGTTTAAATGTCGATCTGCTTCAACACTAGACAAAGACAACAAACGCGCGTCTGCCATTCAACAGCTTGGCCTTGCACAGAATCTGAAGATCGAGACTCAGGCTCACAGAATCTGAACACGACAACAAGCAACAACCAGAACAAACCAACAGCAGCTTGTGTTGCTCTAATCTCATATCCTGCCTCACGATCCAGGTCGCCCCCGGTTGGTGCGTAAGAACAGTTGAATTAGACTCATGCAGATATGTTGTTGCGGGTTCGCCCAAAAATGGCTTTCCCTCTAGTGTCCCTTTAACAAGAAAACAACTTAGAAAGATGCGCCCATATGTGCCATCACGTGTCACTGTCTGTCACTGGCCGTATGCAACATGCGTTCTATTTTTAACTCAGCAAGCTTCTAAGGGCCCAACTGTAAGTTACCCCTTGGGGAGTCGCCCCTAGGTACCACAAAGGCTCGCATACAGTAGGGTTAAATACATGGAACGAGCCAGCAGACTTTGCTGGCTTGAAGACTCAAAACACCGAGGCAAAGCTCTCCACCAATGGCCGAGCAACCAGTGCCCCCGAACCCCTGCGAGGAAGGTCGGCTACAAGCCAACCCCTCGGCAGGAGCACTATGTGCTCTGTCTGAACCACGCCCTTGCAAATCCAAGCAACCTGGGCAAACAAGCGCCCTCTGTCCTGTCTCTCACTTGATGGGCATATAAGGTTAATCTTTTGGAACCTCTACTAAACATGCACAAAAAGGGAAAAGCAAACGGTCAAAAGGTCTGGTTTGAACACCTGAGGTCTTTTGACAATTTGAGTACCTTATTCCAAAGATACCCATTTAGGTAATGCTCTTCCCCAAGTTCGCCGTAACCCCTGGCTCCCTCCAGTATTCTAAAGAAATCCCCAAGAGACCTTCATGTGCGAGCTGGTTCCACCCCGAGCTGAGAGAGTCAAGAGACGAAGCTCGGAGGTTTCACTTTCAAGGGCCATCCAGAATCCAGCCCTTAGAGTTGCAAGGGTAGAGATGGGCGCTTCTCCAAAATGGGGAACTCTCTGAATGCCGGGTTTGCTTCTTGCCTTGCTTTCTAAAGCCATCCAAACAGGGCTCAATAAACATATCTCACACCCAATTTACTGTCATTGGCTTGAAGGTGATGTTTAATTCCACTTTGAGACAATACTAGGAATCGAGCCCTGCAATGGGGCGGGCTCCCCACTTTGAGAACCCAAATATTCGACGATCGGAAGAGATTCGCTCGGCCAAAGCTCTCACCGACAAAGTGCCTGCGAATTCCGACGCTCGAGCCGGCGAACTGCTAAGAGTGTCGCTAAAAAAATGAATGCGTTCTTTTCGTGAATTCCAGCAATGAAAAAAACAGCTCAAAGAGAGGTGCGCCTCAAAGGGATGAGGATACCTCCCTATGAGTCTCATGGGATCGTATGTTGGGGGGGGCATGAGTATCTCCGCTTGGGTTAACTGAAAAGGGGCCCTAGAAAAGCGAAGGTTGAATTCGTATCCGCTGCAAACGAGCCAGAAAACATCGACTTATACACTAGGCTTGGTCCGAAGACCCTGGAAAAGTACGTTTGGTCATCGTGAGCCCTTTTTTGGGTGGTTTTGGAAACCAAAAGGAAAACCTTCTTTTCGGTGGTCCAAATCCTGCAAAAAGACACACCGACTTCCACAAACCATTCTTGGCAAATATATTTGCGAGCAGCTCCCTTCCTTGAGGTGCTGCTCAAAGGTTCCGGCTCTGCTTCCCCTGTATGCTGACTCCTGCGTTATTCATCCCGGGGTCCGCCTTGGAAGAAAGGAATCCCCGATCCCCCTGATACATAAAGGGGGGGTTCATCAATCAGCACACAACATTAAATAGAGGACGCTCACGTTGAAAGGGCCTTGAAGGTGATACGCCTTACCCCACGCCAAGCGAAGCAAATAGAAATGGACAACAAAGCCACGCACGTGCTCGCCGCTGACATCCCCAGATTTGCGGATCGCAGGAGGGTGGAAAGGGCTCAATGTGCCCCGTGCCCGCCTCGCCTCAGGCGTGGGCGCTCGTGCGCGCCTGAGCGCGCTGCGGAACAGCATCGTCTTCCTCACACCTCGCGCAATGTGCGAGACGGCCAGGTCAACATGACCAACTCTCCAACAGTTCTATTCTCACTTACGATCGCGTTGGTTGGCCACAACAGGTACTAAAATGGTCTTGCCAAAAAGCTTAAAGTCCATGAACTCCGAGGGTGAGAATGTATCTAGTTCTACTGGGGCATGGAGCCAATCCAAGCCGATATTTAACCCTTCCATATTCAATGTTCGAAGGGGTGGGATCTAAAAGAAAAGCAACAAACTCAGGATACGGAAGCATTCCGAAAGCCCTTGGCAGAACAGCAAGCATACAAGCATGTAAACGTTTAAAGAGTTGATTTCAGCAAGTAAGAGCATCGAAACCGCAACTTCATTTCAATGTGCGCATGTGTGAAACGAGCTCGGGCCCCGAGAACAGCAGTGCAGACACAGATATTCGCGAGCCGTTGATTTGCTTACGGGGGGTTGCACCATTTCCCGAGATTAAGCTCCACAAAACCAGCGACTCTATACCCCCCAAACAACCAAACTACATGTGCATAGTATGTATACCTGGACCTTCCGACCATGTAAAATTGACGCTGTTTCCCAAAGCCTCAATAATTTTAGACGGTTGCTGAAACAAAACGCTCTTTCGGAGAAAAAGCGCTCGCCGTGAGTCCAGCTCGTGACCAGGCAAACAAAAACGCCGTTTCACCGGCAAATTACACCGTTTTGCAATTTTGATTGATGCTAGAGTGTGCAAACACTGAAAACTGCAGGCAGGCGACAATAATCGCCGTTGGGTCAAAAACCTACTTTTTGACAAAACAGCTATAATTTTGCACATGTTGGAAGACCCAGGTATATGTACAATATGTATCATACATGTAAATACATGTATATGTATGCATTATTGCCTCCAGGCAATTTCCGGGGCCAAATGGGGGATGGTATTTCTGGAGAATTGAACATAGGACTCCAAGGATAAGCACCGTTCAATAGGTTCCACTGTGGATGGTTGCGAAATCCATTTCGCACCACCGTCCAACGCTTGATTCCCCAACGTGCATACCAACAAACATTCTGGCTTCAACCATTTCTGAATTCGTATGGGTCAAATTCTGGTGATAGTGGGAAACAATTAACCCATGTTCCAGTGAAAGCGGTTTCCTTTAAACCTTTAAACCCCAAGAGTCAGAAACCATATTCTTATAATCCCCCTTGCCGTGTTCTGCTGGTAAGGATCTCCCTGGTAACTGCGAAGTGCAAACACGGGGCAATTTATAGCCTTAGGGACCAACAATGAACAAATGTCCAGTAGTGAAATCGATTCCCTTCAATATACACCCCACAAAAGGGAAAGATATACCATCTTCTTGTAGCCTCATTTTTTTCAATGCTTCTATCAACAAATCCAGGTCCTCCAGTAGAGAGGCTAGAATAAGGGTGCCCGGTTTTTCCCCGCCTTTTATTCTTCTTCTTATTGCGGTAGTCTATTTTACTGGGGTGCCGCACCCTCCCTTCCCCAAAAAAGAAACGGGTTAAAACGGGCACTGGGACCTAGGAATTCTCGAGCCCAGGCGCCCGAGATCCATCTGCAGGTCCGAATAGCTGCGGGTCCTCGGGCAACCCAAGCCGAGGTGTCGAAACTTCGTCGCTTTTTGGAAGGTACCTTCTTTGGGCTTCCGGCGCGGAACCAGGGGAACCAAAAGGAAAACCAACAGCCCCCCCCCCCCCCACCCCCCGTGTTTTTTGGTCCTTCTTCTTTTTTTGTGGGGGGGGGCCTAAAAAGGATAGGCGCGAAAACCATGCTGAGCCACGCAAATAGGCCGCTGCGGTTGAAAAACCAGCAGGGCCCCATCAGCGGACATTCCCGGTTTCCGCTGATTTAGAACGTGGCTCATAGGGTCAGAAGATCCAAGGACTCTTGCTGTTTGGGCAACTTGTTAGGCTTAGACCCCCCCCCTGCAACAAGTTAACTTCAGCTTCCCCTCGCAATTGGTGGTTTGGATGGGTGGTTTGATGGTTAAGGGATGGCTTCCGATTACCCTCTACAAGAACGAGGGGGTCAACTCCCAAAACACCAACTAAGGGTTTCCTGATAGCTTCTCCTGGTTGAAATTGACAACTGTGGAAAAAGGCAGGCCAAGTCTGGCAATGAACAAAGCTAGGTTGAACTTTATTTTTTGTTCAACCGCCAAATCCTATCTCTCCTAAAGTGTCCCCTTGTTTTTGCTGCTTCCAAACCCCGTGTCCACACACAGCTCCTGATTCTGGGTATGGTGAACCGGAGTTAGCTGCCTAGCAACCATGGAGGGCCCACCTACCTGGAACCTGTTACCTTTCCTGAAGATTCTGGGCAAACGCCAGTTCCCAAACTGGAGGAAAGGCACCCCCCAAAAAAGAAAGCTGCTTTCATACTGGTTATGCGGATTTGTTTGTTTTGCCCAAACATCGGATTTCAAGAATTGAGCTCTGGTTATGAAGCGGGAAAGCCATCCTAAGACCTAAGACTTATTAGTTTCAGATTTGCTCCCCCCAGTTGCCAGGCTTTCCGACCACTCAGTTTGCTTCCGCCTGGTTACCGTTTCCTACCCTATAATCAAGCAGCCGGGAGCTATGAGCGGCTCCCCGTTGGGCTTCCCTCTAAGCCACCCCAAAAAGACCCGAAAAAGGGAAATCAATATCCACGGGCTGACATGACTTAGCACGCCTTACCCTTTTGTCAGGTGAGCCACAATCAAAACCCGGTATGAAAATGGTGCACCCAGAACCATGTAAAGAACTAAGAAGGCGGCCGCAGCTATTTATGGTTGGGATCGTCCCTTACTAACCTTCATCTACCCAGGTGTTGATTATGGCTGGCGATAGCGATGCTGTCTGTCATCCAGGACTTTGCCTGGGTATCATGGCTCAAACCCCGCGCGTGACAAAAGGAGAATGAGAAGGTCGATCTGAGCATTTAACTCAGCAATCCTCGCAGTGCAGGATGCATGAGTTACCAGGTCCGTTTTGATTATGGCTCAGGTGAGTTTAGAGGGGAACCCTTATTGAAAAAAAGGGCACCACTGGGCAACAGAGTTACCACACCTTGTTCCCCTATGATTTTCGAGTTTTGCCTTTCTCAAGTACGCCCCCCCACCATTTCGCACCCCAAATTAGGCAACAGAGTACCACTCCTTGTTCCCTTGTTCCACTTTCGAGTTTGCCTTTCAAGCCCCCCCCCCCCCCCATTTTTGGCGCCCCGCAAGCCACACCTTGGACCTTTTTCCGGGCCGAAGCCACCGGCGCCCCGTAGCCCCCGCCGAAACTCGCCGCCTCGCCGTCGACTCCGAGGCCCCGGGCTTGGCGTCGTAGAGCAGCCACGCGGAGCCCAGCTTCCCCGCCTCCCGGTTTCGCACCTGGCGCAGGCCGGCGACTGGCTAAGCCGTGGGCCCATGGGGCTTCGGCAGCGAAAACCCGCGGCGCTCGTGTTTTCACACAGGTTGAGGTTCAGTTGAGTTGGCAGTCACCGCAAAAAAGAGGGGGAAACCAAGATAAAGCACCAGGGCTCTGGCAGAACTACTGTTGAAACAAGGCTTGTGTTAGGCTGTCCGTGGGAGCCTGCGATGTCCTCAACATTCATTTCGCGTGTGTTACCGCGAGTTTGCGTGTTTTGGTGTCGAGCGAAGCACAAATACTCTGCAGGCTCTCTTTGGGATGTGCACGTTGGATTTATTCATGCGCCATCAAATGGGCAACAGTTGTGGAAGCAAAAGCTTCCAAACCAAGGGCTGCGGGAGATGCTGCCAGATTTGCGTTAGAAGAAGAGCGATCAAGACAAGGTACATGTTGTGAGGAAACACTTTCCAAATCAAGGCTTGCCGAATTCACTGGAACCAGGTCAAGGGCTGCAAAACCACACCAAAGAATGACAAGCTCCAACCAAGAGCGCGAGGGGATCTCAGTCAATGCCAATGTCGGGGCTGTCAAACTAATGGAATTTTGGTGCCAAAGTCAACATAGTAGTCAACTCGCCCGTTCCCTAAGTATTTTGCCCAACCCTGCCTAGCAATTCTCGTGGATTGAGGTGGTGGGGATTGGGGTTGCGGTTCACAGCGACATGAGACACGTCAGGTAAGCAGGTGATTCCATCGCGCGGTGGATTCCCCCAGAACCCCCAAAAAAAAGGACCTTCATTCTGGTGAGCCTGTACCCCAGGATCAGTGAGCTGGAATTTCAAATAGCTCAAGAAACGCCGGAGATTGCCTGTAAACTCTAGCAATCGCTGGACGCCAAAAGCCGCCTGTTGCCATCTCAGGCAGAAATTATTGCCTTTTAAATTTCCTTGGTATATCCCTGGTGCGAAGTGGAGTTCGTCCATGGCAGGTTCTTCCCCTGGCCTTCTTCACGCTGATTTCCACCTGCCGTGTGGACACCACATCGCCGTCCTCCAACTCCTTGGATGTGAGTCCCTCAAGCCAAACTGTCAGCTTCCGTCTGGCTGGTGGTTTGGATTGGTGGCTTGGTGGTGAAGGGGTGGCCCTCTACAAAGGTCAGGGGTTCAAATCCAAATCCAAACTACAAATTTAACAACCAATTAGTGTGGTTTACCTTTCAAACATAGACCCTAAATGAGGGTCTGATTCCATTACAATTCAAACACACGCAAATATCATCGGTAGGGAATGAGACATGGAAGGAGCCCATGAATTGGTCTCCTTAAACACCGGTTAGATGGTTTATAGGGGTCCTTCCAATTCTCATTCCCTGAGCAGCAAGTAAACCACGTCTCACCCCTCACATGTTTTGAACACCGGCACACTTCGTCACGTGGACCTGGGGAGGGCTGGCTGGGCTGCCAGGCTGCCAGGCTTGCACCCGGGACGGGGAACCAAGGTGCAAAAGTGTGGTTTCAGCACGGGCGGGGAACCATTGTGCGTTGGTCATGCGCGTTACTGCTCCAGCCTTGCCGGCAAACAACTTGCAGAGCGCCCTACGCTGACAAAGCCAAGCAAGAAAAGCGAGCATTTGAGCAGCGACAAAAAACATGTTACTCTTAAAGCGAGCATTTGAGCATCTAATTTGATCTACTGAGTTTCTTTTCGCCGCTCATTTGACATGGGGAGGCGAGGAAGTCCCTCGAGCGAGCTCTTGAGCCAAGGCTCAACCTTGCGACGGTTGACAACTATGCCGTTGTCTGTCTTGTTGAACCTCGCTTCCGCGTGTCCAAGTCCCCAATGTCCCTTTTTTAATTCACCAGAACTAGGCCCTCCAGAAGAGAGGTTAGAATAAGGGTACCCTTTGTGGTCTATTTTAGGGGAACCATCCCCCAAAAAAGGGGGACCTAGATAAGCTAGATAGGGCGTGGATTACAATTAAGAGCCAGGGAACCGCAGGTTTGGGTCCTGGGCTCCCTTTTGCGAGCTTCTCCGGCGCCGACTGCCAACCACTTGTGTCATGTTGGAAACCACCACGTTGCAAGGGCCGTCAAGCTCCAAAAGGAGTCGGCAATGAAAAGATTGTATTCCAACAGGCTACCCAGTGCAAAGAATGAAAAAGGGCTGCACCCATTTATGATTGAGACTATCCCAGCCTTCTACCTGGGTTTTCAGCAAGCTCAAAGCGTCGCAAGCCCAAGCACTTCGGATACCACTTAGCCCTAAGATGCTGGTCGGCTTCCCTGAAACGGCCCGTCTCGTCTGAGTTGTGCACAACCAAGCCCAAGAAGCCAGCGCCCAAATCACTCGGCTGGAAGAAGGGGACCCCAGCAAAAAACACATATTGTTTTTGCCTGGCTAGTGGAAAGCCAAGGGACCCTTGGTAAAAATCAAAAAACAAAAAACACAAAAAAAGAAGTTATTTCTGGGGAAGATCATAGGATTCCCATTCCCAGGTCTGTTGACTTTTCCCCTTCTTCGATTCCAATTTTCCGTCGAGAGCCCAAAAGATCCTTGCAAAACTGAGCCCAGTATCGGCATTTTGGTCAATAGTTCGAGAGCCAAGGCGTAAGGCATCCGAAAGTAGACCACTTTGTGGTGCTGAGCTCGTTCTGTGTCGTTTTAATTACCTGCAAACCAGTGAGCTCGCCATGCGTTTGTGGCGAAAGTATCTTCCCATTCGGCCCCAAAGGCTTGCTGAATCTCAGTGCGGAGTCGTGTAAGGATTTGGGGAACGAACAAACTGCTTGGATGTTGCTCAAGGAAACATAAGGAAACCAGTTCTGGTTCCACCTCAGTAGCCGGGGGGGGGGGGAAAAACCGGCGCCCCTTAGTATGGCTGCCCCATTTGGCCACAAGTCCAAGCCAAATATGACCTGCAGAGATGTCCTGCCTTATGTCAGGAACTCGCCCCCCAAACAAAAGCCACGGAGGAATGGCAAGCTCTTGAGCCACGCGTCCCTGGTAATGTTGACCCAGGATTAATAAACCCGTCCCATTCTTGCGGGGATGTTCCTTCCAAATACCAAATTCCATGGAAAAATGGGGGGGAGGGGGGTGAATCAACCAAGGGGTTCTGCTTAATCCGGGCTTAACACTAGTGTTTTTCCATTGGTTGGATGGCGTCCCGGGAGCCTTGGCGTCCCGGGGAGCGGCATCTTGGGGCCCGGGCCACTCGGCGCTGCCGGCGATATCGTAGAGCCCCGGACTTTCGTTGAGCCACGCGGCGGACTTGGTGGGATGTGCCACGATGACCACATGGACCTGCCGCCCGCCCCGTGTGTTTCTACTTTTTTGACCCCAAGATAGACTTAAGCCCAGTTGTTCTCCTTTTTGTGAGAATGAACCAGGTTTCGGCTTAAGCCTGGAGCCCTGTCTGCCCCCGGGCCTTCCAAGTCCAACTCTATTTGGAAGCCCAACTCTACTTGCAAGTCCATGTTTCTCTATTGGTGGCTTGGAGCCTGGTGGTTGGGGGGTGGCTTCCCCCCTGCCATGAACAAGAAGCAGAGTTCAAACCCCAAACCAATCCAAACCACAGAATTCAAGGGTACTTGAGCTCAATTGAAGTCCCTTGGAAAGTGATTCCCTCTAACCCAAGCAACTGGCTATGCCAAGCAACATGGAGCCTGACTAGGGGGACTTACTCTCAAGCGGAGCGAGCCACAGATGGGGTCCTTCTGCACGTGGACCGGAAAGGAAAGCATTCCCACGGAGCGTAGGCCGGTGCTTTTGTTTGGCAACGGAGGTTTCCTTTTGAACATCACGCTGACTGGATGACTTCTCTTTGGGGGTTCCCTTGGTATCACAGAAATCCGCAACTGACTTCTTGGGTTAACTGGACAAAACAAGTCCAAACTTCTTGTTCGCCGCTAGACTGGTCTAAGCTCGAAAAGAAAAAACATGACGGCCAGAAACTCAGAACAATCGAGGCAACCCCAAGCCACATTTCTTGGCTACCCTGAGGTGGTTTGGATTTGGAGCTCAGCCCCAAGAAGTCAACTGGGGTCTCTGAATTGGTTCTCGGTCGCAACCGCGAATTCAGACATGGCGCGTCTCTTTTACCGTAGCCACTCAAGCGAAACCAAACTGAAAACACTTTTCTTTTTTCTTTTTTGGAGGGGTAACTATACTTACTCCCAGTCTCTTTTGTTGGAGTTGGTACCCTTTTTGTTTGGGTTCAATGGGAAACCTACAGGAAACCAACGGGAACCCTTTTTGGGGAAGACCATTTTTAGTGGGGGCGGCCACCAAAAAAAGGGGGAAAAACGGTGCCACTGAACCACTGCGCAGATCCCAGATCCTTGTACTCATCTGCAAACTTCCGGAGCTTCCCGAGTAGCGAGCCGATGTACTTATGCTCCACCTCGTCCTTCTCCTCCTCGCGCGTTTGCCAAATACATTACCCACAACATCAAGAAAGCAACAGCCACAAAACCAAGAAATCCAACTGCAACAGCATACGGAACTGGGTCGCTGGTCCCATTCGACCGGCAAAAGATCACTAACTTCGGAAATTGCGAGGCAACCGCTCGGGTAGTACTTAAACGCGTCACCTTTCCTTGTGAAAAGGTCGATGTGATAGGGCGATGTCCAGAAAGGTTGGACAAGGAACTTGCCGTAAAACACCGTCACGCATACAAAACATGACCCCAAAGACCAGCTCTTGATGTCCGCCACCCCCAAAACGTTCTCAAATGAGAACCCCACTTTCAGGTCGGGGTGTCATGTTCCGTGCCTCGCAGGTCCACATGTTTGTCTCATGGGAAAATGGGAAGCCGGATTCAACAAGGATGAGGGATATAGTAAGCGAAGGGTGTCCACATGTCAGTCCCTGACACAACCATTGGAACGGGAAAAGGCCCTTATGTGCCCAAAGCCTCAAGTGTGTGTGTGTGTGGTTTGGTCAAGATTCATAATCCTGGTGCCCGCCCTTCACAGAAAACGCCTTCCAAACGGCATCCCCAAATTTCACACTTGCAAGTTGCTTCAAAATGGAGGACCTCCTTTTGGCATTTTTGGTCGGGAAACCAGGACAACCACCTGGACGGTCCGTAACTTTTCTTCAACCCGCCATTTCGGCTTCGATGGTGAAGCGGTCGAAGCGGCGCAGTTGACGAACACGGGTCATAGCCTGGAACGGAAGGGTTGCTACCAAAGCTCACGGCACTTCATAGCCTTGCCTTGTCCTTGCCTCGGAAAGGAGGAGAACCTCCCTCGCAAAGCGAATGAGAGGCTCCGAGGCCAAAACAACACCTGTACAATGTTGTTTGGATCCTCTACGTCGAACAAACAAACAGGGATCCTTGCAGTATACACCTGAACATTGCCTTGTAAATGGTGGCTTCCCTTTAATTTTGGTGGAAAAAGCAACATGTTTCAAATGGTTGCAAAATGGAGATCTTCTTTTAAGGAACCCTGACAAAACCCGGGTCTTTTGCACCGGTTTCCGGGATCGGGGATCAAGAGAATCCACGCGCAAAGCGCGTTGCGCGTCCTTGCTCTTCTCGATGCAGTTGTAGGGGTCCACGATCAAGAGATCCAAGCCCTGGGCCTTCTCTTCCCTCGCCCTCGCCAAGATCTTCTCCTGGCCACGGAAAGGAAACGGGAAGGAAGGTGAGCGGGAAATGGAAGCTCCGGGAATCGACTCACTGGGTGTTCAACCAACTTTGGAAGTAGCTTAAGCCTACTGTGGATGGACGAAATCCTGCACCACCTAAGAAACCATGGAATGATGATTCTCCTGTACACAAGCAAATTATGGTTTCCCATGGTTTCAAAGTGGTGCAAATATCGTCCATCCACAGTACGGCGATACAGGCACTACACCTGAACCCCGATTTAGAATCATGGGTATAGCTGTACTAGTTTGGCATAACTGTACTACTGCAACTTGGTGACATGCTCACCGGAAACGAATCCCTAAAAAATGATCAGGCATATTCATGGCGAGTTCAGGTTTCCCCCCAACCCCTGGACAGTTGGCACGACTTCAAGTTCATCTGCCATTCGTTCACATCGTTGTGGCCTCCCTGTAAATGAGCTGCTTCGTGGCCTTCGCTTGTTTTCCCCCCGAATCCTTGCTTGCAAGCTGGATATCGGCAAGTACATCAAGGAATATGTCAAATGGGCTTGTTTGGGGATAAACTACGGAGGATTACTAATCAACTTTGATAACGTCCTGATCTCCTTTATGGTCCCCAAAGGATTGCTTGGACAACCAAACCGGAGATGTGGTTTTGTATCAGCAGGCAGGAACCCTCCCTTGGACACATGAAAATATTCAAACTAAGCAGGTCAAGGCCATCCTCCCATATACCTTCCCTCAGTTCCATGCTCACTCACTCACTGGGCGGCTCTTCCCGGAGCCCAAGGCCTGACCTTTCTTGGTTGTTTGTTGCTCCCCAGCAAAAAGTTTAACTTCTAGTAGTTTAAGGGTAAATCCACTAGTTGGCAAAAAACAATAAAGTCTAACATCCAAGCAAAATGCACCAAAGCTTTTGGGGGGGGGTCGTCGAAAAACCGATTCGGCACTGATTTGACCAGCCATGGCTTCTCCGATTTGACCAGCCCGAGTTGGCGTCCTGAGTGAAGCCTTCGAAGTCGCTGCAGCCCAGCGTGATGTGCTCATCCAGCCACTCCAGGGCCACTCCAGGGTCCTCCAGCCACTCCAGCCATCCAAAAGGTCAAAAGAAGGGGGGTTTTGCTCACAGGTTCGGAGGACTGTCCTTTAAGGAAGCCAGCGGATGGGGCCTCTTGGACCAAGGCGCTTGGTTGACCAAATAGCTTCCTCCACTTGCGTGAGTTCCGGAAAAGACACATGTCCAATAGCGAACTAGATAACCCTTTAAACCCAGTGGAACATACTTTTTTCGTTTCCCGCGTTTGCTTGCGAGACCCCTTTCAAATCTGGAGGACCTTGCAGGGCCAGAAAGAACCTCAAAGACACTGGGGATGGACAAAATCCTCTTAGGCACCACCTAACAAGCCCTGGTTGCTGATGCTTGAGGACCAAGTAACCCAATTACTTCATTCAAATTGTCTTTTAATGGGGGGCAAAGAACTGTAGAGTGTAATGAAGCCCTCTCCCCCCTTGGAGCTCTTGTTCTGTCCGGGAGGTGGGCCCTCTGCAGGCTCTTGACCCCAGAGCTCCTGGAGCTGCGGAACGGTGGCCTGGACCTTGGTGGCCAGCTGAGCCGCGAGGCTTTCCTCCTGCGAAGTGACTCGCCCCCAGCTCCCCCCCCCCCCCATATGCCCCTCCCATCCCCCGAGATTTGTCCATGAGTTTCTCGGGGTTTGTCCATGAACATGAGGATTCTGGAAAGGTTCAACCACCAGACAGATGGTGTTTCTTAGGCTTCTGGCTGGTGCGATGGAAACTGGGCCCTCAGATGCCCTGCTAAAAGTGACGGACTGGTGGGCGAAATACGGAAACGACCACTAAACCGGCTAAAAAGATCCAAACAGCCAATGAGTCAGATGGCTGGGAGCCACCAAGCAAACGGCTTTATTTCGCTTGCTGGCGCGATAGCTAGGGAATGAGGGAATGAAAGAAATGGAATGAACTGGTTTTGCGGATTTCCGAATAAAGGAAACCGCCAGTTGGATGGTTTTTCTTGGGGTCATGTCTCATACCCTGCCTATTGCGGCAGCAAGTTTTGGGGCCATGACCAAACAGAGAACCCAAAATCGGAAAACCAAAACTAGGTCCTCCAGCAGAGAGGAGGTTAGAATAAGGGTATCCATTTTTTCCGTACTCTATTTTTGTAGGGGAACTATCCCCCAAAAAAGGGTAAAAGTTCACTACGGCAGAATCTAGCCAAAAGGTCAAAAGACGGGTTTTAAGGACTGAGTCTAAGTAGGCCAGCGGCTTGACTCGCTGCAAAGAAACGGTTGACCTTTTCGAACTGAACCACCAAATCGCTTGGAAAACTGGTGAGACCCTGTCACGCGAATTTCAATATTGTGGGTCCGATTCGGAGAATCCACGGTTTCAACCAACAAGTCTAGTCCAAAGATCACCAAATAGCCCAAAAAGATCGATTTGGGCCAGTGGGGCCTTCAGGCTCCAGAAGACTCCCTGTCAACCCCAACAAAGGCTTCCCTTTCTTTACTTGCTGGTGCTCAGCAGGGAATGTGGGAATGAACCCAGGGGTCCTGGAAGGGAAACCATCATTTGGATGGCTGATAAGGGTCATTCTTCCCTGCTGAGCACCAGCAAGTCTAAGCAAAACAGGGCCATTGAGTAACTGGGTGTGAGAGTTTGTTGGATCTGAGCAGGGAAAACAAATGCCCCCAAACTGAACCTTCGAACTGGTGGTTTCCTGTCAGGCGGAAACCGACTTGCTCATCCCCACACCCAAACAAGTCCCCTAGAATCAGCTAGGAATGTCTCTTAGGACCATGTTCACACGTAAAGCAAGTTCAGCAACACGAGGAACCCTGTCTGTCCTTGCCCTCAAAGGCGAAGAGCAGCGTGCCTGCGACTTCTTGCACGCAATGTGTATCGTTGATGTGTGGTCCGCAAATTGCGGACACCTAAACATATTGAGTCAAGGGTCTGGAATATTTGAAAGAGTCATCTCCTCTTGGTTTCTCCCCTGGCAAAAACTCCACTGTGTGTTGCTCACCGAAACCATGTGTTCTTTTCATTAAACCCTCGGACACGGAACGGAAGCCGGAGGGATTGATGGAAGCCATGGAGCTCGTTCTCTTCGAGGTCTCCGGTTACCAGAGTTCCATCAGCTTCCCTCCAATCGATTTGGAGCCGAATCGGTGGTTAGGCGAAACGGAGTGGCTCCACCAGGGATTCCAATCCCAAACCACCCGGCTCCAAACCACCAGATGGGGGTAACTTGCTTAGAAGAGTTGGAAGAATGTAGACATCTAGAAAACAAGTGCGGGCGGTCTCCAAATCCTCGCAAAAAAAGTGGCTTTTCAGTGGTTCTGTTATTGGCAGACATTTGTATCTATCAAGTGGCCGTCAAAATTGTTTCCCCGACTGAACGCTTTTCAGGTATTGCAGCTGCCCCAAAACCCTCCGGTGGCCATTAAAAAAGCCACATGATTATTTATGCCGTGACTAAACCGGCGTTTTGGGTACATACTCAGCCATCCTCCTTCCCTTGGGAATCACCGGAAGCAAACTTATTCGCGCCAAAAAGCAACAATCAGCAAAACTATAATATCTGTCAGCTTCCCTCTAACTTCTGGATTGGACTGGTGGTTTGCAGGTGAGGTAGCCTCCCATTTACCCTCTACCAGACCCAGGGGTTCAATTCCAATTCCAAGCTTCAAGCCACAGGTTACCCGGATTGCATTTCAATGGGGAACCCCTTCCAGACCAAAAATACAATAATAAAAACAACTAGCAAGGGAAACCATCACTAAGAAAGAAAAGAAGACAACACATGGAATCGTCTATCACCCGGGGGCGGGGGCACCTCCCCCAGTTCTTAGTCGAGCACCGCAGCAAGGGAAACCAAGTCAAGGGACCAAGGATTGAGTTGGAACCCATCAAAGCAGTTTGGACTGGCCCTATTTTCGGCCCGCTGCTTCGGAGGCGCATAGGATATTGCACTTCGGAATGCCATGGGAGTGGCCGCTTTCGCACCTATAACTTTGGGGACTTTGCGGGAAGGCTTCGACATAGCCCAATGGTTTGGTTCCTTTGGCTTCGCTAACCAATCCCGGATGGCCCTCAAAAGAAACAAACCCTTACCCTCCGGCGTCTCCAACCGATTGCTGCGAATCGTGCGCCAAGCAGCGCCACTGATGACGATAGCTCAGGTTGACCTCAGGCAATGCGGAGGTTGTCATCAAGGCGACCGATTGGTTCAGACTAACATGGAAGCTCCCAAAAGGCCACTGTAATGGGGTTCTGGGAGCTGCCATGTTAGCCTGGACGAGGGTGCACTTGGTTTGCATTCTTCGAAGACGTTCCACCCATCCCGACACTGCAGTTCGTGCACGTTGAACTGCAATCTGCTCAACCGGAACCACCCCACCCCCCCCCCCCAAAAAAAAAAAAGAAAGTAAAGTTGGCAGAACCTACCGTAGCTGGACGAAGCCCATTTCGCACCACCTGCAAAACTCTGGAATGACGATTCCCCTGCAAATACCAACAAACGTTATGGCTTCAACCATGGTTTCCTAGGTGGTGCGAATTGATTTCGTCCATCCACAGTATCAACACACCCTGATTCTTGAGAGGCACCGACCCGCCCGCAAGACGCCGATTCTACGCTGTGCATCCGCCAGGGACTTGAATCCGGGGCCCTCATGAATGCACTTGGATGGCCTTCCCACTTTCCAACTAGGCTCCATGAGAATGACTGGGATGAGAACGCTTAGAACCCCACAGATGTGAGAATGACTGGGATGAGCATAACTGGGTTCTCAAGATGAACATGGCCAACCCACTTTCCAACTAGGTTCCATGAGAATGACTTTGATGACTAGGTTAAGCTCCTCAGAACCCCGCACACACAACTTCCCCAGCTGGGGCGCTGCCAGAGACAACAGCCACTCCGACTTGCCGTTCCCCGGCATGCCGGTGACCACCGAGATCTCCCCCGGCACGATGCGCAGGAAGTTGTCCACGCCTTCCCAGCCTGGGGCTCTGGGTTTTACCTGGTTGAACATCTGCTTGAGGCTTGCTGTTGCTGCAACGCGCCCTCTGCAACAAGTGTTTTAACTTTTTGTGGGTTTAGTACGGAAAACCAACTTGATTTCCCAAAAACCTAAAGTCTAAAGATGCAATAGCAGTCAAGGAGGTATACCTGAGAACTGTACCTGTACCCATATGCCTATACTGGGGTGCTTCGGATTGAAGAGCCTTCTTTTGGTCCCCTTTCAAAGGGTGCCAGGCATGGCGAAACAGCTTGGCCCAACAGGCACAGCTTCTGTTTCATATGCTAGCCATGCTTTGTGGAGGAGACCCGAGCATAGGTGTCCTGTTAGGGGCCCTGGTAGATGATTAAACCACCAGGTAAACCAGGGCCATTTATTTTTCTAGAAAAACAACCAAAAAGGACACCTATGGACCCGAGTATCTTGTTCCAACACCCCGTGTTTCACCTTTCAACCCCACGTGTCCGCACGCTGCTCGCTGCTCACCAGCCAGGCTTCGTGGAGAAATGCCCTGAACATTCCCAACGTCCAAACTATTGGTCATAAAGGTTTATATGATACGGTAAATATGTTGTTACATTTTCAACTAGGTTTAGCTTTAGCATGAGTAGGAACAATTTGTTCATTGGTCACTTGAGTTATTTGGGCAAAATAGTCCTACAATCCAACATGGCATGCAAAACACACATTGTTTTAAAGAAACCTCCTGCTGTTGGGCAGTAGTAGGGGGTATTATACTTCACCCACCCACAGCAAGCGACCTCCCAAGACAGAAGACGTCTCCAACACCCCGAAAACGCCAATGATCTGCTGTCACCCAAGATCCCACCTTTGCATGGCCGCTGCTGTTCGGAATCAATGCTTTCGGCGCCATTGCCGCTGCCACCATGAAAGGAACAGATATGAGAAAGGGACCTGTAGCCGGGCTGTTGGCCAAATCCTAATCCAGAATCAGGGAAGCGAAGCCACTACAAAGGGTATATTTTGAGGATTGAGGATTACCTTTGAACTGCCCAGTTTAGTGCAAACCCAAGAGAAAAGCGGCGCGTTCAATGTGCCGTTTCTCTCTCAAATGAGTTTCAAGGCTGTGGGAATCGTGACCACCGTAACACACCAACAGCAAGGCCTTCTCGCTTGAAGGGGGAACGGGGGCGGTTTGCAAGCGTCACAGTGGGAAGAACCACATCAAATCCACAATCCCGGTGTAAGCTGGTTTTCCACAAATCCAGTCACATCATTGCTGTTGCCTGACTAAAGGGTAATTGCCCTAAAACAGGTTAACTTGTTGTGGGTAAGCGGGAAACACACGTACCCCCCCCCCCCAAACCGCCCGGTTAAAGATTCCACCAGACTAGCAGCTGAGTCCAAACAAATCCCCCAACCTCCCCGCCCGTAAACCTGCGTCAAGACCCAGGCAATTACAGGGTTCCTGAAATGAACATCCAAAACCGCTTGCTTTGCAAGGGGGCCCTACACATCAGCTGGGAAGGTGATGGCTTAATGCAATACATCCTTGGGTCCGTGAAATAACAGCCAGGCCATGTGGGGGACTGTTTGCCTGGGCGAGCAGCCCGTGGAGACACCGGAAATGTACTCCAGCGGCATAGTGCCTGGCTAAAGAGAATGCGGGCCCGCCACTTTTCTGGGGTGCCCGGAAAGGGGGGTCAGTGCAACCAACAGAAAAGCACACATTTCGAGAGGTCTTGCCGTTTCAAGACCAGCCCATATGGCATTAGCCGCCCAACCCCCCCCCCAAGAAGGGGAGGCCGGGTCCGCGGGTTCTTCCAGAAAGTTGGGCTTTCCCTGAGTCGACACCCAACTTCCGAATTTGACAAAGCATGTTGGACCATATGGCTGTGGCTCAATAGCATGTACCAAAATGGCACCTTGGTAAATGGAAGCAACGACTAAAACCAGAATAACCGTAGCTCTTTAATTTTGAGCCATACCCATATCACCTTCCTCCAAAAGTTGCAAGCAAGAAACAACTGCTGGCCCATGCTTCTTCGCTTCCTGGGGAGCCAAGTACCCAACTTAGAGGCAAGGTCCAACCAAACAAATGCAACCCTGAAGTGAATACTCGCAGATGGGGTCCAAAAACTCTACCTCCGGGGGAGGGGTTGACAAATCTGCGGCTTCTGCTTTGGGACCCTGGTTGTGTTTGCACACAGCTTCGACTAAACCAACCCTAATCTAACCCTATGCCCACCCTAAACCAACCCTAACCCAAAACCCTAGCCCAAAACCCTAAGCCACCCCGATGCCAACCCTGAGCGAATTTCAAACCAACCCTGAACCAACCCTAAACGACCCCAAACCACCCCACCCCCACCCAACCCCACCCCACCCCACCCCACCCACCCCGCCCCGCCCCGCCCCACCCCGCCCCACCCCGCCCGCCCACCCGCCCCACCCCAGCCCACCCTACCCCAGGCGGGAGAAGAGGTTTTGGCAGCCTGGAACATAAAAAAGAAATATTTATGTATATAATATATGTATATATATATAAATGTACATATATATATATACATATAATAATAAAATCATAATAACATAACCTGCATGCAAGGAAAATAGGCGATAGGCCGGGCCATACCCCAGCTTTGAATGCCAACGCACATAGTTACAATTCGCTGCGTGGCTATCATCTTGACATCTCATTGGATATACCTTAAAGGGCCCAGTTTGGCCCACGGCTCCGTCAATCTGTACCTGTTGGGTTGCTGTCGAAAAAATGCTTTGAAAGTAACAGTTAGGTCCTTTGGACCCGGTTTTGAAGCGGTCCTTCCAGGATCTCCTCCCAAACAGTCAGGGGCGTGTTCAGGCAAGTTGTTTGGAGGTGCGAAGGTCACTCATATAACTCGGTTGCTTTCTGCACCCCTGCTAAAAGTTTAACTTTTAGTGGTTCAATGGAAAACCCATTAGTTGGCAAAAAGTTAAGGTCCTAGCATCCAAGCAAAATGCACCAAAGATAAGGTATTCTAAAGAATACATGCCCCCCATATAGGCCCCTATATGGAAAATAAGCTTCGCGCCTCCTGAAATTGCACTCGAATCGGAGATGCAAGGCTCACTTCCGACCGCGATTCACCAAACGCCAAAGTCTTCCTTCACTCGAAACGTCTTCCTAAGTGTTAACTCCAGCAACTTCCCCGGCCCCCTTCCTTTGGCCCCTTTCAATTTGTGTCCAACGAGCGTGCCAAAAAAACACCTGAACATGCGATCGTAAATGGTCTCCCTTTAAAACCAACCGAAAAGGGAGGAGTTCCCCCAATCGGAAGGCGAAACGAAAAAAATCCGAGGCCTGAGATTCGCGCCATCACCTCGGCCATCACCTCGTCGTCGAAGCCCTTAATCATCGGCTCCGCTTCCGCCATGAGGCTCCTCCGGGAGAGGGGTGTGTCTCAACACGGAAAAATCTGACGTCCTCCAGTAGGGGGGGTTAGAATAATTGTACCTGTTTGTTGCGGCAGTCTAGTGTAGTAGGAGAGCCCTTCCCCAAACAAAGGTAAAAGGGCACTACTGGGACCAAGAATCAGAACCCCTAAAACAAGGTGTTTCCTTTTCTTTTGCTGTGCTTGGAGTTGTTCTAGCAAAACCCACCCATTTGTGGGATTCCGATGCCTATTTATCCCATACAGTGAGAGGTTTGTTGAAGACCAGCTAAAACAGACCCATAGAGAGGATCAAAGGAAGTTTCAGACCTCCCAACTTGCCCTTTGGGACCTGAAACGAAAATGAGCATATTCGAGCATCCTTCAAAAGAAAACAACACCTTTTTTGTTTTGGGTTGTCCGAAGTCCCTATTCCACTTCAACATGTGCATATCTCTCATACTACTTTTTTTGTGGGTAGCTCAAGTGTTAATCTGTTGGAGCCTTCACACAAACTCGACCAACCTGGGAAAGGCGAGAGGTCAGTTCGGTCGCGTTGCTTTGAAGTGGGCCTCATTGTAGCAACGTCCAAGCAGCCAGACTTCTAGGGCTACCTTCCATTTCCATTCTTTCCAGGGATCCGAATCTTTTCAGAAAACCATCAAAAAGCGATCGGTGCTTGAAAAGAACGATGGTTGAAAAGAATGGAATTGGAATCAACCCCTAGAAAATCCCATGGAAAGCCCAAGAGTCTTGGTTTCAACCAAAAAGACAGGGATCCCAAAACACACAGATGTTTGAATTTGAAAAACCAATGTTTCTTTTACCAACTCCAAATGGCAAAGTCTCGTCTTGAAGGCCAGCGTTCTATGAGCACGGGTTTACCTTCTGGCCCTTCTGGCAACTAGAGGGACCCCCTATGTGTCAACCCTCCCTTGTTACGGGGGGGGGTCCCTTGATTTCCAGGTCTGCAGAAATCAAACCTCGGTTGCGAAATCTGCTCCCCGCGAAAGGTTTAACTTTTAGTGGTCTAGTGGAAAACCATTAGTTGGCAAGAAGTTAAAGTCCTAACATCCCTCGACAAAATGCACCAAAGAAACAAATCCTCCTGACAGAGAAGTTCTGCCGGCTTTCATTTGCTCCGAATCCCCTTTTCCGTCCGGAGCCGCTCGGCGCCGTAGCGCATCAGCACCTCATTGGCATCCTGACGAATCCAAGGCTTCCAGCCGACGGATCTGCACCATGCAGGAAAAATACTGGCACTCAAGTTGCCGCAACGACCCCCCTGCAAAACGTGGAAAACACAACTTGATTTCAACCAAAAAGCTAAGTCTAAAAATGAAACCCAGCAGCAATCAAGCTCATATCTGATTTCACGATGGGTTACAACTGCAGTGGGGATTAGTGTCCTTGTAGCCATCATCCCTCCCTCTCTCCCTCTCTCTCCCTCTCTCCCTGGCTTCCTATCTCCCTCCCCCTCGCTCTCTCTCTCTCCCCCTCCCTCGCCCCCTCTGCCGTTGAATCCAGCACATTTAACTTTCTGAGGCACGACTTGTAGTTTCAATCATCATCAGAATGCCTTGGATCACCTCGCCTTGCCAAGGCCAAGCAGGCGCAACCCCAAGAACTCAACCGGGAACCTCTTTAGCAGGCGCAAAGTGCTCATCCCCCCCCTCTCTGAATCGGGGTCCCGGGTCCCGGTGTTTCTGGGAAGAAAGGACTCCCCACTACAAAGGGACGCTCCATGATACGTCGGGGTTCTTCGTCAGGGGTCAGCATTGAGCACCCCAAAAAGGGGAGACCAACTCGCCGCGCGCAAAACGCGTCCTTACAGCCCTCGGGCCACTTCACCAGGTAGCACCTGAGTCACGAAAGGCCGAAACAAAGGGCTGCCCTCAGAGCCCCTGCTAAAAGTTTAACTTTTAGTGGGTTAAATGGAAACTACCACTAAACACTAAACAACTCAAAGGCTAAGGGGCTGGGAGCCACCAAGATTAGATGCATCTGTTGAAACAAGACTTGCAGGGAAAACGAAAAAGGGAGACAACTCAAAAGGTAAGTCTGATAGCCAAAGGAACCTGATTCCACGCCCACAAAGAACCAGTTGGCACTTTGAAATGGGGCATGTGCCCTTTGATTTCTTGGGTGAAGCATGTTGGGAAAGCTGAAATGCCCAGTAGCCATGAAAAAGAAAGGGCATCCTTTTTTTGATTGGTTGAGTTTAAAGGGAACCCTTTCCCAAAAAAAGACAAAAGGGAGCCACTGGGCAACTGGAAAATGCCTCTGGGCTATTTGGCGTTTCCTCTCTATCGCCGTCCCGTTCTCCCGTGGCAAGGGATCCGTGGAAGGATGTGTGGGGCCATCTTTGAGGGAACCCTCTTTGAGGGAACGGGTTCCCTTTGCTTTGACGTTAAATCAAACACAAAACAGGTATCCAAAAAAAACACAGAAAACAAGCAGCCTCTGTGTTTCAGCGTTTCTTGTCCCCTTTTCGGCGTCTCCTCCCGCGGGAAACCGGTCAAGGTCTCCAAACCCGTTCAGAAATTGTCACCCGTTTAGGTGTACGGGTACCAACAGAAGTCACGCAGCCATACCCTATGCCGGGCATGGGAAAGCTTGAAGCCAACAAGGGTGCTCCCAAGTACAGTGCTTGACAGCCAGACCCATAAACAACACTTTACTTGACCGGATTGATCAGGAGTCAAGACTTGTTTGCTCAAATCTTCTCGGACAAACATATTGAAGTGAGCAAACTTCTTCGGAGGAGGTCGCACAATGGGGGGGGGGGTCCAAAATACGGGAACTCACAATTGCGTGTTCCCTTGTTTCCCTTGAGCATCACCCGAAAGAGGTTTCCACCAAAGAAAACCACCCCCAAATCACCTTACCCAGGTTCAAAGGAAATGGGTTGTAAATGAAGTCTGGCAAAAACAAAGCCTGTTTGCATGCCATCTTGGTTTCCTTTCAGGGAAGTAAAGTCAAGAGTGGTTGGGGGACAACATCTCCACCTAAAATGTCCACCAACAGGACCCCAATTAACATTCATAGCCATATGGTGAACATAGGGGTCCCCTAAAACGTGTGTGTTTCCCACCAGAGGGCCACGAGTCAAAATATTGAAATGGTTGGGCTCCTTTCGGTTCTCCTTCAACCTCACACCCCTTATCGGGTGTGGGGGGTCCAAACCGGCACGCTGGCGATGCGCATCTGCCATCTTGAGACGCCCCGCTTCGACTTGCCCAGCCGCTTCGCAAGCTCCTCGGCGCAGGCCTCCAAACAAACAGACCGACCGACCGATCAACCAACCAGCCAGCCAGCCACGCAAGCAACCGCACAAGAAGTTACAACCTTACAAAAACACCACAACAATACAAGAACACAAACAAGCAAGCAAGCTAAGCAGCTAGCTAGCAAGCTAGCAAGCAAGGAACACATACAGCAAACAACCGACAAACACGCAAACAACCAATAAACAATCATACAACGAATGCATACACCAACAAACAACACCAAAAAACACATAGAAACAAAGGGAGGGCAAAGAACCAACCAAAACCAACGCCCACTGCGCCCACCATGGGTTCGTCAAGCAATGACGATCCTGGCCGCCCTCATCGCCATCCACTGCCAGCACAATCCGCTTGGCCTTCGCGAATGCCTCCTGCCGTCCGCGAAGGTAAAGCCGGGCTAGGGGCGCCTCGGGATTCTCCATGCCACGGGCAAAATTCACCTTAACCCAATTCTCACCTGGCCACGGGTCAAAATCCCGGGTTTCCCCCAGTGAACATCCCAATCCGGTGGTGCACCTACCCAAAGCGGTGCCATTAGTTTTGACACGCAAACGAATCCAAATCACCAAGTAAGGCCTGGCGAAAAGAACAATGAGGCATCGACACCAGGGTTCCCAATATTTTGCTTGCAAGCCTAGGATGCTGTTCGGTCGATTTTTGCAGGTTTGATGGAAGAGCCATGTGTTTCAAAAGGTCACTAGAGGTTGTCAACCACAAAAGTGAAGGATTCTCGCTAAAAAAGGACGCCCTCTCAACAGGGGCTTGCTAATCATTCATCCGAGATTAACCTTCCATTTGGTTAAGACCCCTGGAAAAAAAGTAGTGATAAATTCATTTAAAACCAGCGATGGAAAAAACCATCTTAAGCAAGTGGAAGTAACGTTAGTCCAATCCTGAACCCCTGCATGTCGCGGGGAGTTCCGCGGTCTCCTCCGCGCCAAAGGCGAGCGACAGACCGCCTTTGCAGCCGTTCTGCAGCGACGCAGCCGCCCTGAGTCGCATGAAGCGCGGCTAAAAGTTGTCCATCCACCTCCCCTTGTCTCCCCAACAAGCCTTCAAACCTGATAAGGAACCAGTCCAGCCCAAGCAGACCAGGAACGTCGAAATAGCATCTCTGCCAAAAGGAAGCGCACCAGGCATCCAAACTTCCAACGAAGTTCTGCGGCGTGCTGAGCGATCTTTACGGCACATGCCGCCCTTGGAAAGCAGGGAGCTCGACACTTCGTGGGTGAACCTCTTACAGCCCCAACTGTGACGCAAGGATCTTGATTCTCGATAGAGCCGAACGAATGCATTCGATTGCTTCAGAAGCAACCCTTTTTGAGGGTGCAGTTTTTGTTGGGATGCTCATGGCTCTTAATCCCGCCGATGGTTCACCTGCCAAGAAGCGCGTCTGTACATAAACAAGGGGTGCTCGTCATTCTATATGGACAGTCTTTGATGGTTCCCGTCTGGTTCTTTAAAGAGGCACTAACGGAAAACCCACCCATGTTGATCCATTTTGTGGGCAAAACACCGACTTTGCATGTGGGTAAAGACGAGTTATTTGTGTGTCCACATTCTGGCTCCCCCATTGCCAACCCCCCCCCCTCCAAAAAAAAGAAAGAGAAGAAGCGCAGGGCCCGGGAACCCTCTGGAACCTAGTCTCCGGACTACCCTGCTCCAAACCACTACCTGGCCCTATCATGCCCTATCGACCCCGCTGCGTCGGCGGTCCGGGAATATGGCACCATGTGGCTCAAAAAAACATATGTTGCTGTTGACCCCTTCGCAACAAGTTCAACGTTTTGCGGGTCCAATGGACAAATCCACTGTACAAAGTTAAAGATCCGAAGATCCAACCCTCACTTGCCCCTTAGGGAGCTGGACATAAACCTTTGGGACCTCCAAAAATGGGGAAACCCCAACAAACTGAAACATATCAAAAAGGTCAGATCCGGTCACATTCGTTTTGAGAACCGACCAAGCCATAGAAACATGTCTCCCGCCCTCCCGCCTGATGCCCGCCACCTCCAAGGACAGCTTGTCGATTTCCCCTTCCGTCAACACCATCTCCGGCTGGCCCTTGATGTCGTCTACGCCGTAGAGGCCTCGAGCATAGGCGTTTCCTTTTCTGGTAGATGATTAACTAGGTCCAGTAGAGAGGTTAGAATAAGTTGGTACCCTCCCCCAAAGGGTAAAATATAAAAGGGCACTGGGGGACCGAGTTAAACCACCAGGTAAACCAGGGCCATCCATATGGCCTTGAGTATCTAGGAAACGGCTTTTCCACGTGGCGGGGAAGCTTTGGATCCATCAACCTGTAGGATAGCCAAAAGAGTACTAGAAGAGGACTAAAAGAGGAACAACTGGTAAAACAACATGGGGAAACCACAGGTGTAGCGCATCCAATGCGTTTGCTGGAATGTCAGCTGACTGTGGCAGGTTACAAATGTTACAAACATGGATGCAGCTGAAAAAGTGGAGGCTTTAACATGAAAACCCTTCCCCCTGTAAAGGCCAACCCTTGAACAAAACAAGAAACACAATAGAAACACATATGTCCAAACTGTATGTCACATACATATATTTATATATACATGAACATCTATATGTGCAAACGATTAAGTTTATACGTAGACCAACTCACACCAACTGCGTGCAAGACTCGTTCATTGCGCATTCTGCCAGCGCAGATTAAAAACAAGTGTTGCAAGGGCTGTACTCTAGTCGCTAGCTGAACCAGGACACAAATTGTCAATCGCATTTTGAGGCGCTCACATGAAAGTCCACCTTTCCTCTGCCCAAGCCCGAAGTGGGCATGTTAAACAACGGGCGCCCATTGTTGTTGCCTGTGGTAATGGAAACCCCACACAGCAAGAGGCAAGGGCACCACATGGACCTCTGGGACCCCGCGCACTTCTGACCACCCGTAGTCTGCCAGAACTCCTTGGGCAGTTTCCGCACCTTCTCCGCCACCAGCCTCGGTGATGAGTCGGGCTCGGAGGCGAAGTATTGGAAGACCAAGACGTTGCCCAGCTTGTGCTTCTTGGAGCAAACCCGGTTCCTGCCAGGATCTGGTGGCAAAATTGCGCCTCCGGCCCCCGTTTGCCATCTTGCCCACCTCACCCAATTTCCCCCCCCCCACCCCAAACAAACCTTGAGCAAGGCCTCTTCGCGGACTGGGAAAATTTGGGTGCTGGGACACACGCCATCCACTAGAAATCAGTAACGACCGCCTCTTAAAGCATGGGCCTTGACGTCTCGATTTCAGCGAACAAGAGACGTCCCAAAAAGGGCTCTGGCAACCCAAAAAGGCCTTGGTGCCTGAACCAGTTGTGGCTTTGGCGATTTAGTTGGCAAAGTGGGAAATGCAAATCCACCTTTGCACGGTTGCCATAAGGCACCAAAGCTCAGGTCAAACTGCTTGAAGCACTGATAATCCAAACCCGGGTGTTAGATGGTGGTCTGGACACATCTTTCTTGGCAGCATATTCTCTTTTGGTTCCTGGGAAGATCAAGAATCCGACACCGCCAAACAGACTGGGATTCAAAGGGGTCTACCCAAGGAACCAAAGGACCGCCGCTTCTTCGGGGGCGATTTGGCGGGATGAACTAGCATGCCACAAGCCTGGCGGCATACCGTGGGCCCTAGGGCTCTGGTCCATTTGGTGTTCAACCATTGTTTGTTTTCGCCGAGTCGCCTACAGCACAGTCGCCGGTCGACAAATCCAACTACGTCAGAGAGGAAAGAAGCTGCACAAAGGCTGCAATCATGTTTAATGTTAACCCCGGATTAATAAACCCCTGGTTGAATAGGGGGGGGGAACACCCCCCTAATAATGGGACGGGTTTATTAATCCTGGGTCCCCATTAGAGGAGTCTAGGCCCCTTCTCCGTGTGAAGTATGGCCGCGAGCCAGGATGGGCCTCTGAGAATCCGAAACCTCGCGACAGGCAACGGTTTAACGTGTGAACTCACCGGGCTGTTCACATCCCAAGCAAATCCGAAGCCTTTGTGGAATAAGTAGGGGTGTAGTTGAAGGGCTAGGGTTCCTCGAGCCAAATTTCCGAAGCCCGGGAGGTTGCTCACGCACGTTTCTCATGTGTCATATAGTTTGAGGGGCCTCCCGAACCCCGAAAATGATGGCTTCCTTTGCGCTCCTCTTTTAAACCAAGCTGGAAAAGGGTGCCTCACGAAACACAAGCTCCTATACCTCCAGAAACACAAACTCCTACGCCTCTCCTGCGGAGAACCTGCTCGGTGATGCCTCGCTGCAGGAGGTACTCCCGGTGCGGTACGCTCAGTAGGCGATTGTCCAAACCCAGGGCGCTCCTGCCGCTTTTTTGATCCTCACTTGCCCAAAAGACCTGAAAATAAAAGGTGATCACCTTTTGGGGCCTTTACTAAAAATGGGCCAAAATGGGAAAACCAAAAGGTCAAAAGGTCGGCTTTGGGCAAGTGAGAATCGAATCGGGGTGTCTGAAAACTCACCCCGCCTGAGGGTACCTCTTTTTTTTTCTTCTCGGTCGTCTAGTTTAGTAAGGGCCCAAAAAAGGGGTAGAAGGGCCATTCCTCCTAGCATTGACAGAATGAGGAACTTGATCTTGCAGGTACCACTGGCGCATGGGCGAAGGCTATCATGGCCAAACTGGAAAAAGGGGTACGCGAAAAACCATCATGGGTGAACTCGCCTGCTTTACCAATCGGTGTGCTCCACGTGGCAAACCCTCGGCATCTGCCTGGGGTTCGCTTTTGGGCCAAATCTTTGAGACACACCGCGGGTTGCCAAAGTAAGTGGCGAGCAGTTCCCGGAGGGGTTTGCCAAAAAAATGGCCAAACCAGCAAGGCAAAATTGGGCTTCGGTTGTGCCATCTACCCAAAGCCCGAAGCAAAGGTCTCAGCTAAAACGCAGTTGCAACGGAGAAGTGATCTGCCTCGAACCGACATGTCGCTTCCAAGCTGCCGACGGGGGGTCCGAAGCCGCAAGCCTCCAATGGAATTTCATTTTTCGCTCAATCTGGCACAGCGATGCGGCATTTAACGTTGAAGGGGACCTAAAAAGGGAGGAAGGGCACCACAGGGCAAGTGAAATTCACCCAGAGGGAATGTCCCATTCACTTTGCAGACAGAACGCCCCGCTTTCCGACCCTGATGAAGCCGAGGCCAACTTCACGACGAAACTGATGACTTGAAAACTTCCGTACTAAGTGTATTGAAAAACTCAAGCTGAAGGAAAACTTCCGTGAGCCAACACATGGACCCTGCCCCCCAAAGCCAACTTGGCACTCCTCGTCGGCTGGGCTCTTTCCACTTGCGCCGATCTTGAGGGCGCCGGTCTTGGGACGCTGATCCACAGTCAGGTTTCAGCTGGTTGGGTGATCCTCCAGATATGATTTTGCCCTGCAGCTTGGCAAGGGGACCAAGAAGCCCTCTCCCCCAAGGTTGCTTTACTTCGAGCAATAGCCCTGTCAATCACTCTGTCACAGGCTCTGTCGCAGCTGTTTGTCACAGGGCCTTGGCGACAGCCGGATGACACTTCCAATCTAGAAACCCTAAACCTGTCAAGTGGGAAACATGCTTTTCTTGCTTCACATCAACGGTGTAAGACACGCCCAGCTGCCTTTGAGCACTGCCGCCGGCTGGAGCAACGGCACGCAGTGTAGTCTGTATCTTGCACTTGTTGGCTCGCCAACACTTGCCTAAGCTGCCGTTGCATGAGTCCTCGCTAACTTCCACTTGTTTTGGGGGAACCCATTTGGTTTGTTAAGGAACCCAAAAACAAATACCTTTTGGGGGTCCAAACATGTTTTGACACAAGCGCAATCCTGTTTGAAACGATCTGGGGAGGGGAGGTTTGGTCTGCCGGCTGGATTGCTAGGCATGGCACGGGGGGCCACACCGCAAACAATAGCGCGCTTCTCCACAAAGCCAGGTTGCAAATGCACATGTGCATTTAATCCGTACAAATACCCGTAGGGCCGCCGAAGCCGGTGGGCGGAAGCTTCAAAAAAGTGAACGGTATAGGTATATGTATCTTTGTTCTTTGTTGTTCTCTTCTTATTTTCCCTATTTCCGTTCATTGTTTTACTATCTTCTGTCGGTCTTTATTTCCTTACGTCTTTGTTTTCTTTCTTGCTTGCTTTGTGTCTTGCCTATACTCATTTATTTCCTTGTTTCCTTCCTTCTTTCTTTTCTACTTCTCTGTCGGTCTATTTATCTATCTGTCTGTCTGTCGGTCTATCTACTTATCTCTGAATCTATCTATCTGTTTCAGCATCTACCTGCGTATCTATCGGTCGCTGCGCCTGCCACGCAATCTGTACCTGGCCTGACCTTGCGAAAGTGCTGCGCCTGCCTGACCTTGTGAAACTACTGCGTCTGCCCCGCAATCTGCAATCTGTACTGGACCGACCTTGCGAAAGTGCTACACCTGCCACGACGGAATCTCTACCTGACCTTGCGAAAGTGCTGCGCCTGCCGCGAAATCTGTGCCTGGCCTTGCCGCGCCTGCAGCAAAATCTGCACCTGACCTTTCGAAAGCACTGCGCCTGCCCTGCAAAATAATGTTGCAAAAAGCTGTGCGCGTCCCGGCCAACGGACCCGGCGCCCAGCATGGTCTGAACGTGCTCTGGACAGGCGCTGCGATCAATCTTACCTTCGAGCGCCCCGAAGCACCGAGGGCCTATTCCCTCGCCACACACGAGCTCGCTTCTTCCCGGGTGCTAATTCTTCTCTTGTTATCTGTCTGAGAAAGCTGTCTTTCATGTAGTTGCAATAGCACGGAAGTTCCTTCTAAACTTTCCTTGGGATACATTACATGGTCTTCCGGAGGTGTGGGATTGCTCCTTGCACATTGGGCTCCAATCTCCCTGGACCTATTACTCAAAATGGGAAAGCTCAAAGGATCAGCCATTAGACCCCCCTCCCTTATTCCAGCAATGCTTTCAGGGTGCGAGGCCCTTTTTTTGCGTCCAAGTCTCTACAGACCGGGCAAGCCCCCTCACTCATGATTCTATTGGAACGTTGGGCTTGGCCCGGCTTGGCACCCCTTGGTTTTGGGTGTAGTCATGATTTTCGGGGCAAGTTTGCCAAAGCCTGGGATCAGCGTGCCTGAGTTGCGCAACACCTCGTTCGAGCACTGAGAAAACTAAGGCTGCTGGTTGGCCAATGGTTAAAAATACGTAAGCTGCTCTGGGCTGAGGCGTTGGCCTGCAAAGTCCCAAAAGTTTTCGGATGTTGAGAGTGATCGTTGGGACCCTCTGGGCGAAACTTCATCATTGATTACTTCGTGGCTTGCGTCGGAGGTTTCCCTGGTTCTTGAGCAAACCTAAGAAGCTCTGGCCCCCTTGTTTTGGCGAGCAAAGGCGCAGTAGATTTGCCCAGGCCGCACGCGGCAAGAAAAGGATTTCTCCTTCTTCCGGCCGCCTCCGCACCACGGACACTGCAAGCCGTTCACCCATTCGTCCTTGGAAAGATTGGCGCGTGGGAAAGCATGGAATTTTAACTTAAGGTTCCCCGGGCTGCGACAAACTTAACCCCTTTCAACTTTCATGGTTGGACAAATCCCAATGGTTGCTGAACATAATTTCCAATACAAAAAGTGTGTCTGCCAGGGGTGCAGTTCCATTGAATGTTCATAACCATCCAGCGCAACAAAAACGGGGGACTGTTTGGCCCTTGGGAGCATTGGTAGGGCCCGTGAAAGGAGAGAACGACATGATTGTTTACCACATCAGTGTGCACCATCTTGTGGCTATTGCTTGCTTGCTTGGTTCCCTGCTTGGTTGCAATTCATAGAAAGGGGCTTGGAACATCTTGGCGCCGTGGTTTGGACTGCTTTCTGACTTGAAAAAGCTAACGCGCTTGACCCACTCCTTTCAGGCTAAGATGACATATTGGACACCCTCGCCGAAGTCACCCTGAAACAGCGCCACATGTGCCATGGTCGAAACTCTTGTAGGCTCATGGTCATGGTGTGCCCAAAGAGAGGAGGTGCTTTGCAGAAGCTTGGTTGCTAAGCTCACTTGCCCAGAGTAAAAAGCTAGATTCTTGGAATATGGGCCCAAAAGAGACCAAAATGGGGAAAAACAACACAAAAGGTGGCTTTGAACAAGTCAGCAATTAATAGCACAAATCAATCTTTTGATGGCGCACGCTCACCACCAAAACAATTCTGCCGCTAACCCAGCACACGAATCCAAGGCATTCACCACCTTTTCCTTGCGATTCAAGGCTGGTTCCATAGGCCGCAAACACAAGAAAAGTTCTCAGTCACATCGACCAGCCGATCCCCGAAGAGGGTCGCGAGGGAATGTTAAAAAGTTGAAAAATCGTGCTTTTGCACATCGACCCACGCACAAACAGAGCGGGTTGCAACCCCGTGCGACTGCTAACGCGGAGCTGCTAACGCAAGCACTCTACTCTCCCGACCCTAGTCACTCAACCACTTACCCAGAACTCGCGCTGCGCAATTGCTCCGCGTAAGTTGTTGTGTGCAAGCTGCTCTGTGCAAGTTGGTCCAAGAGCTCTCTGCGGAAGAACCCCTTCGCGATGCTTTCGGAGAAAACAATGAAAAACGGCCCATCCCCTTTTGGCTTCCTTTTGAAAAATCAATACCATGGGCCAGCATCCATGGAAACCATAGGTGTGGTCACTGACTTGGTGCTGCCCCAGTTTCCCGAAGCTCCTCTGGCATGCGCCCGGTTTGCTTCAAGATGAGTTCCGCCTCGCTTCGGACTCAGAGCCCCAGACCCCAGGTCAACATGGAACACAAACAACCATGCTTCAGGAAGGGATACTATCCTGTCCCCTGACATGGAACCTGACTGAGGTGCTGGAACAGTATTTTCCTTTAAAAGGGTTTTTGGTGGGTTCCACCTTAGTGGACAGGAGGGTACACCCCTTTTGGGTACTATTAACGACGGTTACATGGGAATCGCGGGTTCTAACTTTCTCCCGTTGGCAAAGTCCCCAAGGACATGACCCTGCGATTCATTCGGCCAAACCGAAAAATCACTTAGCCGGCGACAAAATCTTTGAATCTAAGATACTTTTCACTACCCCAAATGGGATACACAGCCACCATGCAGCCACTATATACGGGGGACAATCATATTTTTCTGTGCGGGTGGTTGGGGGGGGGGTAGTGGAAACCATCTTGGGCTCAAGGCAAAACAGCGCGGTTCTCCCCTGCTTTCTCTCAACAAGAACGCCAAAAGGCTCCTTAAAGGAGATGTTTTGTTTTTTTTTACATGGCTCTCAAAACTGGGGACTCGGGACCTCTCGGGTTTCTGCTGGTTTCCTTTGAACACCATCCAAAAACGGGTTCCCTATGTTGAGACAAGCTCGGTGGCTTTTTGGGTTCCAGGTTCATCAGCAGGAGCGCAAGCCTTGGACTGTCGGTTCCCCCCACCCGCGGACCCCCGGCGTCGTGCCAGCCAGCAACAAAAAAAGTATCCCCCTCCCCCCGTTCCAGCCATTTCTAAAGACGCACACCAAGGCTTGAGCTGCCAACTCTGCCAACCACCAACCGGTGTACCTTTGGAGAAACTCACTACTGGAGTGGAACAGCTGAAATGGTCCCCCGAAACGTCAACGGAACTTGGGGAGGAAAGCAAAGCCGACATGAGGATGCACAGTTAGCTGCTTAAACAATGCTTAGGCAAATGGCTTGTCCACACACCAACTGCGCGGCCTTCCATGCCTCTCCCCAGCAAACCAGTGACGGATTCCAAAAACTTCTCCACATACCCTGAAGGCTGCCACTTGACACCATTAGCCCGAACCGAAAGGGCTCCACTCTTGGCGTCGAGGAACAGGAACAGCACCCCATTTCAACGTTTCAAGTTGAAAGTTCAATTCGCTGGCTCTGCTGTTCAGGATGCTACCACCGAGTTTCACTGAGGGGCTGCATTGGAGTGAGGTGGTATTATGGTCAGCGATGCATTGGGCCTTTAAACAAAAAAAACAATGGAGATGTGATACATGCGTGCTAACCTGGAGCAGGCAGAGAAATGCAATTCTGAATAGATGCACCTCGAAAATGGCCCTGGACCCTGGGTGGGCCCATCCCAGATTTTCTCGCCCTGTCGGCCCCTCGGCCCGCTGAGGCACGACAACCTCATAGTCGACGTCATCAGCCCGGCAGGCCCTACCAGCCTCGGCCGCGCAACTGTCCTGGGTGGCTTGTCTTCTTTTAGGATTTGGACCCCAACGAATCGTTGTTTTCCCTGTGGGTTTCTGCTTGAAACCACAAAAAGACACAAAAAAGGGGGTGCCCCTCAAAATAATTGACACACCCGGTTGGGCAGACTCTTGCCGCCGGGCTGCTCGGGAGATCCGGCGCACTGCGAGGGCTGCAAGCGCCGCAGCCGCGGGAAATCGGGCAGGCCCCGCAAATCTTGCGCCAGTTCCAGTGGAAGGGATGCGGACCCTGACCAGGTCTGAGTGTTGAACCGGGGAGGGGCGGGGCAGAAAGTGAATTGGTTTCATTGACAATAAACGTGTGCTAACTAGCACGAGCTTTTGAAGGCAAAGTGTGAACACCTTCAATCACATAAGAAGAAGGAACCCAAAAGGGCAAAAGGGTAGAAATGTTCAGCCTGCAATGAATCAAAGACACATCTCTTGGGGCGACGTCTACTTCACCGCGCCTTGAAGACACCTGAGGCCCCTTCGGCGCAGGCGCGCTCCGCGCAGGCACAGTTGGCGCGAGCATCCCGAAGTCCACACAAGAGCCCATGAGGCGCTCGTGAGTTCCAACTGGCTCGGCTTCTTACTTTGGAGGTCACCTCGAGCCGGAAAAATGGCTCCCACGGGTGCGTGATGAGCAATCTCCCCCTTTTGGGCAGAAAATTGAAAAGACCAAACCCAGGCAACTTGTTGAGCAGGGGCCCAGCTGCGACCAAAGGGGACCAGGAAATGAAAGGCGATCACCTTGTTTGGGGCCATGACTAGGTCCTGAAATGGGACAACCACAAGGTCAAAAAGTGCGACATACTGAGCCGGTCAGAATTGTCACAAGGACTTGTTACTGGCACTTCTGCTCAAAGATAAGATGGAGAGGGGCCCAATGGTGATATCTTTTTTCATTCTGCTCCCTCACCAGGGGCCTCAACTGCCTTTTTGGGCGGCTTAAACGTGTGTGTGTGTGTGCGCATGTTTGCTTTTCATTTTGGGATTGGCATGGGGTGGCTTACAGGGAACCAAAAGAACAACCATGCATTTTTGCGGTCCCCCCTCCATTTCGAGACAACCCCACATGATCAGCTCGCTTGGATTTGTAGCAGATTTGCGGCTCTGAGGGATTCCCTTTTCTACTGTCCCTAGCTCCTTAGCTTCCGGTTTCAAAGCAAATTTGGATACCTCCGGCGGAACGGCTCCCTTCCAACCAACAGCTAGTTTGGTGTCCACTCAAAACGCCAACAACACGGGGCCCTGAACAGAGAGTCCAAACAGAAACCGTGCTGAATCGCACTGAGGATTGAGCCTATCCAAAAGCAGTGCAAGTCGGACTAGGGATGTAAAAAAGCGGAAATACAGGGGTTGGTTCGGGGACCGTTTCTACACATCTCCCATTGGTTTCCCAACGCCATGGGAAAACAAGGCCCCCTGTTTATTCTGGTCGTCGATTTACAGCCCCGAGCAACCAAGCGGGAAAGCGAAAAAGCGCCGAAGGTCGCCGCCAACAAAAACCTGTGCGAAAAGAACTGAGCCAAAGGCCTTCGGCTACTTCTTCCGCCAGTCCCGCCATTCCTGGCCATCCGGCGGCGTAGGCCTGCAGGAAGATGCGTCAAGGGTAAACCGCTCTGGGACAACTCAAATGCACCGCGTATGGCCAAGGGAAACCATGGAAGTTGTATGAGACGCTCACTTCCTGACTGGGCTGGCCCAAAAACTTCTAAACCTTTGGTTCACTACACTACTGAAATTATGTTCCTCAAAAGTTTAAAAGTCCAGAAGCTCGGGAAGTGAGAAGGCGTTTTGGGACATAGACCAAACTGACATCAAAAAGTCCGAACAAAGGTCGGCTTGGGGCAACGGAGTCAAGGGTGGCCCCTTGCTCCCTCCAAGCCCTTAAATCGAACGAGTAAAAGGTCGATCACCTTTCGTGGAAAATACAACCTCCCGCCCACAAACATGCAACCTCCCATGGGAGTGAAAAAAAAACAAAACACGATTGTCCTTTAAAGGGAAGGGTACCGTTGGGTTCCATGGTCGTGCTGAGAAAAATAAAAGCATAAAAAAAAGAGAAAGAACCATTGTCCTTTAACGGGAACCGTTGATGGGTTCCATCGTGTTGAGAAGAAAAAAGCTTTCGACTCCAAACGGTCACAGGGGCCCCTTGACGGTCAAAGACCGGTGTGTGGTCCGCTAGGTTTCACCCATTAAGCCAAGCCTGGATGCATATAATCCCGGTTCCTCGGGTGAAAACTATGTCAACTTTTGAATGCTTGCGGAAGGCGAGACATGGCCTCAGCGCGTACGGTACATCTTTGAGGGCCAAAAGCGGCAAGTCTGCGTTATCATGCTTGTACATGATGGGCGCTCCCCTCAAACTCACATGGAATCTAAAAAACCACTTGAAAGTGGTGACCAAAATCCCCAGGTGATGTCCCTACCCAGACATTCTGGTAGCTCCGATTTCGGCTCCCTCTTTAAAGCAAACTTGGATACCCCCAGCTCCCTTCGAACCATCTAGTTTGGAAGCCAGGCGTTCCGAAGGGCCTGTCTTTGCCCTCGTAGTCGTTGGATGCCACTTCACCCCAATTGGTCGACCTTCGTTCGGGCGTGCGAGTGACGTCAGTCGCGGCTCCAAAAACAAAACGAGGTTCAAGCAAAGCACAGTGGCATTGCGCTTAGGTCCAGACAGCACCGTTCCTGACGCGGCTTACGTCCGGCATCCGGAGGCCGAGGGGAGGTAGCGCGGGAGGTGCGCCAATTCCATGTTTCTCGCCCCGGAAACGAACACCCTGGAATTCCATCCCCCGCTCACTTTGGAAACAGGTCAGAGGTACGGATGTGGAAAGAAAGGTATACAGCTCAAGCGCCCTCCGGATCAACAAATGACAAGAAAGATCAAGAAGACAGGGGAAGACATGCAACTGTTGCTGATAAGGGACATGCTTTCAGCTCAAACCAAGACCAGCCCAACATGACTGTACTTTCTGCGTTACGTTCGAACTGTTCGAAAGGTTTACGAGGGTGCGCCGTGTTTCGAAGAGAAGAGGCAGGCCAAAATCCATTCAGTTTTGCTTTGGGGCCTGACACTTTTCACAAACGAAACATGACGAGGGCAAAATGGGAACGACAAGGACCACCATCCAGTTTTCAATCGCAAAGTTGTCTTCCATCAATGGACAGGCTTAAATGGCTGTCTTTTTAGGGGACCCCCCAAAATGGTAGTATTCCTTTTGGTGCCCCTTGAAAGCCCATAAGAAAGGGGCAACTCCCAAAACAGACGCACCCAACTGTTTAAATCAACGCAAAAGGAATGTGAGGACCCCTGACCCATTTGGGTTTCATTGACCATTCAGGTTGCGACTTGATTCCACCCAACCAACGAATCAACGATCACTTTAAAAGGCACTTCACAAAAGGCGTTGGGGACCTGTGAGTACTTGGGCTATCTTCTATCTTCAAAGGAAAAAACAAGCCCCCCAGAAGGCTCCTCCAGAGGTCTGGAAGGATTTGTTCATGGCCCGCCGTGTATCTTCATCTGCTCTTTCGTAGATCTGCTGGAAGAGCTTGTTCAAAGCCTCGGAATCCGCTTCCGGAAGGCGCTTTCTTCTGCACCCGGTATACTGAACATATCTGAACATTGCCGGTTTTGTGAAGAGGTGTTGAGCCCATATGAATTTCCACCCCAGTTTAAGTTCGGGGGGTAGTTTTGTTCCTTCCAAAAGTGGTACGATTCCCCAAACCCAGGGAGAAGCACCGAAGCACTCCCCCTATCAATAAACTGGGGTTGATTTCTATGGGGCAACATTCTGCTTCCTTTTCACCCCCACCAATGAAGGGAAACGCAAGACCCCGGTCCATACATTCTTTCCCCTGTGCCACAGACGAAATGTATGTGGAATGGTGCGTTGCTGAAAATGTGGCCGCGTTCCATACGATACTCACACGATGGGGATGGATTTCGCCGGCTTGGGGGGCTTGGGGGTAGCGGAACTATGTTAGATCGACAGTGATCATCGGTGAAGCAACAAACCAACATCCAACACAATGGAGCGCTATCTTGAGGAGAAGGAAATACTGTGGATGGACGAAATCGTGCACCACAAAAAAAAATGGAATGATGCTTCCGCTGTAAGTACCAACCAACGACGGTTTCCAGTAGTTTGTTGGGTGGTGCATAATTTTGTCCATCCACAGTAGGGAACCACCCTCCTGCACATTGACAAGGGACCCAGCACAGCTGCGTATAGAGGATTCTGTTCCTTTTGGGGCCGGGGCCCCCTCAAATAGTCATGAACAATACCTCAAGTGGAAGGAATGGAAGCTGCAGAGCTGACACCCTCGGATCTCTTTAGTCTACAATTCGGCCAAACCTCAAAGGACATTGGGTCATTGGATGGATCTAGCGATTGACAGGAAAAAAGAAGGCCTATACAAACTGCTCCCTATCCTCCTTATGATCCTTATCTTCCTTCCGAAGGCAGGCAATGGCTGAGGTGGCCAAAGCGAACTCCTGAGGGTCAATCCAAGTGTTGCGCCCCCTCCCCTCGCATCCACTTCCATGCAACCTGAGGTAGGGAAACTGCACCGAAGCGGTTCCGTGATCAAAAGCATCCAAAATCCAAGAGCTTGGCAGGGGGATCCTCTAAACCTCCATTTGCTGAAGCGCCCTGGTAAAATATGTCACAGGCTCCCTTTAAACCCCAACAGTGGAAAGCAAGACATCATAATGGAATTCAGTCAGCTGGTGTTTAGGTGATCTTTGACTGGCCCACACATTTTCGCCCTTGGAAAACACACAAACTTCCTTTGCAAGGGCAGGTGTCCTCGAGTAGAGAGGTTAGAAGAAGGGTAATGTTAGCACTTGATTAACCAACTGGACTATAATCATGGCAAGTGTTTTTCCTTATTCTGGTTCGCACCCATTGTTTAGGGGGACCAGAATAATTGAAAGTTTGTTTGCCCGGGTGGAAAACTCCAAAAATACAAAAGAAAACAATTTTAATTTAAAAAAGCATCCCCCCCAAACAATCACCCGAAATCCATGTTGACCCAAAATCAATTGGTCGCTCAACCACAGAACCCAAAGCCAGCTGAAACCTCTGAAATTTGAAAACCATCCCCAGCCCTGAAACTGCAAACTCTTTATTAAACCAGGACAAGGGTACCCCTCAAAGACTTCACTGAACCACAATAATGTCCTTCTTTTAGGGGACCACTTTAGTTGCAAGCCCCCAGCCCCCCTCTCAGAAAATAAACTATCAGTTGCTTTACTCAAAGCATTCCCCTTTCAATTGGTGGCCCACTTGCTTAAAAGCATCCCCTTTCAATTGGTGGCCCGCTTGCTCCAAAGCATCCCCTTTCAATTGGTGGCACGCCCCTTTGAATGGCTACAGAAAGAACTGAAAGGGAAGTGGTTGCAATACTAAAGTAGTATTCCAAAAAGTCTGCTCAGGAAGAAGTGGTTGCAATACTAAAGTAGAATTGCAAAAAGGAAGTGGCTGCAATACTAAAGTAGAATTGGGCCCCAAAATCCTCCATTGTTTGGACGTCCCAAAAGTGAGCCCCCAGTATTTTGGCGCCTCCATTGTTCAGGGGGGGGCCCCTTTATTAATCAGGTTCCAACATTACCCTTCTTTCTGTAGTCTATTTTTGTAGGGGAACCCTCCCCCCAAAAAGGGTAAAAGGGCACAGGGGGACCTAGTTACTGCTTGCCATTGAAACGATCGCCAAATGGCGAAAGGAGAAATGAAGGGACCAATTCCCTCGTGTTCCATGGCAACGACTGCAGCGCTAGCGCTGGGGAGCTGGGCCCCGGACACTGTCGCCCTCCGGCTTCTCGTTCTTCATCTCTTCCTGGCGGAATTCGTAGGGCCAAGCTCGCACAGGCCACTTGACTGCCCTCAGATCCCCCGCTAAAAGTGACCAACTTTGAGTGGGTTAAATGGAAATCCAACCACTACACACTAAAAGGCAAAAAAGCTAAGGGGATGGCTGGGAGAAAAGCTTTCAGACAGACATATCTTGCTGGCATAGGCGTCCTGTTACAAAAAAAAAAGGGTTTCTCTGGTAAATGGAACAATTTAACCTACAAAGGCCACCTATGCTTGCTGGTGCGATAGGTAGGGAGTGGGAATGAACCTGAAGGGGATTCCTTTGAAGAAACCACCCGTTGGATGGTTTATAAGGGGTCATTCCATGTTGCATTCCCTGCTGAACACCAGCAAGATATGGCACTTGTCGAAATTTATTCAAAAGTTGGAGTTGGTTGACAGGCTCTACTCTTCATTTGCCAATTGCGGCTCCTTTTGCCAATTGCCTGGGACAATCCCCTGTTAGCGATACCCTCTCACAAACAGCCCCGTTTAGGAAGCTTATTACGTGTTTTGCAAGAAAAAACTATGCCTCCATGTTTGCATCGGGGATGTCAGCTCCTGGTTGCCAACTCAAAGTGATATTCCTTTTGCTGGGGCGATGCTTAAAGGGGGAAACATATGGGGAGAGACCCTTTTCGGACAACCGTGTTTTTCCAACAATCACAAAACAACATGGCTCCTTGGATGGGTACGTGTCTGATTGGAGGTGGTACCCTCCTTGATGTTGCTTGAATGGGATGGATGCCCAACATGAAAAAGAACATTTGGGTGTCTGATTTGGCGGACCCTGATTTGAACCACCTCCTTTGACTCTCCCTTAAAGGGGGTACAGTTGTCCGACCAAGTTTTGACTTTGACCCTGTTTTCCAGTGAATCGGACAGGCTGCTTTCGTGAACGGAAACTGTTTCAACGACCTCCAGCGGATGTTGGGCCAAACAAAAACTGGCAATTTTTGAGGTGGTTGACTTTAAGGGGGGAAACCCCCCTGAAAAATTTGAAAAAGGGAAGCAACCCGCGCCCGCGCGTCTGGGGTTTTCAAGACAAGGCGCACGGGCGCATCCCAGCCCGTTTCAAAACCAAGGGCCGACCTTAGCCAACAAACTGTGTGACCCAACTGCGCCATCTCGCCTTCCGCCTCACCCCAAACTCGAGGTCACGATGGCGCCCTGGTTACAGGACATCTATGTAAAAAAAGCGGCCTAAATGCATGTTGGATATCACTGGGGATCGAAAAACGATTAACTGTTAAAGGGCAATGACAAAAGGTTGATCAACAAAGGGGAAACCAAAAGGTCAGTCTAGGTTGATTCGCTTTGGTCAAATGAGATCTTGGACGCCTTTTCTGCAGGCCACTGGGCTCTCAGCCGCTTTGGGCTTTACATGGCTTTACTCCGCGCAGGTTCAGGGCGTTCCGGCATCCGGGCGGCGCAGGCTGCCTGAAACAGCACAGAAGCACCCTGTTGCCTACCTTTTTGGTGGTTGTCACTTTTAGTGGGGAATTCACGAACCAGGGACTAAAAACCGGGCCTGTTTGGGGGATATCACTTCTAGTGGGGAATTAATTCATTCACCAGGGACTTTAAGGTTGCACGCGGGGAGCCCTCAGAAGGATCATCCGCTTGCCGCTCATTTGGGTCCATGCTATGCAAAACTTCCCAGAGAGCAGGTTCCCTCCCTTCCGTTTGCACAGCCTAAGGTTTGGCAATTTGTGCCCGCTGGGAAGCACTGGGGGCCCCTGTTCACAACCGGAAAATCTATGGGAAAGGTGGGTTTCTTTCTCGGGGACCGTGTTTTTGTTGACCCCAAATCATTTTTAGGATCCATGAACCAAAAGGTGAAATGGTCGGAAAACTGGCTTGTGGTTGGAAAAACAGGGCCCTTTTCTTTATTGGGGGGGTACGTCCCTCTACATAGTCTCTAGAGCGGGATGATAGGGCCCTTCCGATGAACCTGATTCCCAATCTGGTGATAAAACCGTGCATTTCGGGAAGTTCTAATATAGAATGTCGGAATTGCCCCTTCAAGGGCCGCAAGCAAACCAGATTTTGTATGTTTGGTAAAGAAACAGAGAACCTGAACAGGGGGAAACCATCCAAGCCCAACCCATTTTCTAGCATGCTAGGTCATACTTCATATGTTCACATACATATGTATATACAAACATGTATATACATACATATGTGCATATATATATATATATGTAATCCTGCAGTTGAAGCCATTTATCCTGAAAAATTGTAGGGCCTTGGCCCAATTTGGAAACTTCCGCTAAACAAGAAAACAAAACACATGGCCGCTCAACTGCGGATGTTCCTCAACCTGAAATCTGAAAACATCCCTGAAGTAAGCCTCAGCCATTCTTTGTCCGGAAATGGATGGCTACACTTTGGCTTCTCTTTGAAGCATCTCCCCAAACAAAACAAAGAGACATCAGCATACCAGTATGTACGCCACAAATAAAAGTATATATCCTGCATCCAACCCCCACGGTCCAAGAAGTACGCCGTGAAACTCAGAGAGTGAGCCTCACTTCTGATCGAGTGGATTGGCCCAAAACTGCTCACCAAAAAGGCAGTTCCGAACAGTGACTCGAGTCCAGGAACTCAGTGCGCGAGCAAGTGCCAGCATGAGTTTCCTTGTTTTCCCTCAGCCTTGGGTACACGGCCCTTGCCTTCCTTCCTGCGTGGCATCCGTCCGGGTCCGCCTTTTGAGGCGTCGCAGACAGCTTCAAGCTGAAAAGGAGAAGCTTGAGGCCGAAACGGCTGTAATTTAACTTCTGGGTAAATGAGCTCTACTAGGCAACTGGGAGGTTGTACCGAGCAAGTGAGTAACAAGCATGCCAAACCAACCTGCAAACCAACCAGCTGAGTTGATTGGCCAGCAAACAAAAACAATAAACACTTTTGGGCCTTGACTATGATTCAGACACCGAACAAACAAACAGTTTGCCAAGCCAACAGGAATAAGGCTCAAGTAATGTATCTTCCTGGTAAGGACTGTTCATGATGGTAAAATCACCCTACCCCAAGCCCATAAGAAAAATGGCAAGGTCATTTCCAGGCGGGTTCCCTGCCCGGTTCAGGTTGAGATTTGCTAGGCACTTTGTCCAAAGACACGAACGAAGTACAAAAGGTTCTGTACACAAGGAGACGCAAAGGAGCCAGGAGACCGGGAGACCTCCGGCTGAAGGCATCTCGCTTGCCCAAATGACCTGGACAAATAAGAAGTGGTCAACCTGAAATTGCCGAAGTTTACCCAAACGGGACAGTTAACCACTGGTCGGAGTTGTCCGGCTTTTTTTTATTTTTCGGGCAAGTGAGAATGTGTTTATTCCTCCGACACCGAGTCCGTGTGCCAGGTAGGCTCTGAACGAAAATGTTATCTCGCTGGGAATCGATCAATGGCTCGCTCACATGGCCTCCATTCGACCCAGGGCTCCGCTCACTTCCTCCAAGGTCCGCAAATAGCTCACCACCACCTCCCGAATAAATTCCTCGGTAACGGTAGGTCCACCGGGGTTTTGCCGGGGTCTAAAAGACGCAAAGAAACCAAGAAATCCAGAAAACAGCAAAAATCATGCCAAAAAAGGAGATCCCTATGTGTTTTTCCCCGACAACTAAACGCTATGGGGTCCCGGCCCAAAGAGGCTCTGGGGTGGTGTGGGGCAGCTTGCAGGGAGGGTTCCGGAGGGTTTCAGCGGGTTCCGGGGTTGTTGGGGATCTTTGAGATCACTGCCCTGTGCAAATCACCAGATGTGGGCTCGAAGTATGCCAGTGTTCACCCGTAGTATCTAAGAAGTGTTACAGGACTCTGCGCCAATGACTGCAGTTTCCAGAAAGAATGGCGCTCGGTGACTCCCGATCAGTCGATTGGTGGGCTCACCTTAACACCAGTGTTCACCCCTATCTAAAAGAGAAGCCAGCGACAGGAGATCTGACAGGAAGTTCCATTTCCAGAGCCCTCTGCCACCTGCCACCGAGATGCATCATGCATCTTCAGCACGGGCACGCCATGAAAACTGCTCACCCCATCCCCTGCCGAGTTGATATAGAACTCGCTGACCGCAACCAAGTACTCCCGCTGTGGATCCACCTGACCCAACCAGAGAAAAAGAAAAAAAACAAAGTGCAATGGCTGAGCTCCTGCGTTGGCAAATCGACCTCCCAAACAGAGTAGCTTGGAAAACCCTCCTTTGGTTAGACGTCTCCTTTGTGTTTGGACCCCTGCGGTTGCCACAATTTTACAGCTGCTTGACAGCTATGGGCCTCTAGAGTTCTGAGTTCACTCCATACACATACATACATGTATATATATATATATGTAATATACACATACACCATGCTGCAAGCATTAAACTGTATGTTTGAGTGCCTGTGCGCGTGTGCGTTCGTGCGTGGGTGTGCGTGTCCGTTCGTGCGTGTGCGTGTGTGTGTGTGTGCTTTGTGTTGTGTGTTGTGATGTATTAGTTGTTTACATGGTCATAGTTTGTCTATGAATGTGTTGTTCACTTGTTGTTGTTTTTTGCAGGGTGCTATTAGTTTATTGGTTTATATATGTGTTTACGTATTTTCGCGCGCCCCCCCCCCCCCCACAACAAACGCACGGACCACCCAGACTCGCAGTCAAGTTGAAGGGGCACACCCATTCTTCCCTTTGAGAAGCGACCCACGGCAAACACTGTAGCAGGGCACCCTGAGCATTTCCAGATATGAGTCATGGGTTTTTGCGCTTATACACCACCAATACAAGCTTGTACCGCAGCACGTCGCAATTGTGCAACGTTGACCCCATATTCATCAACCCCAGTTTATTAATAGGGGGGTGCTTCTCCCTGGGTTCAGTGGCAAGTCGACACTTTTGGAGTGGACACCCCTGATTTCATTTCACTGGGGTTGAAATTCAATATGGGGTCAACATTCCGCCGTATATTACCTGCCTCTAAAACGAAAACCCGGAGATGCCTTTGGCCTGTCACTCTGACCCTACCATCCAGCGAGCCCATCTCAAAAGGCAACTCACCCCCGAACAAAGGCCCATTGTGAAGGACAAGTAACAGAACCAGCGGTTGTCCTCCCAATGTGGCGGCTTTGTCTGTGCGGCGGAGGAAAGGCCCCCCTTCGGTAGACCTTCAAGGGAACCCAGAACCCTCCAGAAAAAGGACAAAGGACATGGCACGAGCGTCGAAACGGCAGACTTTTAAACCAAGGGGTCCATAATCCACACATGAGGGCGCTACACCGAACCAGGTTCAGGGGGCGGGAGGGCTATTCCATGAGCGACACCGGTCTTTCCTCAATTCCTGAGTGGATTGGACAAACAAGTCGCTGTTCATTGAACACTAACTCATTTCCAAGGGCCCGGAAATAAAAGGTTCACCTGTAAGAACTTTGACAAAAAGTGGGAACCCAACAAGATAAAACCAAAAGGTCAGATCCGGTTGGTTCACTTTGGGCAAGAGAGCTAAAATGATCTTTCCAAAAAGTCTAAACTTGCTGGTGCTCAAGGAATGAGCTGGAATGACTCTGAGAAAATCCAATCGCCTATGGTTTCCTTTATTCGGGAATTCCCCAGGTTCATTCCTTTATTTAAGAAATTCCCCAGGTTCATTCCTTTATTCGGGAAATTCCCAGGTTCATTCCTGTATTCGGGAATTCCCAGGTTCATTCCCTCATTCTCTACCTAACGCACCAAGCAAAGTGCGGGACACTCGAGAGAGTTTTCCTCGCCTCGCAGTCGTTGATCTGGAAGCTTCTGACCTTCGCCAGCGCCGGGGCCGCGGGCGAATATCTCCTAGATCGGATCGAATTGCCTGGGATAGCTGGGGGGGGGCGGGGTCTCCGACTTTGTGAAGCAAAGGTCCCTTTCAGGGAAACTAGTGCGTAACCCAATTGAAGGATCTTGTGGATTACCTTTGAACAGCCAAGCTAAACATCGCTAGGGAACGCATGGGCAAAAACTTGCTGGTGCTCACTAGGGAATGTGCGAATGAACCCAGGGGTCCCCTTAAAGGAAACCACAAGGGATGATTTGCAAGGGTCATTCCCTCACCAGCAAAAGAAGTCAAGATTTAACACCAAGGGGAACGAAGTCGCGGGACCCTGCCTGCCTGGCTGCCTTTGGTCTGTCGACCCCCCTGTATTCTTTCCCACTAGCGGATGGAACAAATGCATCGCCGTTATTTCCAAACTCCAAGTTTGCCGAAGAAACCCAGTGTCCACCACTACCAACATGCGGGGGGTGTTAGGGTTTTTTTTGGGGGGTGGGGTTTGGAACATATATGGTCACTTTCAACCACCAGCTGCTGTTTTCCTTGCTGGGTGTTGCTCACTTGTTGTGTCAAATTCGCTTCCCATTGAGCTGGGTTGCACATGAAAGCCAAGTCTCAGGTGAGCGTTCCGCGAAATGTGCGGAAAGGAGGAGGAGGGCGCAGGGCACTGCGACAGCATCCTCAGTTGAGAGAGAAATAAATTTTGGTCGCCCCTTAACAAATCTACAAACAACAGGTGGTCACCTTTTGGGGCCATGGCTCCAAATTGACAAACACGGGGAAAACCGAAAGGTCAAAAGGTCGGCTTTGGGCAAGTGAGTGCAGGGTCCTGAGCAAAAGGTCCTTAGACCTTTTGTAGGTATGGCAGAGTCACCTGTTTCAGGGGCACTTTGGGCACAGAAAAGATGAGCAATGATTACAGGGCGAAATGTTGGGACTGCTTTTTCTGGGCCCCCGGTGGGAATGCACCTAGAACAAGGGGATAAACTACACACGCGAGTCTCTTACTGGTGTCAAAGTACCGCAGTATTTCGTATCATTCATGATATGGGCTTCTAGCGTGCAAAAAAAAATGGGCTGCCACAAGCGGATCTCAAAGCATATTGAAACCTATGGGTCTCAGGAAGTAAGAGGCTCACTTGCCGAGTGGATGGCCCAAAAAAGTCCAAACTTTATATTTACCACTAAAATGGTCTTCCCAAAAAGTTTAAAGTTCAAGAACTCAGGAAGTGAGTTGGGAGGTTGGAACCAACTTGGCCTCAAGAAACAGCCGCAAACTTGGACGGGAAAGAAGGGAGTAACTTCAATCGACACGAACGGGCTTCTATTCCAAGGCCTGGTGGGAGAAACAGGGTACCTGATTTCAAAGGGGAACGCCTGACAAAAAAATATATCGAACAAACAGGATGGGGAGCATGCCAAAAACCGGGCGTCCTGTCTTGCAATGCATTTTGGATTCCCGTTAAACAAAAAGAAACTCAAAACAATCTGGAGGTTTGTGGACAAGAGATTAACCTTGTAGAACCCCGACAAAAATGGCACCAAGCAAACCTCAGCCTCAACCTGCAACAAACACTTCCGCGAAGAAAGGCACCAACAGCTTTTCGACCCCCAGCCCGTTTTTTTTTTTTTTTTTTTTTTTTTTTTGGGGGGGGGGGGGGGGAAACAAAGCCACAAGGGAAACTACAGGTCGAGCAACAGGTTCGTGGTTGGAAAAACAAGTTTCCCCCCCCCCCCAAGAGAAACCACAACTAGCCCTGTTAAACGGTGCTGGATTCCATTCGCTTTGGTTGAATCCAATGTTTAAGGTTTGCTTAAGAGGAAGCCAAGAAACAAATCGTGTTGATTGTTGCTGCTGATTGTTTTTGTGTTTGTTTTTGGCGGGGGTTCCCGGTTTTGACACATACTGCAAGGGCGTCAATGATGAGAATGAGCTTGTGGAGTGCTGTTAAACTAAATTCAGTCATGATCGGATCAAAATACTGTGTTCAATCCTACTGGCCCAAATCCTACTGGGCGTTGAACGTGTAAATGTTCTTGGCTTCGACCACGCGGAGACAGCGAAGAAAAGTTCCAACGACTGAAAGTTTGGCTCTGGCTAAGTTGTCATTCTGCATCTTCTAGCTGAATTTAGAGGGCTTCACCCCCCCTCCAAACACACAAAGCAAGAAGTCCGCGGAAGACGCACAAAAACAAGTAGTGCTAATTAGATTCCCTGTAAGACCGGAAACAACAACTGGGTGGCTCGTTCCTCTTTTTGTTAGGTGACAGCCGTTTTCCTGTTGGTTTCCCTTTAAAACCATAAACACAAAATACCAAAAAATACAGACCCAAATATTCCTTTCAGCAAGCTACCACCAAAAAAGGAGGTACCCCCAAAAAAAGACACACCCAACTTGAAAATTCACCACCCCGAAACCAAAAGCTTGGACTCGTTCGAGCTGCTTGCCGCCAAAGCGTCTCCTCCAATCCCCGCAGTAACTGCTCCCCGCTGAGCTTCTGAAGGGCCACCTTTCCGTCGAAGGGCATCTCCTCCTCAACCTCTGCCTGCGGCCGAGAACGAACCAATCGAGTGGATGGGTCAGGAACGGTTTCTTTGTTAGGTGTATTTTGTGGGGTGGAATTAAAACCGCCATGGAGGAAAGGCACAGAAACATGGAACACAATGGAACACATCCCCCTGTGTATTCTTCTCTCTCTCTCTCCCTCTCTCTCGTGCCATCGGAATCCGTCCCACTGGTGTGGGGGCACACCGTGGCATCCCCTGTGTATTTTGGGGGTGGAATTAAGACACCCATAGACGGATACAGAACAGTACAAAGCTGATGTGTATCTCGCTTGAGTGCCTGGCGGCCCAAAAGGACACGCTTAGGGGGGTCTACTTGTGGGGGTGCTCGGTTTCTTGGCTGTTGGGGGGGGGGGTGCGTGAGTGGATGGGTCAAGAAAGTACCCAAACTTGTTTGCTTACCACTAAATCTTCCAAACAGTTTAAGTCCAGAAACTCAGGCAGTGGGCCGAAGGGCCACGCTTCGGTGTCTGTTTGTCAAATAGGGCCCACAAACAAAGGGCACACGGAAAATCATACTTCCCGATTCTGTTTCAGATTTAGTCTGCCCAAAAAGTAAAACACACAAAATGTTTAAGGTACCCTTTCGGGGGGTGGCATTCAATCGAAAGAGGGGACACCACCAATGATGGGGTCGATTTCAACACACAAATCTTGGCCCAAATCTTAGGTACTGAGAGAAACAAACATGTCTCGCTTCGGTTTCATATTTGGACTTACCGTAAAAATTGTGTTTTGGAGGAGACCCAAATTCACTGCGCAAAGCGTGAAAAACGTTTTCGCGGGCCAGTGCAAAAAAACACGTACATCCCCCAAAAGACCCAACCCACTTCTCCTTGGTTTCCTGCTGGTTGCTTGGGACCTTTTCCAGGAACTCAGGGAGTGAGTCCATTCTGTACCCTTGACCTGCCAAGATGCAGCCCAAGTGGGACCAAAGCTTTTCCAGATACGAAAAAACGTTGACAGCCCTCAGGGCCTTCCTTCGATCCTTCGGTCCGGTCCAATGCTCCCTGGCTTCAGGCGAGCCGGGCGACACTTGTAGGTCATTTTATGCCCTCGTAGGTAAACTCCTTTTGAGCAGAGCCTCTGGTGGACCCAGTAAACGAACGGAAGAAACAAATGAGCCAGCCGCGAAAAAGTGCGGCTTTGCTCGCCCGCAAGATGGGATGTGCTGTTGGGATGCCCTGCGAATCTGCGAATCGCAGGCCCAAGAAAGCAGCCAAAACGGGTGCAAATTCCGGCCAAAGGATAAACACTGGGGTAACTGAGGAAAAGTCCTGGAACTGTTTCTCACTTGCCCAAAGGACCCAGAAATAACAGGTTAACCTTTTGGGGCCATGACTAAAACTAGACCAAAAACGAGAAACCAAAAGGTCAAAAGGTCGGCTTTGGGCAACTGAGGTTTATTCCCCAACTGGTCAAAAGGTTCAAAGTCCAATTCAGGAAGTGACAAAAAAGGACTACTCCCCCTGCTTCCATTTGGTTCAGGCCCCAGGAAAAAATGACAATATGTCCAGTAGTGCTGAATTCCTCTTAAAACCGACAGGGGATTTGTTCTTTTTCTTTTTATTTAAACCAACAAAATAATTTCAGCAAATGGAGGCCTGGGAGGACCCTCCCCCCCCCACCCACCCCCCGGCCTTGGTGAGCACGTGGCCCACCGGATAGCTCCGATCCGCGCGCACGCAGCCGCCGTTGATCAGCGCCAGCTGGCAGGTCTCCGCGGAGTAGCGCCAGAGCATGGCGTCCGCCACCAGGGAACCGAAGGAGTTCCTGAGATGGGGGCTGAGATCATGGAACCCACTGGGATACAAAAGGGCTTCCAAAAGACGAACCACTAGAAACGGGAGGAGGGGGAGGGGGAGGGGGCTGGGGGAAAGAGAGCGGAGGGTGGCTGGGGAGGGGGGGAGGGGGGAGGGAGCCCAATTAAGCCCAGAATAAGGCCTTAAACCCAAATGAGATCATGGAATCCACTTCTGGGATACAAAAGGGCTTCCAAAAGACTAACCACTAGAAACGGGAGGAGATTCCCAAAAGTATCAGGGATAATCATGGGAGCTGGGGGGGAGGGAGGGGAGGGCGAGGGAGGGAGGGAGGGCAGGGGGAGGGAGCCCAAACACTGGCTTCGCTATTTCACCAGAATCAAAGTCACTCCCCTAAGTGGTGAAACTACAAAGAATGGTTTCAACCATGGTTTCAAAGTGGTGCGAATTGAATTTCGTCCATCAACAGTATCAAGTGCTCAACAAGGGCTTATTTGGGCACCCTCCCCGTCCCCTCCCTCCCCCCAGCCCCCTTGAGACATGTGCCACGGCATAGCCTGAGATAATAATCCAGAGAATCACTTTCCCGTTACACGGCTAGTCTTGGAATGGAGAATGCTAACTGTCAAGGATTTTTAAAATAGTAATGAAAGACTAATTCCTTCCCCATTCAATATTTCTTTGTCTTATGTGTGCCAGCCAGGCAGCCAGGCAGCTACCCGACCAGGGGTTAAGCCGAGACCTGGATGCCGGGGCTAGTAAATAAAAAAAAAACACTGTTTAATGCAAACAAATGAGAACTAATACGTAAATCAACCCAACATGTGGGGATCACGCATCAAAAGCCGTTGTTTGCTTCATGGTCCTACTGCGTATGGACGAAATCCTGCACCACCTAAGAAACTCTGGGAAAACAGTGTGTTGGTATTTACGGGGAAGCATCATTCCAGGGGTTCTTGAATGGTGCAGGATTTCGTCCCTCCACAAACCTCTGGCAAACAATGAGAAAACGGGATAATCCCTTGCAAACCTTACTCTGCTCATTTTTGGCTGTGGTTCTTGTAGGGGCATAGTCATCCATCTGTCTCAACTTTGCGTGTCCAAAGGTGCTCGAAGACTTGAAACTGCACAAGGCCAATATGCAGGCCATGATTCGTTAGCACCTCTCCTAGATAATCCAACAACCCACCACAAGAATCTTCTTTTCGGGGACCCCGACAAGAGGGGTATGTTAATTTGTAGGGATTTAACATTGGTGAACCCCACTCCGGAAGTTCATGAGCATCCCTACCAAGGAGAACGGCAAGATTTGACAATGGCTCATATGTTGACGTGAGAAACCTATCTAAGCAACTTAGAACCGTAGGCAACTCAGGGAATCTCAGATCTTCCACTGCCCCCAGTGGCTAATCCTCATATTATTTATTTGGTCAGCATATATAATGGCTGCATATCCAGTCCGGGGTATAAGCTACTTACAACCAGGCAACTCCAAGCAACTCACACCCCAGGTTACAAACCGCTGACTTGGCCGAACACCCAAGTGTCCAACAAAATCTATGGCTACCCCCACTAGCCAGTTGGCCATGGGCCAACAGCCAAATCGTACCCCCAGTGAACATCACAATCCCACTAAAGTGGGTTCTAAAATGGGTGGTGAATTCACCTACCCCAAAATGGTACCATTGGTGTTGACCCACCGCCAATTAACTTGCTGGTCCTCAGTAGGGAATGAGGGAATGAACCCTATAAACCATCCCTTCTGGTATATTCCCTCACTAGCCAGTTTCTCACTGGCTGAGTAGATGGCCCAAAACAAAATCCAAACTTTATTTTTACCACTAAAACGGTCTTCCCAAAAAGTTTAAAGTTCATGAACTCAAAAAATGTGAGGTTCTTCATATTAGTTACATAGCGGGCCTATATGGCCGTCCCATTCAGCCCCCGCTCTCGGGGGTCTCCACCGAAATTCCAGTGCGAGATGCTCTTTGGCCCGGAGCTCGTGGGTCCTTGAGGACAGCTCCTGGAAGCGAAGCCATGGTTAACGCACACCTGGGGCTGCTGCAACGGTCTCCCCCTGCAAAAAGTGAATAACTGTTTGGGGGGTTTAGCACGGAAAACCCCTTTTTTCCCAACAAGCTCTGCAAAAAGTGAATAACTGTTTGGGGGTTTAGTGGAAAACCCAACTTGATTTCAACCAAGAAGTTAAAGTCTAAAGATCCGTTGCCCAATAGCAGTCGAGCATAGGTGTCCTTTTTGGAAAATAGCTGGCCCTGGTAGATGATTGCGCCACCAGGCAGGGATCGCCCGCTTTTTTCTTGCAAACCAACCAAAAAGGACACCTATGCATGTAAGACATCCACCTGAACAGCCCAACAGCCCAACAGCCCAACAGCCCAACAACCCAAGAGCCCAACATACCTGAATCTTCCGGACTGGTGCATTTCTCCATTTCTCCAGCCCTTTGCCCCACAAAGCAGCTTTTGTCGCGAAAAGGCATGACGCATGGATGTTGGACGATTCAGGTATTCATTGTGCCCCCCCGGCGCCAGCGGCAACGAAGAAATAGGCTTTTGGTGTGGCAGACAATATTAAAGGCATGAGTTGCCAAATGGTATTCTTCCATTTGGTTAAGGCCCCAGGAACAAAATATAAATATGTCCAGTAGTAATAAATTATTTTTAAAACCAAAAAGGGAAAAATAAAACATATTCTTAAGCAAATGGAGGTATTTCTTGCAGCCCTGCGCACCCTACTCTGCAAACTGCAAGGCCTGGACATTGGACATCGGACATTGGTTGTCGTGTGCCGTTTGTGATAGCAGGGGTCTGTGTGAATGTGGATATTTAGAGTCACCGATTGGGAGTGCTAAACAGCTAAACACGAAAGCGCTTAATGCGCAAAAAGGCTACAAGGTGCAGCGACCAACCAGGCTGAAATCATGACTTCCCCGCTTGGTATACAGTATGCTCCCTTTTACCAGCCAAGAACTTTGGAAAATAGTTTCGGGATTTCTTTGTTCTACTTCGGAGTTGTTGCTAGTGTCAGACAGCTTCGCGCCAAAAACACTTGTTTTCTTCCTCTCAAATGCCATGCCTCGGAGTAACCGTGATGCCGCATGCGACCCTTGCTGCTTTCACCGCAATTTGAGAGGAAAACTTAGTTGGCAAGTGGTTGATATCCCTGGTTAAAAAAGTTCTCCAACTTGCAGCTGCCCAATGCACAAACCAATGTTATTCATACTCCAATTCCTTGGTCCGACCACGTCATGGGTGAACCGTACTCCTGGTAGTTCTCTTCGAAGATGTTTGCATTCCCTCTGCATACCCCTCTTCCATCTTTAAGCACTGCATCTCGAACGGCCAAGGGAAGTGGGGGGCGCAGCCACCAGAAACTCAAAGCACACATTAATCTTCTCAAGGGGTTCTTGCAGCTGCCACAGCGTGCCAGACTAGATCTGCCGCATTCTCTGTTGGGGCGGGGGAGCGGGGGGGGGGGGTTGGGGCCATTTGAGAGGAACTCCCCAAAAGAACAGGTAATTAGGGCATCCTCCGTACCCGAATGGTCCTTCTCCGCGACCACGCAAAGGGACTCATCCGCTTCGTTTGTTGACGTCCAACGCTGCACCAGTTTGCTGACCGCTTTATCAGCGGGCGTCTTCGAAGTCGTCAGAAGCCTAGTGCGGTGGGGGCCACTGGGAATTTGGCACTGTGAGGTTTCTGGAGGGCCTTGCCAAGACCTTCTGGTTTCCCTTTCCCTGAAAGCCACTCCAAAAACGGTACCCTCAAAAAGCACACACGCAAACCTGTATGTAGGTTGTTTGTTATAAGGTCAGGTAAGTATGTTCTAATCATAACTGCTCTCTTGGAACACCCTCCCGTCAGCTTCCTTTATTGTTGGAAAGCGGGTGATTCTTCAGACCCACCTGGGGGGGTTCCCGCAGAAGTGGGTCCCGAAACTGGCCATCCTTTGCCAGGCTGTGCCAAAATTCAAAGGGTTGGGTCACAGGAAATTCTACAGGAAAATTGTTTATTTACGGTGTTTTGGGGCCATTTCCTGTAGAACTTCCTGACCAAACCCTAAACATGGGTCTTCACAGAATTGGCTCTCCAAATCGAAGGACCCCATGCTCAGGGAATGCGCTATTTATCCCCCACTATGTGAAAAATCGGGGGGATGGCCGCCCCCGATGTTGCATCATGCCTGGGCCAGTGCCCCGAACTGGGACCCAAGCTCTCCCAAACCAACCGCCTGAGGAACCCTGTCCCAACCGACATGGGTATGGGCCAAGTTTTAACCAGGGGATCGCAGGTTTTAGTCCTTGGTTCCACTTACCAGGGTTCCATGTTGGGTACCCATTTTTGACCCGCAACCGAAATGAAGGTAACAATTCCAAGGTCCAAGGGTGGTTCTGAGTTGTACTGTTACACCCTAAGGTTACACCCCAGAAAAGTCACCTGTTCGCCTGTTCTGGGTTAGTTCAAGACAGGACCTTGCTATTGTTGTCTACCTCGTATCACAGAATATGGGATCAAGTCTCGCCCACATGAGAACAACGTCTCATTCTTAAGAATCACCGGAGAGAAGATTTGCCCATCGTGAGACTTTCCGCTCCCCCCTCCATGGGCTAACATAAAGGGCTATGTAAATGATTATGCATGCATGTACTATCATGCAGTATCATATGATAGTTACTTAGTTGATTGGTTTGAATTACCCCGCAACTCCATTCCAACCATTAAAACCCTCATAGTGCAGATTACGGTGCCGAGATGCTGAAAGGAGTGATCGACGCGCAAGGACTTGTCGGGACCACCAAAGTCCATATACAAATCCAGCACTCCAAGATGATCAGCATTCCTGGAGTGGCCCAAGCTTGGTTGCTATTGACCCCCCTGCAAAAAAAACTTTGGGGGGGTTTAGCGGAAATCGCAACTTGATTTCAACCAAAAAGTTAAAGCCTAAAGATCCGTTGCCCAATAGCAGTCAAGCAACAAACAAAAAGGATCCCACCACCGACACGGCGGTTGCTTCGCTGTTTTTGCCTGAGTGCAGCAAACCCCAATAAAACCAAGAGCTGAAGAAGCTGCTGGACTACGCCGCTGGCCCTGGCCCGAGGACTGCAAGTGAGCCATCATCAAAAACACAAGCGATATTCAACTGGACCCAGAACCATGGCGCTAGGTCCTCCAGTACTTTGAGAGGTTTGAATCAGTTGGTAGCCGATTTTTTCTGTAGTCTATTTTAGTAGGGGAACCCTCCCTCAAAAGAGGGGTTAAAACGGGCACTACTGGGAAACCTAGAAAAACTCGCAGAAGGAGTACGTACTGTGGATGGTTGCAAAATCCATTTCGCACCCAAGACACCATGGGAAACCATTGTTTGTTGGTAGCTACAGGGGATCATATCATTCTAGGGTTTCTTGGGTGGTCGTGCAGGATTTCGTCCATCCACAGTATATAGGGAAGTGGTGCTTGCTCAAACATGAGTGCAACCATACGCAACCAGTCATACCAACGAGCGACCAAGATTCTGTCCGCACTTGGCAATGAGCACCCCTCGGTGAATCAGAAAAAAGGGGTCATGGTCATGACCCCCAAGGATCACGTTGATACCTGGACACCACTCGGCCAAGTGCTTGTCGTTGATCAAGGAGAGATGCCTGAACGGGTTGCAAGAGTCCAACTGGATTTCCAGCCTTCAAACAACACCCCACCAAAAGGGAAACTCAAAATTGTATCTCATCAAATTCCAAGCAAATATTAAGCAAACTCACAGGACAAGACAGGTATTCAACTCATTACCAAGCAAATCCACACCTTGAATTGGCAACTCAATACGGTGAACAGGCCATGGGTTGACATCATAGAATGAACAACGCCAGAGGTTCACGTCATACCGTTAGAAGGTAAGGCGTGCACGTCCTACCGTGAAAAAGGGTCACCGTACACAACATAAATGCAAAATGTCACGGGTTCACAAAAGGTAACGTCAAACCTTAAAAAGGAGGAAACCAGAGGTACCTTTTTTTTGGCTAGGGCGGGGGGGCTTGGGGGGGCGGCTCGAAAGGGAAAGCACAGGAATCACGGCAGTAACCAGTCATGAGGTCCATTGTACACTCAATTAGCAGAACGCCAATCCCCTCGGTATCACCAAGACTTGGTTGTTGTTGACCCCCGTGCAAAAAGTTCAACTTTTTGGGGTTTAGTGGAAAGCCCCATTGATTTCCCAAAAAGTTAAAGTCCAAAGATCCAACCCAATAGCAGTCAAGAAGAGAATCCAGCTATCAATTTCTTGTGGGCCTTGCTTAATTTGCTCCAGATCGAGCCGGATCGTGCCTTGGGTGCCAAAAAGAAGCTGAGCCAAAAGATGATGGTCAAACTCCCCAGCTCGCAGTAGAACAGGGTCCTTGAAAGATACATGGCCATGGTTCAAAACCAATGGTACTATTTTGGTATAGGTGCACCACCCATCTTAGTATATTTTAGTGGGGATTGGGATATTCACTAAGGATACTGGGTTTTGACCCATGGCCACATCCCGAAACACATGCTTCACAAGGGGATCTCAAAAATCAGCTGGTAGGGGCCGGGATGGTAGGAGTCGCCTACTCTGATACCACATAACTTCTGCAAATCTTACAAATTCCAGACCTGAAATAAGGGATCACCAAGCAAAGGACCAAATGACAACATGGTGACATGGTGAGCTCGTTTTACCCCAGAACACCTGTACATCCGATCAGGGCAAAGCCACGTCAAGGCGATGATGAATTCACACCCGTGCTGCTCCCGCAGAATGCTCACCTCACTTGAAGCCGAAAGGAACAAGCTTTACTTCCCGGGTCAATAGGGAACCCAGCAAAACATCCGGTTGGGGGGAATCGCCTTTGGCCCCCTTGCTGGGCCCCATGGTGCCCCATGCAACAAGGAATCCCCACGGATTGTCCATGACGTTGTTGCAACCGAAGCCACGGGATAAACACCTTACGACGCATCGGTTTCCAATAAGTCCGGCTAAAGGCGTGCCATTAATAAAAGAAGAAGAAAAACGGCGGCTGACACAGGATACGTGCTACTCACTGATAGTTGCGGTTGCCACGGCTAATGTAATTCGAAACTGGGGATGCGGAAGTCCGAACATCAAACAAAATGGATATAGCCTAAAAGCAGGCACACCTCACAGAGCAACAAATGCTGCGGCCATTACATGAACCGAAGGGGAAACCTACACAAAACCAAAAGGACAGCCCAAACAGGGTTCCACTTCTTGACCATTTAGGGAACCCCTTGGTTTAAGTCTATCTTGGGGCGGTCAACAAGTGGAACCCTGCGCCCAAAGCCCTGACGCTTCCCTCCAATTGGTGATTGGAGGCGTGAAAGGGGGTGGGAATTTCCATTTACCCTCTACCCACCTGGCAACTGGGCGAAATTTCCAAGCACAGAGGGAAACCAAACCAGGGAGCCCCCTGGCTTAAGTCCTAATGTTGACCCCGGACTAATCAACCTGTCCCATTATTAGGGGGGTCTTCCCTCCAAAAGTGCTCCGAATCCAACCACTAAAAGGGGACACCCGATCAAAATCCACCAGAAATTTATGAATCTGGGGTCAACATTAGTCAAAAAGTGGTTTTGCGACTACAGGCAGAACCCAGGGAGCCCCAAACCCAGCGCTCCGCCCAGTGACGCAGCGCTGGGCGTGGATGTGGGGCTGGTCAAAGGCCACGAACTTCCCAGGCGCTGAGAGCTGGGGAGTTGCGGCGGTGCAGACGCCGAAGACGCCCACCTTCACTTCTTTGGAGCTCACCTAAGGCCAGGCTCATGATTTTGGCCCGTTTCTGGGGGCCATCAAAGTCTTACCCCTTAAAACTCCAAGGATTGGGGAAGTTCATCTTTTACAGGCATATAGCCCATGTTACCCAACAAGTTGAAAAGTTGTGTTTTTAAGAGGTAAGAAGTAGAAATGGGGCTTGTTTCCCTTTAACCCACCACTTAGGGGGTGACTTTTACCATGGTAAACCTCACGTCCAGGACGTCATGGTTTGTTGAACACCTGCTAACATGAAACCTGTCTTGCCAGGGCATCTGGCTCGCCCCTACTCAAAACAAAAACCTATGAAGTGCTAAGAGCCCGGGCTTCCGCGATGTTCCACACCTATTGTGGACTATCCCTTGATAATCTTCATCTGCACGCGCTTTGATTGTGGCTCACAGGGTTGTTAAAAATTGGTTAAACCAATTAGACAGACCTTGGCAACGAATTTGAGGGAACAACTTATAGTTTGTTGACAGAAGAACTGTTGGAACATGTTTAGAATTTGGCGCCGGCCATCAGTCCCTGTTTACTTTTGGGAAGGGATTGAACAACTGGGGCTGGAAGAAGGCTTTCTGCTGGGTGAAACTCACCCAATATGGGCTGTTTGGCAAAAGCAAAAAAAACAGCAAAAAAGGCCGGTTTGGGAGATATGATCATGTTTACTTTGATTTGGTTAAGGCCCCATGAAAAACAGATTTCCAGTAGTGATGAATTCCTTTTAAAACCGACAAGGGAAAATAAAAGCTAGTCTTAAGCAAATGGAGGTTTAAGGGGCCCTGAGCAGGTTTTTGATTGGCCAATTTCCCGCGCCTGGATGGGAAAGAAGTCGTAGTCCATGGTGTTGTGAAAGATGGGCCGGTCCCCGTTGATCAGCTCTCGTACGTTGGAGCCCAGCCAAGGGAACTGAGATTTGCTCATCAGCTCCTGCCGATTTTTTTTTCTGCCAGTCGTGATTGCCCCTGCTGGGATCGGGGGGGGATCCCAGGAGCTTTTGGGGCCCCAGGGTCCAGAAATCCACCGCCAGAACTCACAGCAGGACCATAGGACGAGGGAAGCATTGGCGGCACGAGGTTTTTCCATGAATCCACCGGGCCTCATTTGCCTAAGATGGAGCCCACTACCCGAAACCAAAGCAAGCCCCAGCATAAACTTTGCGGGCACGTCGTGTTTTTGGACCCGCAGTCTGCCAGGGCCCAGAAACCAACCAGAAAAATGGAGGTCTAGCAATTGGTTTTGGAAAAACGGGGTCCGACCCCCCGAAATGCTTCGCTGTTCGGTTGGCCGGCGGGAGAACTTGTATGTTTCTCATAAAGAGGGAAATGGACAACAAGCAGCCAAGATACAACAATCACCCTTCTTTGGTTGGAACACCAAAGGGCCACCGCTGTTTTGGAGGATCCCCCCCCAAAAAAAGACGCCCCCACATTTCGCCTTCCCCCACAAAGCATAGGTTTGGAGGCAGAAGATCCCCTACCGGCATTTTTCCGGGTGTCAGTGGAAAGACACGGGGCTTCGGGTTCAAGGCGCCCAAAAGAGACTTCGCCTTGGTTCTGTCTGCGCCGAAGTCAAACTCATGGTTCCCCAGGACGCAGTAATCCACCTCCACGGCGTTCCTTACGCGCGAAGCTCCCCAACTGGAACAACTGTACAAGTTTTAGATAGTTCCCACTACAACTCAAAGCATTTTCAGGGGGTGCATGGGGCTTACAGCCACTATATGGCCACTCAAGGGTATATGTACCCACCAATTTCCCCCGGGGTATTGGTAGCTTGGGTGTTTGGGGCTCTTGCACCCGGGTGCCATCGAGGGGCTTGAGCCTTACGGTTCTCCAGCCTCCGGGAAGCCTTAAGGGAACCCTCACTGGACCACCCCCCCTTAGGGATTCGATGGGTGAAGGTTGCCAGAATGAGGCTGGTGCTCCCTGCCCGAAAGAAAAAGAAGGAGCAAAGGGAACCTGGAAATCCTCTAATTTCCCTTGATGCGTCTTGAGGGTGCCAAAAATTTGGTGTTCAAGGGAAACCGCAAGGAAACCACTTTCCTTTTTCTTGTGGTGGGGGAGGTCCTTAGAAAGAAGACACCCCCCTTTTTCCGCGCATATACATGCATACGTATGTTAAGTATATTTCTACGGTTTTGCGGTTGTTGTTTTGCCAAATGGGGGTTGTTCAAAATAGAAGTTCCTGGAAACGGCCCTTTCGCCGGCCTTTCGCGGTCCTTTCGCGGCCCCATGTTTGCCTTTCGCGGTGACAAACCAGTCCTGAAAAACTTGTTTCCGAGCCCAAACTAGGGTTCTATCATGTATTCGTTATGTTTCAAGTCCTTTCGCGTTCCTTTCGCGATGCAGTGTTTTCCTTTCGCGCTAGACCTTCAGAACCTCCCTTTACTTAATTTTAAGACTGGCAATTTGGAACGACTCCCAAATGCGAGCAACCACACCTTTGATCGAGGCTCAAGAGGTCGATCACGGACTCGCCCCGATGCACGTTGGCGAACAAAGATCCGCCCAGGAGGTCCCCGGGAAGAACAAACTTCGTGGGCGCGCGGCCTAAGATCTCCCCCTTTTGGTGTGCCGTTTTTCAGGGAACGCCCAAGATCGTGGTTTGCTTCTCGGTGTCCGATGTTTTTTCGTCAGAAGAAACGGCCCCTCAAACATGCACCCATAATATGGATTGAAAGTCTGGGGAGGCCTGAACGGGTGGCCTGTAAAGGCTGCGGGTCTCTCGTTTTAAACATGGTCCCAAAGGAAACTACTTCAAATGAAGCAAAAGGGAAGCATTGTGAACCCACATGCGGGGAAGCCATGCGAGTTTTTTTGTTTGGCATGGAAAACGGCCCAAGAAAAAAATGCTTCCAAAGCTATGCAAGTTTTTCTGTTTGGCATGCAAAAAGACCCTCCAAAAAAGAGAGAGAAACACAGCACGACGCAATTGGTCACGCTGAGCCGCAGTTGCTTTTTTGGCGCTTGCAGAGGCTTCGGAGGACAGCAAACCGCTCGGGCTTGTAAACGTCATTGGCCGTGAGGATTCTCAGCGATGGCTCCGAAGGCTTGGAAAACGCGCCGAGGAATCCGAAGCAATCCGCGCACGGCATGGCGCGAGAGAGATTTGGGAGTTGGATTGTTTGGGATTGCTACCACTTGGTTTTTTTGGCTTTTCTTCTGGGAACCAGCTTGCAAGCTTCAGCTTGAAGCGTGACATTGGCCACTTGACCCAGAACTGGGCAACCCAAAGGTAGAAAGCGGGCGACTGACTCTCAAAGCCCGGGCTTTTGTCTCAAGAGGCACCTGATTTGCAGATGTAGCAAGCTGCAACAAGCTCCCTGCTTTTTTCCATCCGGCTTGTGGTTCTCTGCGTCCTAGCTCTTGCAGTTGGTTCTCCCACGAGAAGCCGATTTCATGTCAGATCAATCTACTCGTGACTTCACCTGCTTGAGCAAGCAATAGACGGGCAACGATTTACGGCTGAACTGTTACTGTACTAGTGCAATCGCGGGGACATGTCACATCATCACTGCTTGAAATAGCCGCGAACATGATAGTTTTCTGCATTGATTCTTCAAGCCACCAACAGTTCTCACGTATATTCACGCAATTATAAACCCTGCCCAAAACCCTGCTGACGACCAGACACAGTGACTCTCAGCATGTTCATCACCACGCCAACAAACTTACACGGCGATTCTAGGATATTCTAGGCGTACACCCCTGCCCGCTTGTTCAGACATCTTTCTCTTCAGGCCACCGCAGGACAGTTTTGGTGTCTGAACAGACGGAGGGGCGAAAAGGGCCTCTCTCCCTCTCTGTAGAAACATGGACCATTTTTTGCTGCCTCAGCCTTTGCCTAGCCAAATAACAACCCTTTCAATGCCTTTTAAAAACGGCCCATTTGTGAAACTGAAGCTAGCCCCCAACCCCCAAAAGGATAGGGCCTAGCCCAGGCTTGCCTCGGATGTCCTGGGGATGGTGGACACGGGTCTGCGCAACCTTTTGGGAATTTCTGTTTTCCAGGGGCTGAACAAAACTCGTGGCTCGTCTGTTCTGGAGTTGGTACCCTTGCTTTTTGTGGGTTTAATGGAAAACAAAAACAAGTTGCGCCATTCTGCGAGGGCGGGGGGGGGGGGGCAAATCCTTTAAACAAACACCCAAACGTCCAGGTCCCTTTCTATCCTATTCGCCAAGTTGCCCGCGCGACTTGCCGCGTTGGCGCCGCAAGTGCTGTATGCGCTGGGGCCGGGTAAGCGAGAAACCAATCGGCTTGGGGATGCTCTCTCGCAAAGGGCTTTTGAAAGGCGATGTTCCCATTTTCAGAAAGCTCCATTCACATGAAATCCGAAATGGATATTCAAGAAAGCCTCATGTTCTTGTTCCCAAGCCAAAGCAATCTGTGAGGCCGCTGTCGCTTGCCCACTTTCCCACGTCACGTAGCCAAAAGGGCAGCGTGCGCACCAAGTTGCGTGTTCTTACGGCTAAGCCCACAGTATGCTGTTCACCCGGGCTCAACTAAGCGCCCAAGACAATATCCTGGTAGACTCGCTCTCTTGAGCAACATGCCTTCCATGCCCCGAGCTTGGGCCAATCGAGGTACCAGACATGCAACTTGCAGGGCAGTTTAGCTCGAGCTAAAGACATGGATGTCCTTTTTGAGCATCAATCGTCCCAAATGGCCTCTGAAAGCAACGAATAGTCAGGGTCATTGCTATGGCTCAGGTAAATTCAAGTTTTTTTGAAGCGGACACCCCAAAATGGTGTTCTTTTTTTAGTTGAACTGCTGCAAATCAGTATATGATGCATTTGCGGTCATCACCTCACTTCAGCTCTCAATTCTGAGTTCGCCGATTGACAGTCACTCCCCTGCAAATAGCGGGGAGGCAAACAACAAGGGGAGCGTTTCCTAAAGCCCAAGTTACTTAGACTGGCAGTGGGGCATAAGCGCATTCCGCACAGAACCTCCTTTTCTGTTTGTTTGTTTCTTTTTTTTGGGAGGGGTCGCCAGTCCAAACTGCGAGCCTGCCCTTGGAGGTGCAACCCACTTAGTAAATCGGACTTAAGCATGTTGGTTCCCTGGCAACGATGGCTGCGCTGTCCATTTTCTGATCCCCGGCTACAAGTGAATAACTTTTAGTGGCTAAAATGGAAATCCCCACTAAAGGCTAAGAAGCTAAAAGCCTAAGGGGCTGGGAAGCACCAAGACGGTGATAACCCACACGCCGGATGTGGGACACCCACGTGGCAAAACGAGCACGCATTTTTCCCCCACACTCCCGACTTCCGCGGCTTGCAGGGGTTACCCTTTGACCCGTTTGTCAGGGGAACCAAACCTGAACCCTGAAGGGACCTTCCACAACAAATAGGTGCCTGCATTTCCACGAGGTCACAAGGTAACCCATGTCTCGCAAATGCACACTTCGCACTTGAAATGCCTTCGCACCGGGCGCAGCTCCGTTTTTGGATGACATTCAGACCGAAACCCAGGGGCAGTTGATTTCTCCAAGGGAGCTCCCTGGACTCTTTGGCTTAATGTTGACCCAGGATTAATATACCCGTCCCAGTATTAGTGGGGTGGTCCCTCCACTTAAAGTGGTCTGAATCCCCACTAAAAGGTGACACCCTCGCATTAATCAGCCAGGGGTTTATTCATCCGGGGCTGACATTAAGCTTTTCCTTGGGGATCATCAAACAATTTGAGTCCTGACTCTCAGGAGCTTATGACTGCCTTTGTCCAGCCCGTGCGCATGTGGCTCACGCTCATGACCACGTGCTTGCAGTGCAACCCTCAGTTGTTCAGTGACCCTGGAAAAAAGGGAACCCTTTTTGGGGAAGACCATTTTTAGTGGGGCGAACCTAGCCTATTCTGCTGTGAGGACTGCCGAATGAACCCAGCATGAGTTTACAAGCAAATACTCTCCCTCCCACTAACATAATACAACCACAAGACGATCCCCGTATGTAAGAGACAAAGCTTCTGCCAAAGACCTTCAGCAAAGTTCCACGGGAGCGTACGTAACGCACATCCCTTCGTGAATTGCTCTATTGGCAATAGCCTGCAAGCCTGCAGTGAAACCAGCCTGGTTTCACACCCCGCTCTGTCACAATATGTGTTTGTTGCCCGAATGGAGGATGATCATTTGTCAGGATGAAATGTGCTTCACCAAAGTTATATAGATGGGGGCTAACCGGAGGTCACGAACGGCTTAGCTACTGTGGATGGACAAAATCCTGCACCGCTTTGAAACCATAAAACACCATGGTTTGTTGGTATGTACAAGGGGGATCGAATCATTCCAGCATTCTTAGGTGGTGCCTAAGAGGATTGCGTCCATCCGAGTCTGCAAGCTTGGGTGTTGACACGGCTGGCCGACTCGTCACTGCGATGACCAAATCGACCAGCAGTTGCCTCACGCACCGCGACGGTGGCTCGCTCGCGACTTGGTTGCCTTTGACCCCCCTGCAAAAAGTTTAACTTGTTGGGCTTTAATGGAAAATACCTTTATTTCTCAAAAAGTTAAAGTCTAAAGATCCAACCCAATAGCAGTCAAGGCGAGTGGCTTGACAGGACGGGAATTGATCCCCCCGCTTTCCTCAAGGCAGGCACTCCCGATCTCCAAACCGAGGCGTTGTCACTGACCGCTGGGCTTAAACCTGAAATGATAATGATAATGATAAAGATGACACTGCACATAGACACGAGAAAACCATCAGCCAAAAGTACCGATGCAAACAAAGCGCATCAAAACAACAACACAGAACACAGCAGAACAGAAAACAATGATGACTAAACCCAACGGCACAGATGTGGCAAAACAAATAAACCAACATACAGTAACAGTGCAAGAACACAGAACAAAACACAAAGCAGGCACTCAATCACGCAAGCAGGCCAACAAGCAAAGGCTGCTTCATATATGCTCTGGCAGTTTCATCGCAATCCAGCAGTAAATCGTGAAGGGCAAGTCCATTGATTTGTTTGGTGTTTCCCATCGAGTACCCTGGTGGGAGATGTGATTGAAAATCAAGAAGCCAAACGAGAAACCAAACACCAAACCTAAACACACAACCCGAAGGAAATCATCTGGCCCAACTGCACATCATGAGTGCCCCCGCCCAGGCATAACACATGATGCTATACTTACACTTGGTTGGATTTTTTCTGGCATATCCCCCATGTTGCTCACCCCCCCCCACCCCCCCCCCCGCGCTCTTCACTTAGCAGTGGAATGGCCACCGCCACCTCCGTCTTTCACCCCGTTCTCGTCACTTCGCCAAGGCGCTGCAGTAGAAGAAGCCCGAGAACTCGCCGGTGCCACTGCGACCTGAACAAACATTTACTCGAGTCGATTGGGCGAATTGGCAACCAGGGCCGAACATGGGATTGCTGGCCCATGTTGGTCTGCCCATTGTATGGGATGTCCTCTACTTGGTTGCTGCAACGATTTAACAAAAAAAATAACTTGTTGAAGGGTTTTGTGGAAAACCGTTTTTTTTTCCCCAACAAGCTAAAGTCTGAAGATCCGTTGCCCAATAGCAGTCAAGTAAAATGGGAGTTCCTCTGTACCCTGGGGTGCAACCCATCAAAACAAGTTTTTATTTGTTTGTTTTCTCGGAAACCACCAGTAGAAAGCTAAATAAGCATGTCCATCCAAATTGGGTCAACCATTCTTTGAATGGGGGTTGAACCCTAGGGTACATGCTCTCCAAAACATGGGCCGTCCCCCTTTTTACGTAAAGCCCAACTCAGGGAGTGCCATGTCCGGGCGAGAACCGCTCCGACCGCTCCGTTTTGAACGGAGAAAAGGCCGCGATCTCTCGTAGACCAGCGGATTTCGGGACACCGGCGCCGCATGTTGAAGCGTTGCTTTGCCCCGTCCAATTGGGAGAGTCTTTTATTATTATTCTGTGTGTTTTTTTTGTTTTGTGTTTTCTTATTTTTTTTGGGGGGGCTTCTTCTTGTGGTTGGTATGTTTCTTCTTCTTTCTTTCTTTCTTTCTTTCTTTCTTTCTTTTTTTTGGGGGGGGGAACCTTCTTGTGGTTGGTCTCAAATGGACTCCAAAAGGAAACCAGCCTTCTCAGCAGCCCCTTTGAAGGACCCAGAACCGGCAAATGATCAACTTTTGGGACCACAAAACAAATATGTCCCAACATAGGGAACCAAAAGGTCATTTTAGGTTGATTCGCTTTGGGCAAGTGAGAATCTGCGCAAGTCAGCGCAAAAAAAAACCATACCGTTTCTCTCTAGGGGACACTTCCCCATTCTTTCCAGGGATCCGAATCCTTCCAGAAAACCATCAGAACCCCCCCCCCCCCCAAAAAAAAAGCTGGTTTTTGAAAAGAACCATGGTTGAAACGAATGGAAACAGGAATGAACCCATAGAGCGGTTGTCAAAATAGGGTAACCCCAAAATGGGCTCCACTGGCAAATGGGCCCCTAAAACCCCTAGAGTTTCAGGGTTTGCGAAACCTCAGTTGCCCAAAGGACCTGCAAATAAATGTTAACCTCTTGGGGCCATGACTAAAAATGGATCAAAATGGGAAAAGCAAAAGGTCAAAAGGTCGGCTTTGGACAAGTGAGAAACGGCTTTGGCGCCTTCACCACATCTACAAAAGCGAGTCAACCTTGGAGGTGTCTGAATCCCATAAGTCAAAAGTCCCAGCCCTCAGCGAACCACCGCTTTGTTTTCCTTGACAACACAAAAAATACCCAAACAAGGCGACCCTCAAAAAAGGCACACCCATATTCATTCACCCCCCCTTTTTCCCTTCCCGTATTCCACACTTGCCGGCCCCACACTTGCCGCCGTCGGTTTACCGCTCCTTTCGGATTCCCGGGAAATTGCCAACGAAGGGGATCCAGGCGCCCAAATCACCAAAGGGGCATTCTACCATTTGATGGCCCTCATGTGCAGGCTTATGGTTTTGGTAACCTGAGTGTTTGAGGCTCGGTACCCTTCTTGGGGATGGTTTCAATGGAAACCAAACGTACCCTCATCATTTTGGAGTCAGCCCCCCATGTAGCAACCAACGCAGCAGTTCGTTAACCGCGCGCCTTGGCCGGCCCGAATGGCGGCGCCACACTCGGCGCAGGCCACGTCCACGCAGTTGGGCGAGCGCTTGCTCACAGCCTCGGTGGATTTCGCGTGCAAATCCAGATGGAAACCCGACCCAAACCGCCAGTTGAGTCATTGGGGGCGCCCTTGTTTAAGTGTATACATAGTGTACATATATATATATATACATATATATATATATACATATGTTTATATATACACGTAATGTATATATTATATATATTTACAAAGGGAACATTGAAAAACAAGGGGAACAGGGGCAACCGCAGAAACCAGCCCTCCAGAACCCAAAGTAATGGCTGGCTGGCGATGTCAAAGGTCTTTTCGGTCGAGCTGAAGGCCCTGAAGGCTTAGGAAGGGGAACTCGAAACTGATCAGCCACCGCCGAAACTCCAAGATATCCCTACCTTAAGGCTTAAGCCGCAAATGGGCTTCCCCATAAACGAGAACATGGGTTGCCGATGGGGATTTTTCACGGGTCAGGATAACGGCCCATAGCGACCTGTTCCTGCCAGTCGGCCAGCCTCATGTAATGCGACAGTCATGGTCCCCTCCTTTGACGTTGGAAGGGGAGCAAAAATTCAAAGTTTAGCAGTTGAGTGGCTGGATTTCAACCATGAAACCGCCATAAGCAAAAATGGAAAATGTTTCCCAACAACAACCATGAATCCGGGTCACGAAGGCCGTAGGGTCTATTTTAGTAGGGGAACCCTCCCCAAAAAAGTTGGTACAAGGGCACTACTGGGGGACCTAGGTAATGTGACAGCCATGGTCCATGAGCTCCCCCGGCTCCCCCCCCCTTGAAGCGCTCGAGTGGCCATGTAGGGTCTGTCTTGGCTACTGGAGGCCAAGGCGTCATGGCGAAGCTCCTGGAACCGCCGCCGCCGGCCCAGCAAAAACGGAGGGGCCATAACTTCGCAACCCCTGCTATGGTAGCAAAAAAACAAATACGACCGCCGACTCCCTACTACAAATGAACAGAACCAAACATTTGCTTTAAAACACAAATGATCCAAGAGCAGTGAAGATGAGATTTGGGCTTCGCGACTTGAGCAAATGGATTGGCCCAAAAGCAGTACCCAACCTGACTGTTTACCATTAAAACTGTCTTCTCACAAAGTCTTAAGTCCAGGAACTGGAGCGGGAACTCAGTCAGCCTCAAAGAACAGACTCTGCGCAAGACACGAAAAAACGGAATCAACCACGGCACCAAGCAAACTGGAAGCACAGTTTCGGCTGCCAGGGCCCAAAGGTGCCCCAGTTTCTTTAAATACATGTGGGTCTGTCTCTTCTTGTCGATACTTGCTATTCATTCGGTTGGTGTTGAAGGGGAATCAAATTTGGGAACACCACCATTTTTTGGGGGGGTTCACCTATTCTGCTTCCGAATCGAATCAAACGAGAGATCGAATTCGTCCTGACCAATACCGGGGATGAACGCTCTGACCTAAGATCAGCTCAGTTCGCGCATGCCACCTTTTGCCAAGACTCCGGGCGCATGCGACGGCAAGAGAATGTTCAAGTACTGAAAAGTGCCCCAAAAAATGGAAACAAAGGGGGCTGTGAGGTACTGTATTTAACCAAGTTGTAGTCATGATTGTGGGGAGTATAGCGGTGATGATTGCTCCTTGTAATGCCAACAAGCCAAACCTGATACCTAAAAGGGACTCCCCGGAAGACAACCGTCCCACTTCAGGCTGAATGTTGGTTGCTGGCAGGGTCCTCCCCAGGTTCTCACCAAGTCCGAGCTGCAAGCAGTGACCCCCAGCATTAGACAACTGCCATGTTGGATCCTTCCAAAATGGTAACTCATCTTGGTCAATATTCAACCCAAAACGGATTTAATTCGTTTCTAACATCATCTTAGTCAAGTGAAGATGTAAGATGGAACCAAACTCCAGGTACTGGCGGACATTCCCAAACGTCAGAAAAACATGTCTTTGGGCCAAGTAAAATCTGCAGCGGAGTGCTATTTCACCTGCGCCACAGTCAACATTGATCACTTTTCCTCTGCAGGACGTGGTCCCCCATGTCCCTCTCAATTGAGCACGACCCCGGATTCGGATTCCTTGACCGCCTACTGTGGATGGACGAAATCCTGCACCACCTAAGAAACACCAGCTTTGATGTTTCCTTTGAATACCAACAAAGAATGTTTCCCATGGTTTCTCAGGTGGTGCGAAATGGATTTTGTCCGTCCACAGTATCAAGCACCCCGCTCCGGAGAAAAAAACAAAAAGCACAAAAAACCTCCGAACCTGACCGCGTCAAGTTGCATCTTGCCATCCAGGCCAGCCAGGCATCATGGAAGCCATGGATGCCACGTCCCCTACGGCAGGTGAGAAGTGAGGTTCAAACTACTTGGAATGTCTGTGTCTGTGTCTGTCTAGGTCCTCCAGTAGAGAGGTTAGAATAAGGGTACCCTTTTTCCTGTAGTCCATTTTAATAGGGGAACCCTCCCCCAAACAAGGGTAAAAGGGCTCTACTGGGGGACCTAGCTGTGTTCTTTTAGGGCATGCCTTTATTTAGGCGCTTTTCAAGGGAAACCAGGCGCGACGATTTTGTTGGGGTCCCCCTTGCTTTTGACAAGTCTCACAGCTCACTGCTCGTCCCTGCCACTGCCCATCGCAATGGCACAGTCCATCACGGTCCAAATGCATCTGGTCGTCCAGCTGCAGTCATGGGGATGGTTGCAAAATCCATTTCGCGCCACCGAAGAAACCCTGGAATGATCATCGCTCTGGCTTCAACCATGGTTTCTTAGGGGGTGCGAAATGGATTTTGCCTATCCACAGTATGGGCGTGTCTTAGGGCACCACTCTTTTGGTTGTATTGAAAGGGAAACCAAAACGAAAACCCAAAAAGAGTAAAGAGAAGGGTAGGGGATGACGGGCTCGCTGGCGCGAACCCCTCATCCCTCCATGCACAAAAAAGAAGTTACAATATAATTCGTCTCACCCGACAAAATCAAACAAGACTTGCACCCACAGGAGATCTCAGGAGAAAACACAGCAAACCGAACAGAACCTTCCCACCCAACTTGTCGCAGTGGATTCAGTTTCCCTCATTTGGTGGGTTGGATTGCTGGTTTAGAGGTTAGGGGGGTAGCTTCCCATTTACCCTCCTGAGTGGATTCCCGGAAAGCCGAACCAAAAGAAACAGGGGTCACTACATGTCCACCTCAAAAGTTGCAATTTACAGATGGGTTCCAGTGAAAGGATTGCCTCTTTTGGAGGTCCAAAAAGGGGAATTGGCGCGGAACCCTCGACAAGAAGTTAGGGGTTCAAATCCTAAGGCCCCCAGGTTGAAGTCTACCTGTAGTTAAACAACAAAACCCTGTCCCGCAGAAGCCGAGTCCGAACAACAACGGGGGCGCCTTCAGCGGGCATACGGGTGGCCATGGGGTCCGCAATCCGAGGTGGCATGCTATTGAAGTGCTGCTGCTGCAGAAACATCAGCTGCGCCGCGCGCGACCTCATTTTGTGGCCCAGGGGCTCGCTTCCGAGATGTCAGGCCAAACGGATCCGAGGCAACAAGCGGTCAACACTTGGTAAAAGGCTAAACGGTCAGTTGAGGCACTTTCAGCTGTTACTAGGCTGACTGGGGCTGAGTCCCTGATGACGATAGTGCGACCCACTTACCTGACATGGGGTGCCCAAATTTCACAAAGGGTTCCCTGATGTTCCCTGTTGAACATCAGCAGAGCCTCAAACCTATTGACTTTTGGTGCTTTGCGATTATTCTACTTTGGGGTCTGAAAGGAAACCACCAGTTTTTCGGGGTCGTTCCCTTTCTCAGGGACCCTGCCTATCGAAACAGCAAGCACTTGAATCCTGCCCGAAAAGCGACCAAAACCCACGGCCAGGCGCGGCCAACAGCGACATGGAATCCCACCGGGAGTGACGCGAAAGGAAAAATCGAAGACATGGAGTTCCAGGGTTCATGCCCCCCCCAATCCTGCGTTTAAGCGGGTGAGAGAGAAACTCACCGCATCCTCCGCCCGCCGCCGCCGAAACGACGGGGACTGGACAACGGCGACCGTTTAAGCGGGTGGACCAGCATGAAGTGGGGATTAAGATTTAGACAATGGTCGGGGCGTGGAAAAACGGTTGAGCTCTGGCTGTAACCCTTGAAGGCAACAACACATCAATGTGGGTTCCTGTTGGTGTTTAGCAGCATGTGAAAAAGAAAGATGAAAAGGGAGGCTGGAAACGACAGTCTCAAACGCCGGGCCCATGTATGGTCAACTGGCTTGTAATTTATCGGAGCTTGGCGTGATAGGATAGAATAAAGTGGGCTAAAGTCGGGGCATAGACATAAAGCCAGACAACAACACCTGAGGCTTATAAGTGTCCCAGCGGGCTTGGACATAAAATTGAATGGCCGGTGCTCAATAGGAGCTTCCTGAATGCTCGCAATAAAGGGATTTGGGTGTGTTTTAAAATGGAGGACTCCAAACATGGCTTCGGTTTAACACCACAACCAAGCAAACAAACACAACCATCCGTAACCCTAAAAGCAACCATCAACCAACCGACCAACCAACTAACCGACCGACCGACCAACCGACCAACCGGAGGATGCCACTGTGCCACTGAACAACTTGGGCGGAATCCTCAGGGCACCCCAAAACCAAAAACCTTGAGGTCTCTGGTTCGAGAAGCCGAAAGCGTCCTGTACTCAAATAGCTGCAATCGCGCACGCGCCCGTCCTTTGGGAACAGAACCAAACTGAAAGAGTGAACTCCGTCAACTTTCACCCAACAATGGCGCAAAATGGAGATCTAAGCCACTTCCAGCACCCCCAAATCACTGCCACTGCTTGTTGGACAGTACTTGTGGTGTTTTTGTTTTTGTTTGGAACATGGGAACAACAAAGTCGTGTGGGGGTTGCTGGTTAGCAGGTTCCATCACCACAACGTTGCAACAGAGACCCCTGATGGCCGCCGAGGATCTGCCGCGGGTCTGCCAACCTCGACTCGTTCAACGAAACCCGCAATGTCGTGGCGTCTGTCAAAGGATATTTGTGGGTGTGTCTTAAAATTGAGGGACCCCCCCCCGGCAGAAAAAAAAGGACAAAGTGTTAAAGAAGAACCTCCGCCAAAAAAGAAGAAGAGAACATATGTGTTGTTTTTGCTTGTATATATATATAGTTTCATTTAAAACCAGACCCAAAAACTGCGGGCCAGTCGACACATCACCGGAAATACTAGCTGATTTAAAAGATCCTCCGAAGCAGGCAGCCGGTGGCTATTGGATGTATCCTTTCGGGAGCCCTGAAATGGAAAACCGAATGTTGACCCAATATTTAATCAACCCGTCCCATTCTTGGGGGGTTCCCTCCAAAAGTGGTCTGACTCCAACCACAAAAAGCAAAAAAACACCCCCTATTGATCAAACTCAACCAGGAGTCCTGCTCAATCCGGGGTTAACATTAAGCCTAAGCTATTCGCAACATTTCTTCCCCTTACCGTTCGGGCTATGCCAAGGGGATGTTCCACCCTTGCCCCCCCAAAACTCCGGTCTTGTTCCGGAGGTCTAAACATCGCATTCTGTTTTGCCAACCGTCGTTGAGTTTTTCTGCGCAGAGTAACAGAAAGGAACCCGAAGCACCGAATTCCGTTAATTTGGAGGGGAAAGGGGGGGCATGAAGCCCCCATTGAGCGCCGCCCGTTTCTCTCATTGACTGATGGATATGGCTTAGGCCTTATGGAGTTCCCAGTTGGGCACCCCCAAAAACTGGTTTTTGCTTTTTGGGTTCAAGTTTGGTAAAGGTAGATGGCAGAATTCCCCTGAGTTCAGTCTGTGAATTTCAATGGGTCCTGGGCCCTTTGCCAGTTGGCGAACCATTCAAGGGGCATGTGTCAAAAGAGGGGACTAAAAGCCTGTTGTGTCCTTTTGGCTCCCCTTAAAACCAACCTAAAAAGGGCACCCTCAACAAGCACCACCCATATGGCAAGCAGGTTTTGGGAACTTGATCTCCTTTCCCCAGGTCCGTGTCTGTCTCGAGGGGCTGGTGCTGGGCGTCGAAGAACATCTCGGGGCTCCTGAGAGGAAATCCGAGCGCACCACGTTTCTTCAGAAACCCGAGAGTGGCTGAGCTACTGACATTGTTTTGTTATTGTTTTAAGGTTGCCCTTCTCGTCAGGGAAGCATTCGAAAAGCACAAAACACACAACAACAACAAAAAACAACAACGCGTGGTGTTGGGTCTAAGCCTGCCAAACCGCCCAACCTATCGGGACATTCCCCGATCGAGAAATCCGCATGCCCCAAGCCTATGGACTCATGGACCCCGCGCACACCTAGTTGGATTCTGGCCGTGTGCCGGGCTTCCGCTTTCAGATCCGCTAGAAATTGATCAGTGGGTTGAACAGGGCTCCCTATATTTCCCCTTGGAACATCACCCAAGGGAGGCTCACCTTTCATGGCCAGAAAGGCGATCTTTAAAACCACCAAAAAGGGAAATATAGGAATCGACCCCTGTTGAATGGAAACCCGAGCACTAAACTCCAACTAAACGCATCTGAAACTTCAGGCAGGGGATCGAAGGACTTCTTTTCAGGCATCGTTCTCTGCAGAAAACACATTCTCCCAGGGCTTGGGCCAAGTTCTTGAAGTGAGGCATCCTTGCCTTGAAAAGAAGGTACAGCCAAACGAATGGGGGTTGAATGGGCCTCCAAGCAACTCCCCTGCAGATTCACATGTACCCCGAGAAACCCCAAACATAAAAACACCATTCTGAGCAGAACGTCCTTTTGGGGCACACAACCCCTGAAACAAACGATGTCTCTTTCGCACCATTTCCAGAAAAGTAGCACCCACCAAGCCGCCAAGCCAACGCCTCTGAGAGCTTCTTGCCGAGGCGCATGAAGCAGCCCCAAGCCAAACGGCTGCCGCCCAGCTCCGCGCAGGGAGCGAGCCACAGACTCAGCGCCTGACGCTCGCGCGCGGTAGGCGAAGGTCTCAGAAATCCGTGGGCACGCTGCTCATTTTGGCACTTGACTCACTTCGCGGATGGGCGAAAGGTACCCAAACTTTGTGTTTACCGAAATGGGTCAAACCCAAGTGACATATTCTCCAGCTCAGGAAGTGAGGTTCAACTGGAAACCAAAAGACAAACCAAACATCTTGGGGCCTGTTTTTAGAGTCTGGCTTTGCCACCTTGACGCGGATTTAAAAGAGACCAAGGCGGGGTTGGAGCTGGAATCCTAACGAGTCATGAGTAATGTTCACCCCGGATCAATCAACCTGGCGGACAGAGGTGTCAACTCCCTCACCCACAAGCGAAGAACCATGTAAATGTACAATGAAGCTTAACTCGGAGATGCAAAAAAACAAAACGGCCTACCTGCAGCTTCCCCTGTTCGCCATGCTATGCAGAGAATGAGGAGTGTGCCTCTTGATATGGCAAACTTACGTTTTTCTCCCAAAAAACATCGGGAAACTGGGTTGTCCCCACGTCTTTTGGAGGGACATTTGGGTTGTACCCCCACGTCCTCCCAAAGCCAAAAAAAACAAGTCAGTTGTCCGCCCCTTATGATACTAACATGCAACCCCCATGTCCTCCCCCATGCCCTCCGCATCACAAAAGACTCACCCGGCTGACATGACATTCTCAAAAGTATCCCCTTAGGTAGTTGTTTAAAGGGAATCCCCCTGCCAAAAAAGAGAGAACAAAAAACGCTTTGAGGACTCGTGCAATGCAACCACTTTTGGTAGACCCAGTATGACAGCCGACTTTGATGGCGTGTCTTCGATCTCATTTAAAACAATCACCCTATGGGCATTGAAAAGGGTACTCTCAACAAAACGCGCGCCCATTTTGAGACCCACCCAGTATGACACATTTTGTGTCAAAGGGAACCCAAAGACAAGCACCCATTTTGCTTGTGGTGTGTTCTTGTTCTTGAGCATTCCCTGTTCAAAGGAACGTCAAAAGGAAACATACACTCATCCAGAAAGGCCAGCTCGCGAATTCAGCCACCAAATCGCCTGGTGAAATGAACCACTCCTGGGTTTTAAGTCCACCTGGGTGTTCAACTTGGGGTGTTCAAGGTAAGCAAGTAGCTTACAACCATGTTTCCAAGGTGACCAATTAACCCCAACCCCACTTATAACTTATAACCATGGTTATCATCTGCTGAGTAACTTGAGCATCCAAGGAAAAATGGATCCCTGGACTAATAAACCTTCGAATTCCGAGGCCTGCGTCGGTTTAAAAGGGAAACCGAAAGGAACACTGTTATTTTGGGGGTCTGCTAAACGGACAGACCCAAAATGGAACTCTGGACCAACTACCATCCTTGCAAATCTCCTGCTCTTTGTGCCGCCAAATTTGGATAGCCCCAACTCCGGCTCCCTTCCACCCACCAGGGCCAATCGAAGGCCTGCAATCCCCTGTCTTAAGGGAGAGGGGGGCCCAATTCCATTCTTCTGGTCTTCTGCATAGGGAACATGGGCTGCCACAAATGGAGATCTCCAGGGCTCGAACCCCCCAAACCACATTTTTCGAGGCGGCTGGGATCTGTTTCATATTTGTACTACCCTGACACATGAGTCGCCCCATGTCCAATCCCCCCCCAAAAAAAGAAACAAAAAACATCAGGTAGTGGGGTCTGCTTCATATTATGTGTTGAGTTCCTGTCGAGACCCAAGGTGTTCCTTTCCGTTGCTAGGTCCTCCAGTGCGGTTAGAATAAGGGTACCCTTTTGTTCCGTCGTCAATTTTAGAACCGAATCTCCCAACCAAAAAAAGAACGGTGAGACAGGGCAATTGGCTGCGGGATCTAGACAACCGTGCTAAGAATCATGGTATGTTTAACTACCCCCAAGCTGACTTCCCCCCCTCCTGGAATTAGGGATAACCCCTTATTTAAGGCCTTACTAGGGTCTTACTAAGCCCTGATTTTTATGTTAGTAGGGATTTAGACAACCATGCTAAGAAACCAACATGGGCGCCTTTCGGTTGGGACCAAGCCTCATCCACCCAAGTTTCGATTATGTGATTCAGGGCTTGTGGTAGCACCAAGCTGGGGGACCTAGGTAAAGCCCTGGAATTCAAACCACCATTAAACCAATGGGGGTTCATATAACCACCATTGTTTACCTAAGGATTGTCATCATTCAAATTGGGTCAACCGTTCTTTTAATGGGGGTTGAACCCTAGGGATTAGGTTGGACCTGTGAAATGTTAAACTTGTTTCTTGGGACTAGTCATATTATGTGTTGAGTGTTTGTGGAGACCCCAGGAAGGTGTTCCTTTCCATTAAGGGGGGGCCTAGTGTACCTTCCCATTATCCCCATGGGCCTTCAGCAGGCTCTGGAAAATAGAGCCATGGCTGAAACTCAGAAAGGAACCCTCACCAAAAAAGTGGGCCCTAAGGGCACTATGTTGACCCTGTTTTTTAAATTGGGGGTGTCCCTGGTAGTGGGGTCAACATGGGTCAACATTCTCATTCAGGCGGTGTGGATGGCCTGCAGGTTCTCGGCCAAGTGGAGGTCGATGGGCAGGTGCAGCAGCGCCTGGCCTGAGGCCAGGTGCTGCAGCAGGTCGAAGACGTCCAGGCACCCCACGAAGCCCGAGAGCGCCACGTAGCAGGTCAGCTCCTCGTTTTGTTTTCTTTTTCTTTTCTTTTTTTTTTTTTTTGGGGGGGGGGGTTAAGAGAAGAAGTCTGTATCAAATGGTCTGAGGATTTCATTGGACTTGACGAGAGCTTCTAAAACTGCTCCTGGTCAACGCGTCCTGAAAATGGCTTTTGGGACATAGTGTGGTCAGCTCCTCGTTGGTTTTTCGAAGAGGCAGGGACAGAACAAGCAAGAGGATGTCACGCATGGCCAACCATGCCGACAAGGTACAGCTTAACCCCCCGCAAGAGTCAAGCCCATGTCCAGGTATTCATCGCTTTTCAGCCAAAACGAAACTGGCCCAAAATGGCTGAGAATGATGAGACGCCGGCAGAAGCCACATCACGCCACTGCAGGTTTCAAAGGGCAAACACAGTGCCAGAAAGCCTATGAGTCTAAACTCGACATAGAAAGGCCATGTCTGAACGATTCTGAAAGCAGCAAACATGTGGAACAAAGGGTTCCCTATATGTCCAGGGTGGTTTGAACCATAACCTGTTGAGGCAAGTTTTTAATGGGGCGTCCGGGAGTTTCTCTTGGCGGGGATATTGCGGGGATTCTTGCATTATACACCTGAACATTGCAACTTGCAAATGGTGTTTTCGATTAAGCCTGTATTTTGGTGCTGAAAAAGCAACATGTTTCAAATGGTTGCAAAATGTAAATATTTTAAGGAGCCCGGCAAAGTGCCACGCCCGGCATTTTTTTCGAGCGGCGGAGACTTGGAGGGAGCAGCGCGCGTTGTTGCCCACCACGAAGATGATGAGGCCTGAGGGTTTCTCAGGCACTTCACCCGACATGGATCACTCCCTGTTTATTCGGGGGTGTTTAACTGGATCCTGATATTCACTAGGTCCCCCAGTTGGTACCCATTGTTTTTTTTCTTCTTTTTCTGTAGTCTATTTGAACCCTCCCCGAACAAAGTTGGTAAAAGGGCACCTAGCTGGGGGACCTAGTTAATCACGCCCTGTTTCTTCGGGGGTGTCCAACTGGGTTTAGGAATCAGACCACTTTGAGAGGGGCCCACACCTCCCTGTAAACTGATTAGTACGGGGCCAACATTACATCCTCAAAATCAGTTCTGCTTTGAGAGACTGTGATCAATAATGCAGCTTCTTTCAGCAAATCTGTGATGTCTGCCTGCCAAAGTGCGAAGCAGGTCCGAAGAGCAGAGTGGCCAGCAGGCGCTCTACGTTAAAGTAGTCGTCCCAGGGATCAAAAGCACGGTAAACAAGCAAATTGGAGGTAAATACTGCACTTCAAGGCATAAGTGTCGTGGTTCTTTTAGGCTTGGGGGTCTAGGCTTGGGGGTTTGCTTCATAGCTACCCTCCCTCCAACAAAGGAGCTGTGACAAGGCACTTGGTCCAAGAACATATTCCGCTCGAAGCGAGCCCGGTCAGCATGCGAGTGGGTGGACAGCTATATATATATATATCCAAGCAAAACTTCATCAAATCGCATTTACATTAACATGTGCCTGAACGCTGATGCTTAAACCCCCAGGATGCACAAGAACCATGGGACTTGGTTGCTGCAACGACCCCTCTGCAAAAAGTGAACCACTGTTTGTGGGTGCAAAAGAAGCACACTAGATGTCAACGAAAAAGCTTTATTAAAGTCCAAAGCCCCGTTACCCAATAGCATTTCAAGGCCAAGCCTGCCAGCGTCGACCAAGCCACCCCCCAACTGCGCGCGTGCCTACGCCACCAGCTCCAAAGTGGCCGGTGAGGATACCTCACATCCGGGGAACGCCATGAATCGAGGTCTGACAAAAGGTACCCAACCATCACCCAGAGGATTCAGCCAGACGGGGTAACTAATCATAAACCTGCTCCTATGGTCATGACTTGCGGTATATAGTTATAAACCTGTTCCTATGGTCATGACTTGCGGTGGTTTCAAGTACCACCCAACCCGTATTGAAATTATGTAGGCGACGTTGTGCTGACTGGTGCTTGGACAACTCCGATGTGCTTTGCTTACGCGGCAACTGGCAACGTGCCCGCGCCTGTCCTCCAAAACCCTGGAAAGTGACACTTACTCTCTCGCTTCCTGAGTGAGTTGGCCAAATCAGTACCAAAACTTGTTGCTTGCCACTAAATTGGTCCAAACCCAAAACGCCATGAAAGTCCCGGAACTTAGGAAGTGAGACCCCCAAAGACGTCGTCCCAGTTTTGGAGACAGGCTCTTCCCCCAGGAAGGGGTGGGTTTGAAGACAATCCAAATCCAAGCCAGCCAAACCAATCGAGGGGAACCTGACCATGTCAGCCAGAGTTTAAAAAAGGACACCTCCCACAACCTATCTTTAAGGGCCCAACGTACTTTTCCCACAGGCTCCCCTGATATCCCTGAAATTGAACTTATGCCCACATTGTGTTTTCGGGTTGCCGTTGATTCTTTTTTGCGGCAATCGGCCCGTTCCGGGAACATGGCAAGGGGCCTGGGGGAGCAACTTTGGGTGTGGACGTCCAGGCAAGGCCCTTACATCTGGATGAATCATATAGAAAATGGACCTCAAGGAACCTTGTAGACTCCCATCCCTGCATTCTGTTGTTCAAGATGAGGACAAATATCCCGAGATGTCCCAATCCATAACCCGTAGTGGGGCATGAATACAAAAAAAGGAAAGCCAGTGCCATCTGTCATAAGAATAAGGATCGAGTCTAAACAACCCAGCCACATACACTACTCCGCGGTTTGCTCTTTCCTTGCCAAAAAGTCAAACCTTAAAAATGCGATATGTGATAAACCCCTCAAAACGCCAAACTCCTCAAGTCCACAAGTCTACGACTCCGCCTTCGCGAATAACGGCACATATTCTTATGTAGTCTATTCCAGTAGGGGAACCCTCCCAACCAAAAAAGAAACGGTAAAAGAAACGGCACCAATCGCTGGGGGACCTAGTTCACGGCGCTGACCCGTTTCGGGGCGCTCCGTGGGATGCGTCCGTCGGTTCCGAGCCGCGGCAAAGGAAGACCGAGAGCTGGCCCGCCAGCGCCACCGCGAAGTTTTCGCGGCGACGCTCCAGGCTGGGCACGATCCTCGGCGCGGCTGGCGGCTGCGCCGGTCGGCTCCCGAAAAAGCGCCCGTCCGAGGTGGCCTGGTAACCACCACAAACTGACCCTGGGGTTCTCCGCAATTTATTACCTAGGAGTGTGAGGTTAGAATAAGTTGGTACCCACTTTTTTTTGGAGTCTATTTTAGTAGGGGAACCCTCCCAACCAAAAAAAGGGTAAAAGGGCACTACTGGGGGACCTAGATTACTCCACGTTCAATTTTGTCTGGTTCTCAAAAATGGACAGTTTTTCAGGTGGCTTGCTTTTGCTTTCCCGTTGCTCGGTTCAGTTTACATAACACTAGGATTCACCTAGGGAACTTTGTCATCCAAATTGGGCCGACCATTCTTCCCAATCCAGTGGATCGGTTGGTTGGTTGATGTTTGGCCGGTTCTTGCTTGGCAGCTTGGATAGGGGGGGGGTTTACCCATCATCCCTCACAGGCCAAGGACGCAAATCCCGAAGCTCATCCAAACCAATCCCCGGATTTGACCCAGAAATCCAAAGGTGACCCCCTCCCTCCCTCCCTCCCTCCCTCCCTCCCTCCCTCCCTCCCTCCCTCCCTCCCTCCCTCCCTCCTCTCCTCCCTCCCTCCCTCCCTCCCTCCCTCCCTCCCTCCCTCTCATTTCCATGGCACAGGGGCACCCTCCCACACCTGCCATCTGGTGGTCTCACCTCTTGCCACTAAGCATGGGGTCCCAAGAGGCGAGATCCGGTCGATTTGCTCAAGTCGATTGAGATCTCATTGACGCCCAAGCCACGGGGGGGAAATGGAGACATCGAATCCCCGTGGACTGACCACAGTGGCCCAAACTGTGGGTGTCACCCCAAAAATAGTCACCCCCAAACTCGGGAAGCTTTCGGTTGATGCATCGACTGCAGGGGAAGCCCGCAAAAATATCGGAGGTGTGGTGCTACTGGCTTCTCTTTTGAAGAAACCCATGACACGCTCAAGGGGAGACGTTGGGATGAATGAAACCCTACGACTTGGTTTTGTCCATCCGAGTATGGTTAGCTTTCATGGCGTGTTGCATAGACGGGTCTGCGTGTGTCTTGTTTTGCTTTCTTGATGGGGCGGCATCACCTGTTGGTGTCCCTTGCAGCCCAAGGTCATTTAAAAATATTGGTAAAACATGCAGGGGGACCTTTGACCCTTCAAGAAAGGAAACCAGAGCTCAAACAAAGCTCGGCGCAAATCATATTGGGCCAAATCCCGCACCAGGTAGGGTGGATGAACGAAATCCATTTCGCACCACCAAAGAAACCTCGCAATGATATGACCCCGCCAGTAGTACAGTGACACCCGCCCTCCAGTTGTGCGGGCCGAGAAGCGTAGGGGCATACCGCGGCACCAGTGTATCCCACACCACGCGCCGGTCATGGCAGTCCTCGCGAGGACCGAACATGTGCGGAAGCATTGCCTGCCATGCCCTTACAGAGCTTTTCCGTGGCTACCAACAATTAGAAATACGGACGCTTTGCACACCGGGTTGATCCAAGTTGGTCGAAAGGTTGCTAGGGGGTCTGGGAAGCGCCCCCCGAAAGCTGTCCTTTCCAGGCTACTCCATGTAGGCCCCCAACCATACTGCGCATGGACGCAATGCATTTCGCACCACCTCAAAAACTCTGGAATGATATTGGATTTCCGTAAAAATACCAACAAATGGTTTCAACCATGGTTTCATGTCGTGGAGGAGTGGAGTTCGGAAGCAACCACAGTAGGGGGACCTCACAAAATGGCGTTGTTGTTTTTTGTTGCTTTGAAAACCCACCAAACAGGGATCGGGGGCATCCCCGCCGGCGCCCGTTCTCCCGCCGAAGGCCGAAATGGCCGAAACGCCTCCTCGCCGTTGAAGCACCGAGAGGTGGCCTGAGCCAGGTGCCTGGGCGAGCCACCGGTCTGACCCAAACCAGCTGAACTGGCTGGATTGGGGGAGGGGGGGGGGGGTTCGGGGGTTTGGGGGGTTTGGGGGTTAGGGCTTGAGTGAATCCCTGAACAATCTAGGTCAGAAGTTAGAATAAGGGTACCCTTTTTTTCCTGGAGTCTATTTTAGTAGGGGAACCATCCCAACCCAAAAAGGGGTGAGACTGGGCAACTAGCTTGGGGACCTAGCAATAACAACCTCCCAGGCGCTGCGCCCACTCCAGCGCCGCCTGCAGCGCTGTCAGGGGCTGCGAGCAGTGCCGCGCCATGGCGCGTCGAGCTTCGCGCTCCGCGCTCTCCGCTTCGCTCGCGAGCCGAAGCTAGAGCCCACAAAGGTGGTCGGTTTGTTGGGAGAAGTTCTCCCTTCAAGGACATCGAAATGACAACTCCCTCCAAACTAGCATACTAAAAAATGGATTGCCACAAAATGATGGTTGGTGGTTTGCCTTTGTGAGTTTGAGGGTCCGGGTCGTTTGTTTCTTTCTCCAGCTCCGTGTCAGTAAGCTTGGCTATAGCTGCAATTCGACAGGGGCCAAGCCTCACCAGGAACAAAGATGCAACAAACAACAAGAAGCAAATAGCATTTGCTCTGGCTACCCCTTTGGCTACCGTTTAAAACCAAACATTCTTGCCGGTTTCCCTTGAATTGAAATAATTCTGCTTGGCGTTACGTACAGAAACGGTCGTCCATTGGGCGTCCCTCTAAAAAAGGCCGACCTTTGAAAGGACACCGCAAAGGGTACCCTCTAAACATGCCAACCCCATTGGCATTCGTCTCTGGAGAGACGTCGTTGCGAATTTGCACCAGAACAGCCTGAAAATAACCACAAAAGCCATACTTAAGGAAGTCTGCAACATGTCCAAGGCAAGGTTCCCTTTTTTTCTGGCAGTACCTCAGAAAAAGCCATGGAAACTGGCGAGCTGTTGGGTAATCTGGCGAAGCTGTGAAGCTCCGAAGCTCGCAGGCGGCTTGCTTCACAAGCCTTTGGTCTGCTTCGGTGCTTTTGGTTTCCTCACAAAATCGGAGGGGTTCCCCACAAAAACGAGGTGATTCTGACAAAGTGAAAAAATGGAGAAACAAAAAAAACAAAACGAGGAAAGACACTGCAAGTTACCAACCAACATGTGATGTTTAAAGCCATCAAAGAGGGAAATACATGGTGCGCTGCCCAACTAATACCTACCAAAACAAGCGGCAAAAGACAAGACCGAAGCTAAATTACCCCGTTCCACGAAGACAAACTCCTTGTTGAGGGTCAAAGTGGATGTGTGAACCACAGTTTGCGGGAAGCACAAGGACCCGTCTGCGCACAAGCCAATTTGCAGTTTCTTAGTTTCTTCTCAAACTGCTGGAGATACAGTGGCATCCGAACATGAACGGCACATCAATCCCGTCATAGCTTGCTTGGAATAATGTTGGCAAACTTGCCAAAAACGACTCCAACATAAACCCTTTTTGGAACCTTGACAAACAATGTAGACCAGCATTGCAAAGCCAAACATATCAAAAGGTGGATTCGTTTTGGGCAACCAAGTTGACACATGCAGGCCGTTTAGAGCCACAGGCGCATGGTTTCAGATCGGCGTCAAACATTAAGATTCAGGGAGGGGATGTAAGTGGAGAAGGTAGTTGGAAACCCCTCCCTACGCCCTAGCACTCCATAGTCCACTCCCATTTATCCGCGTCTTACATGCTCCCCCCTACGAACCTCATAAAGCATGCAATCGCACCTCGAGCTCCCGGTCGATCTGATTCCAGTTGCGCTTCTGCTTGCTGGACGTGGGGTATGCCGGCCTCGGCCGCGGGCAAGCGGGCGAAAAAGGCCGGCGCAAAACGGCCAAGCGCTGCACGCTAGTGATGCTGAGGGGTTGATTCCATCGTGCAGCGCTTTGGGGTTGATTCTAGGGGAGGTTGATTCTAGGAGTGGTTCTTTCCTTTCAACCATCGTTCTTTTCAAAAACCGATCGCTGTTTCCCCAGGGTGTTTGGTGTTTTTTAAGAAAGAAGGATGCCAGGAAAGAATGCGGAAGGTACCCCTAGAGTGATGCTGAGCGTGTCAAACAGGATCCAACACGGAGCTGACAAAAGAGACACCAAGAATGATCCACACCCATGCGCCTTTGGACAGATCGCTGAACTCCTGCATGATCTTGGCAATTGCTTGCCACAGTTCGTTGTTTGGCCAAAAAGTCAAAAGGGCACACGGGCTAGTGTCTAATGACCAAAGGTCGAATGACCAACCTTTCAGCCAACAAGTCCAACCTGTCTAGGTCCTCCAGTGGAGAGGAGGAGAAAAAGGGTACCCCTTTTTTTCCCTGTAGTCTATTTTAGTAGGGGAACCATCCCAACCCAAAAAGGTGTGAGACAGGGAATCATCATTCCAGGGTGTCTTCGGTGGTGCGAAATGGAGTTCGTCCATCCGCAGCAGGGTAGAAGGCAGTTCGGATCCCATGATTCTGGTGCAGCAGGAATGCGAGGCGTCCAAAAAGTATCAAGCCATACAAATTCCTCCCATTTCACAACTTGCTGGCGCCTGCAGGGCAGCAGGGAAAAAGGGAATGAACCTGGGGATTCCCGAAAAGGAAACAATAGGGAATGATCTTTCGGGGTCATTCCCGCATTCTCTGCTGAGCACCATCAAGACACGGCCCTTAAGGCAAACATTAAACAAGCACACATGGCCAGCAGACACATTTTCCCGAGCTTCTAAACATGTCGTGCAAACATCCGGTCCTGGATGGGTTGGGAAAACAAATTAAAAGAGATACCAGGGGAAGCGGGTCGGACTTCCTGCAATCCTGTAAAGGAAACAATGTCTAAACATGACCCGAAAAGTGTGCCCACTTCCCTGCTTCCCTTATTTGTTCGTCTGAGGATGGAGCCTGGTTGGCATGATTTGAGACCAGTGACCCTGGTATATAAAATGTGTCCATGCATATATATATATATATATATATATATATACACATTGACATACATGTATAAAGACCCCGGCTGCCTCAGACGGCCCACTTTGGCTGCGGCTGGTCAGGAGGGATTTCCAGCAGCTTCTCTTCTTTCCTCGAGATCGCGTGCCCCGTCCCCCAGGCCTGCTTCAGGCGGACAATGTCAGGTGCTGACTGGAGTCTGGGCGCTCAAGGGGGGCTGCACCCATTGGCTGGGTTCGTCCACATGCCCGCTTCAAACATGTCCATTGGGTTTCCCTCGGCTTCCCTTGGTTTCCATTGGTTTTCCATTGGTTTTCCATTGGGTTTTCCCGGCTTCCCTTGGTTTTCATTGGGTTTCTGGAGAGTGGAGCCAAAAGTGTCATTTTTTCAAGCAGGCCGGCGATGTGGTGAGTTGTTAAGATGGGAGAACTGTTATTCTCTTAAAATTGAAAGCATGTTTCGGTCACACCAAAGAGGAATCACGCCACTTGCGAGCTGTGCGCTTCCAGCCTAAGAAAAAGGTACACACAAAACGGCCTGCCAATCCAGGGTGATGTTTCAAAAACAGGCGGCTGCTACCCTGTCCGAGTAACCGTGGCAGGAAAAAAGGGAAGTCATTTGGGGGCGAGAGAGAAGGAGAAAGTACCCCATACTTGGTGTGGCTTTCGGGGAGAGCGAAAGGGAACCCAACCATTTTGATCTATTTTGGGAAGCTTCCAAAAACAAAAACAAGCAATACACTCATTTGGCCTGTATCAGCCTCATGGGGTTTGCGGTGAGGTCCCTGGATCGCCGGGATTGCCACATCGGCACGCGCCTTTCCAGGTCTTTCCACTGGATGGGATTCTTCTTCTGCAAGGTGACCTTGCGGGAACTGCGTGCGCTTGGTCAAGAGGCTGAACCCCCCGAAACAACTCACCATAGGTGTCCTTTTGGAAAAATAGATGGCCCTGGTAAATGGAACAAAACCCCTCTAAACCAGTGCCTTCTATTTTTGACCACATTAACCCAAAAAGGGCCCCCAAATGCAACTCACAGACTCTTGAAGCCCGAGAAAAGGGAAGCCTCTGTGGGCTCAGCCGAATGTTGACCCCGGATTAATAAACCCCGGTTTATTAATATGGGCGTGTCCCCGGTTTTAGTGGGGATGTATCACTTTTGGAGGGGAACACTCCCCATATTAATAAGCAGGGGTCAACATTAATCCGGGGTCAACATGAATTGGCTGGTGGCGTACGGCCATTTGGACTCAAAGGTTCAAGGTGCAAATCTTTAAGCCCAGACAGGCAGTGGGAGGATTTGTGGGGCATACTGCAAGCCTTCCAAAAGCCACGAGTTGATAGGTGACCCGATTTTGTTCGACGTAGATGGGTGTCCCAGCTCGCTTGCCCAAAGGACGGATAAAAGGTTAACCTTTTGGGGCCATGACTAAAAATGGACCAACATTGGAAAACCAAAAGGGTTTGAAGGTCGACTTTGGGCAACGCAGTCACTCGTGGGGTGTCTTTTTGGGAGGGTAACGGGAAACCAAATGAAAACCAGTTCAATTCTATGAGGCCAAAGCCGACAAGCAATTCCATATTCCCATCTGGCCATGACAAAGTCTTCCTGTGCCAGGCACTTCCAAGCACAAGGAGCATATGAGCAGCCGGGCCTTCGAAACCACCAGAAAAGCCACCCCTGTGACTCCGTGACTTGCCAAGACGAGTCAAGATCCGCTGGCAGCCTCAAGCCAATCAAGGCAAGTCAAGTGACGGCAGCCAAACTGTTAAGCCAATCAAGGCAAGCCCAGGTCGGAGCGCGACTTTTACAGGGGTTTTCCGACTGGAGCCCGCAGGCCACTCCAATCCCCGAGCCTCGACCTTCACTTTGGTCACCTCGCGGAGTCGAAGGGTTGGTGGCTGTGTGGGTCCCTGGAGTTCCCGAGGCTGGACATGTGAACCTGACATGAACCGAACCCCCCCCCCGCCAGTTTACCAGTAAATCAAGCCATTGGCTGTGTGTTCACTATTGCTGCCAACAGGCCCAAACAACCGTGAGTCCATATATGTGAGTCTATACCCTCAGGCTTTGATCTCCAAAAAAAAAGTTGCCTTTTGGGGGATTCAACGAAACGGCCGCATTTGGCGGTCTAAAGAAATGCTTCGAAGCATGCTCAGACAACGCGCGGCACACTTGGCAACAATCCTTCCGGGTCCCCCATGCATGTCGAGAAATCACCCTACCGAAAGGTGGTGTGGGCATGGGTAAACATACAAACGACAGGATACGGACCGCAGGTTTTAGGGGGCCATTTGCCAGCGGAACCCATTTTGGGGGCACCCCATTTTGACAACCACAGCCATGATGAAAGCCTGGGTCATCACCCAAAGGACTCTCGAGTGGAGCCTCCCTTCAAAA